TCTTTCAACACTTCCAACCGAACTTTAATTGTTGTACTACCATTTTATTTGTACGACTATCCTATTTATGTTACTATCTAATCATTATCTAGTACTATTATTAACTACTGTCTATCTAATCATGATCTATACTACTATTATTAACTATTGTAATGTACACTGGTGGGATTCGAACTCTAGACTTTGACCTTACCAAGTAGAACTAGTATTAACTGGCATAGTTACCCCTTAGCCAAACGGCCACATATAAGATGGAACCCCAATGCTATATGTGCACATTATAAGGTCCTTATAAGGCAACATAATGTCTTACCCAAAACTTAAGTTGCGGTTGAGGCCATCAAGTCTAAGGTTAAAATTGTAGCATTGCATATCAATCAAAACACATCTGACATCAAGTATGTAGTCCTAAGTACGAGGAGAGACTGATGTAAAGTCCAGAGTAGGAATAGCTAATGATAAGACCGAATAATAACAACCAAATGCTCTGAATCACCTCGTTGTTGGTTTCTTGCTGCGTGTGCTAATGTGTTTGGGTTTCGGAACATCTGGTACAGCAGCAGGGACAGGCTGAGCTGAAATACGACCCGACGCCATGCTTTTCCACCTGCTGGTTCAGTCTGCGCGCTGCCGAAGAATCACGATCAGTTAGCGATAACTGACTAACATCCACCTGTAGCTGCGTAGAAGACACGCCGGCACGTGGCTGGCTGATTGACATTGATGTTGAGACAATGATACAGTCATCCTGGGTGGTAGGATCTGCAGGCTGCAGAAAGAGCAGAGAGATTGGAAAGAGCCGGCGAGGGTGCGCGGAAAACAGGAAGAGTTGGCGAGGGTGCACGAGCAACAGGATTATCCAATTCCTCCAATAGGTCATCTTCCCAGGTGCGAGGGATGGAGGCAGAGGGTACAACGGATGCGGGTGCACTCAATAGCGCTGCACGGGTGTTGAAAACTTCCTTATTGAAGTATTCCATCACGCCAATTGCCCATGGAGAGCTTTTGAATAAGCGTTCCAGATAGAAGTCGTAATCCTTCTGGTAATCGATCTTCGTCTCTGCTCCGGTCGCAGTGAGCTCGGTATCGTGCGTTAACAAGAAACGTGCCTGTGAATGAATAATCAGCAATGATGCAAAGCAAAGGACGGACAATGATAGAATACTTACCAATATAGCAGCGCCAGCAATCATACCCTCAGTAACACTCTGCGCACCCATTCGCAGACCCCTGCCCTTTGGATGGCCCCTTGTCTTCCCACCAAGTATCGCCTTTCCATACACTTCAACGCGAATAATCTAGTATGAGCAATAGAGTTAGCCATCATACTTGGACATTGATCAGTGGCACTTACTTTGACGAGCACTGGAGACTTGAGGAAATCATCGGCTGACATAGCATTGGGCTTCGCAAATAGCACAGGTGCAAGGCGGATGTAATCGCCCTCTCCATTCCTCTTGAGCAGGACAAGGAGATCCTTGTTGTCCTGCTTTTTGGAAGGCTGGTCGGCAAAGATGCTGGGGTCGAGCTTGAAAGGAGAGAATATAACACCTGCACAATCCTTGATACTGTGCAGAATGTTTGACCTCTCGGAGCTGACTGCCGAACGAAACTAAGGCCAACAGAAGTATCAGCGTGAAATTTGGCAGTGTTTGAATCATAAACTTACCAATGATCCGAAACGTGGATAGGTTTCCATGGAGGTGTGCAAGTCTTTAGGTATGATCTGATACAGCTCAGCCATTGCACCTTTAAGCTTCGCATCGGGAGAGCTCCAACGTGTAGCGGCGCGTGGGTCGACATTAGCAGGTTGAGGAGAAGTCGGAAACAGACCGTTTATGACCCAGAAATGACTAAACAGGGTATACTTCTGTCCTTGGTGGGTGATGCTGGAATCCAGTGGAGACGTCTTCTTGAGCATGCGGTTGCGGCTGCGAGCAGGAATTGCAGATGAAAGAGTGAGATACTGTTTCTTGAGGACCCGTAGTTCAGAACGTGTTGCATGGTAAGCTTGCTGGGCTACCGCAAGGGCCTGATACGTAAGAGCATATATCAGATGATGTTGTAGACTAATAAGAATGATATAAGTGTCGTGCCTACCTTTCGAACATCATGCATTTGTGCATCTGGCCCAGGGACAGCCAGGACCGTCCTTACTGCATCCAAGTCGCTCCCAGATACTTCACCATCAGATCCATCAGAATCAGAATCATCCGAGACGGCGTTAATCTCAGCCTCGAAATCTTCCCCAGCATCCATGTCATACGGCATGACAGTGTCTCTAAAACTGAGTGAGAGTGAGTGAGTTAATGGGACGCGAGGATGAAATACCCATTGCCCACTTTATATAACATGCTCCGGGGCGATGCACCATGGACTCGGTTCCAGAACAAAGTATTATGTTGAAATAGAAACATGTGGACCACAGGTGTCGATTTGCCGAGGTTGCTGGTCCTCGCTAACAGAATCAAGGCGATACACACTTACGACAACGTTGATAATTGTACATCAGTATGTTTCGCTAATAAGGACCAATACATAATAAGTCACAGACTCACCTGTAAGTGCTAGGCGATTCTGAGCTGAGGCGTCTTTGGTAAAAAAACACACGCGTGTTGTTCGGATATTTCCTGTGAAACATAATGAGCATTCCTATCCAAATACTGAGTAGACACGGTCTAATTTGGAGGCTGGTTTGAGGCGTCTTTGGTAAAAAATGCACGCGTGTTGTTTGGATATCCCTGTAGAATATTATGAGCATTCCTACCTAAATAATAAGTAGACTTACTCGTGTAAATTTGGAGGCTGGTTTGAGGCGTCTTTGGTAAAAACACACGCGTGTTGTTCGGATATTTCCTGTGAACATAATGAGCATTCCTATCAAATACTGTAGACTTACCGGTCTAATTTGGAGGCTGGTTTGAGGCGTCTTTGGTAAAAAATGCACGCGTGTTGTTTGGATATCCCTGTAGAATATTATGAGCATTCCTACCTAAATAATAAGTAGACTTACTCGTGTAAATTTGGAGGCGTCTTTGGTGAAAAACGCATGCGTGTTGTTCGGATATTTCCTGCAAGACATGATAAGCATTCCTATCCAAATACTGAGTAGACTTACTCGTCTGAATTTGGAGGCGGGTTTGAGGCATCTTTGGTAAAAATGCACGCATGTTGTTTGGATATTCCTGCAGAACATCATGAGCGGTCCTACCCAAATACTGAATGGACTTACTCATATGTGTTTCATTCGCAGAAACATGTCACCGTCAATGTGATCAACAACGAAGTATTCATCTTGATGCTCAGAATCAGGGACTAGAACAGCTCCTCGAATGAAAGATTTAAGCGGGACAAATATTGATGACGACCTCGGGACAGCCTTGACACGAGTAAGCTTGAAGGTGGAGTCTGTTCTGCGAGGACCGACTCTAGCAGTGTATGGTTGAACAAGTGCGAATTCGAAGGGCCCGAGATTCGAAATATGACATCTGAACATGAAAATTAGCTGGACGAAGGCTGTTTCCTCAGCGGTCAGTTGTATGAGCGCGTGATCGAATCGTGGCCGCCCATGGAATTTGGGGTTGCACCGAAGGTGGTCGGTATTTTGCCTCCAGTCCACAGCCGACTCATAGTTCACCTTGAGATAGCGGTGCTCGTGAATCTGTGTACCATGTTAGTATGATGCATTAGACAACTTGTACAGGATACTATTAGCATACCTTGAAATCGCCTGGGAATGTAACCCAACTCGTCAGTTGATGGCCATAGGTAGGCAGAGCATTGTTGATGAATTCACTAAATTTCCGACGAAAAGATTGAAAGCACGATCCGTTTGACCACGACTCTCAACGCCAAGGATGTCTAAGGGTGGCACCGGAGAGCCAAGTTTTCACGTGGCCATTAAAGGCTACAGGAACATCAATGTCTTCAATCAAGCCGCCATCGCCGAGTGCCTGCAACCGGCAGTGTTCATCAAGCGTGTTGACACGTTCTCTCAGAAGTTTCGAGGCGAATTTGTGGTGATCAATACGAAGTATCTATCAATACAATTGTGTATGATGTGAATCAGTCTGAGTACTAACAACAAATGTATCTTGTAAACTTACTTGCGTCGCGGTATCCTTTCCATTCGTTCGACGGTGATAGGTGTCTTTGAGGGGGCCATGAAGCTTCTCGTTCGGACGCGTGCTGTAGTTACGTGCTACTCCTTTAAGTCGGATATCACGAACAACATGTTTCCATAGGTGGGTCTTCGGAAAGTTCCAGTCAAGCTTCAATTTCTCGACCTCCGACTCTTCAGCGCATGTAATATAAGCCTAGGAATGAATGTGTCGTGTAAATGAGTATAATTAGCTACATAGACAACAAGTAAAGACTAAACCTTGAGCTCAGCATCGAAAACTAAGAGCTCGGCGTCGATCGCTGCAAGTGTGCGCTCAGTATGCAAATCCAGACCGATCCAGCTATCCAGCTGGAGATAACTGCTGATAACGCGAAGCAGCTGGTGGCCTACAGGACTGGCTCTGTGCATCAGGATGTTCAAAGCCGGATATAATGTTTGCTTCAAGATAATGAGTGATATGAAAGATCACAAAACAAGCCAAAAAACTTACCTTAGAGAGGTCCTGGTATTTGTTGCCATCAGTGAATGTAATGTTGATAACGGATTCGAAATGAGTGAGGTGGCGCCATCGGGGGAAGTTAGCGATCCTGTAACTGTGAGAACAGGATAGGTGTGAATACAATCGACAACTTACGACTTCTCGAATGCTTCTTGAGCATCACGTCCAAGCGACGCGAGGATTTTCTTCAATTCTTCAAGTAGGTGCTTCCACAGACCGGCATGCAATGAATGCAGCCGATCTAAACTAAGTGCATCGTGGGGACTCGAACGCAAGATGAGCCAAAAAACATTCTAAGCTTCATATTAGCAAGGAATGAGTTTGAAACAACACAAGTGCGTACCGCAAACAGGTCGTAATCCGAGCGCTTTGAGTATCTGCTCGCCTTCAGCTTTACTGCACCCATAAATACGGAGAGCTTCTTGTGCTTCTTCCACGGTTTTGATTGGGTAGCTCTTTGACAGGTCGTGGAGCTCCGCTAATGGTACTAGGCACACGGGGCAAGGGCATTTGCCACCGCGGCCACGTATCAGCGACATCATGCACCTGTTGAATGAAATAGGTTAGTATTAATGTAAGACCAATAAGAAAAGAGCAAAAGGCCATGAGCGTGTTTACCCTTGAAGGCACCAGCAGCGACGAGATGGAAAACGAACTCACTGTTCTTCATAGTCAGCCGAAAGAATCAGTATCACAGGAAACAGCCATCGCAGAATGCCATTATAGCCCTTGTGTGAATATCCAGTCTTTGAGTGCTGGGCGACATGTTCCAGGAGCTTGAAAAATGATTCATGCCACACAACGCGCTTCAACGTTGTGTATCCGAGTTTTCCTTCTTCGGCTGCATCGTCAGGAACCTGCAACATGTAAATTCAACAATCTGACATATATTGAGAACGAAACAACTCACAATAGGCAACCATCCGACTACACGACCACCACCAAACCCCTCGCCATTACGGATGTCTACAGGTAAGTTTGCGCATCGGACTACAACTGGATACCCTTTGACGGTACCATGAGACGACAGCTTCGACTTATCAGCGTAGAGAATGAAACAGAATGGGACAGCGTTTTCAACGTCGGGCGGAAGAGAAGACTATTGGTTTGACATTTATATACATTTACACACGATATGACACAGTTAATTGTAACGCACTTGAATATCCCACCACCGATCTCCTGTCCAAGGTTCATTGAAAAAGCGTTCGAAATCCGTACCGTTGTGCTTGTAAACACGGCAGGCATCCCACACGAAATGCGGTGCGAGCAGGGGGTTGTCCAGTAGATCGAGGGCCCAATCCCACACAGGCCGTGTGTGGACCTCGTATTCTTGCTCCTTCCTCTTGTATATCACAGGGACTTCGTGCTTTGAAAACTAATGGCAGGTTGCCTAAGGCATTGAGCAATATGATCATGTAAGTAGATTCAGTCAGACACACCGGTGTTAATTCAGCCGCAGCATTGTCCCATGCCCTCGAAAGATCTGTCTCATTCTTCAGAGTGATTTGAGCTTGACCTTGAGCGATGCGCGAAATGAGTTCAAGGAGGGCATTTATTTGAGACTTATTTAGCGCAGCATCAAGCGCAATCTCAGAGAATTCGAAGTCCCCGCGTGACCTGAAAGGACGCCATGGTTCCTCGTCAACGGGTGCGTGCTGCATCTCCTGAGTGATACCGAATTCGTCGAACATCTGGTAGAGAGTCGCACGAGCAGAGCGAGGGTGATACTCCGTTTTGAATTCGCTGGGCATTTGCACAGATGCCGCATGAGGCTGGACAACCGTGGGGTTGCTAGCCATGCTGGCATCGGATAGTACTGAGCGAAAACGATGGGTCAGCAAGATGCAGTAGATTGTAGGTTAATACTTACCGGGGCTAGTTGGATTCCCGTGTTCATCCTCGAGTTGGCTATAGTCGAAGTCTTGGAGATCGTCGATGGGGGCATGGTGAACTTGAATGTCATTCGATGGGCCAGCCTCGCTGGTTGCAGCCTTTCGTGCTAGAATGCAAAAGATCAATTAATATGACTCAGATACAAGGTGATGGTGCGATGAGTCAAACTCACCATTTTGTTTCCCCTTCTCATACTCCTGGTTGAATCGATGTCGCTCCTGCTCATTTTCGATCCGTTTCTTGCAGCTAGCCTCATGTTTCTTGAAGCCCTGCGTTTTGAATGACTTGCCGCAATGAGTGCACGGCAGCTGGGCCTTTAGCGTCTCTTCTGAATAATGGTACTTCTCTCGACGAGAAGTACGAGTCGGAGCCATCAGATGTAACAATATGAATAGAGTGTACAAGTGTACAATATTTACAAAGAGGATGGGACAGCTGGCCGCGAGGCTGATGCGGAATGGAACAAAGTTATGCGCCGATAGCACGTTACGGTGCATTATGATGATTGTCTCACGGTCGAAAGGCCATCACCGAGCCTCGAAAGGCCATCACCGAGCATCAAAAGGCACTTTTAAGGTGCCTTGAAAGTCACCTGACCGGCATTATAAGCCGGTGGCATTACAATGGCCCTTACCTTTTTTCCGACATGCTAACGAGATCCACAAACGGTTTTTACTTGTGAAGATTTATGTAAACTTGTTGGGAATTCCTAATAAGAGAGCCTGAGCAAGTGGGACATGTCGAGTGCGGGCCTGCCCGGTATGCAACTCTGGCATGTTCTGCAGCACTTCGAACTTCGGACACGATCACTGTTGGTTGCTAATCAGCGAGCGGCCTGCAATGAGCTGACCTTGATATAAACCAGCGTCAGGGGCCACAATGTGGTAGCTTGAAGTCCCGGTACACGACCGCAGACTGGATTATTGGCATGGTAACCTAGTAAGATGATGATCATGGTGAAAACTCAGTACTCATTCATTGTCCACTTTCGTTGACGTTTGTTCTCTTGGACGCGCAGGCATTGATTTGCAAAAATACGTACTGTACAATGTGATATATGATACACAGACGAAATGGCGGTCTTGACTCCACAACCGATCAAATCAATAGTCGTCGATATCCTCGACATTGAGAATAGGTTTCTCTTTCTCTTTGCGTGCGTGAACTTTCTTCTCTGCAACGATGCCCTTATAGGCTATTTGAAAGTCAGATTGCATATCTTGCATGCTGCCAGGAACCCTCTGCATGAATTCCTTGACTTTTTGAACCCCACATTTAAGTGCGTCAATGTCACGGGCACGATGAGCCAGTGAGGAAGGCTCCAGTTGCTTACGTAATTCTAATCCTTTCTTGAAGAGCGTTCTGTAATAGGACAGTGTCAGTTAGTATTGTATGTTACTGAGTAAGTGAGGACGGACGCTATCTCATTTCTCTGCTTACCCAACTCCTCAAGTTTTTCATGGGATTCTTTGTTGAGAAGGCCTTTCATCTTCGCTTTTGCAGTGTGAGTCAGAGAAATGCCTCGTTCTAGGCATACCAGAAGGTGAGGCAATGGTCCAAGAAAAAGAAGTTGGTAATAGCCTGGACGACATTCAGAAGACCGCATCTCCTTGAGGCATGTCGTGAATATCGCATCGATTTCTGCATTCACTGCACGACTCGAGCGACGTCCAACATAACGGCGGTATGCGTTCTGAATATTGCAAGCTGCCTTTTGTTCTTCCACCGATGGTCCGTTAGAGCGTAGCGACTCGTCGAAATCAGGTGCAAGCGACGTCACCGCTTCATCTACACTCTCAGATGTATCACGGGTCTCAGTATCAACATTCGTCGTGATATCTTCCTCTTCCTTTTCTTCTTCTCCGTCAAACTCCTGCGGTTGGGGTTCGGTTATCTCTTTCTCATCATGCTGTACAACCTCTGCTTGATCCTTGGAATGTCCTATGCGAGGTACGAAGGCCGGAGCCTCTACTCTCAGAGTAGACTGAGCGATCACTGCGTACGATAAAAGGAGATGGGGAATCTCGACGATCTTCTCGTATACGAGCCGTCGGACTACATAGCCTCGGTCATGCTGGCTCATCGTTTTGTGGACAAGATGCACCAGGTTGCTCACTCCTTTGTTGTTGTCGAAAGCCAGGAGAGCTCGCAGGTAAACATCTGAGGGTGGCGTCCGTCCTGGTGTCATGTACCTGGCCACGTCATCCACGAGTTTCCGATAGTTAGCTGGACGCCAAGGAGGGTTGTTCTTGTGCAGAGAAATAATGATCTTGTCTACTTTCTCTCTCATGAAGCGATTCCTGATGTTATGAGCAACTAATGAATCCAAGTCAGCACCCAATCCGTTTTGAAAAGAGAAAGAAACAGTAAACGTACTAAGGCAGAGAACCCTGCAGCTACAATACACGTGATCAGTGTGCGCATCGCCGACGAACAGACACTAAACTGGACTCACATCCGGGAGATAAAAACATTGCGGAGAATGGGCGTAAATCTGGTATGGTTCAGCCAGAGGAATTCTGCCCAATTTTAGTCTCGGATCTCTGAAAAGTCAAGAGACTCACCCATGCCGACTTCTATCCGCAATGCTTCGACCAGCCTCGCTATCTCATCCAGAAGCTTGCCCATCAAAAACAGCTTAGTGTCTTTCTCAGCAGTGAATTTGTGGGGAAGTAACAGCCAGCTGCATGGAAGGACGACGTCATGGAGGGGAAACTTATTAAAGTCTGGGTCCATTCGGTACTTGATTACAAAAGCGCTGCAGATGTCCTCGATACAGTCGCACAATACGGAGAGGTTGGCATATAAACGATTATCGAGAACATGCCTGAATTGCACTTAGTTCATGGCATGTAGAGACAAGAAGAACACATACAAAAGATACAGAATTCCCGATGAGATACTGCTGCGGGTAGCTCCTTGGTAAGAACTGAGCAGGTCATGAACCATATAGCGATTGTCCCCCTTGCGAAAGAGTTCTAACGGTCCGGAGACCGTACACTTTGCTCGAGAGATGTAGACAGGTGCGTCGTTCCTGTCAAAAGCGAAACTTAGACTGGTTATCCCCATTAACGCCGTCAAAAATTCAGCCTGAGTATAGAATGGGTCGAGCGAGTAGAAGGATTCGCGGATCCAGAGCTTCACCACTTTCATGCCATCTAGACGAAGAGGCATCAGGTTTATATCAAGGTCCGCGGGGGAACCTTGAATGAAGAAGGGTGGATTGATAGCCTCGTAAAGATGCTTGAGCCAGTCCCTCATGCTGATGAAGTGGTTAGTTTGAGCACTCGATCATAAGCTACCTCCAGGCGTACCTATTGCGTCGTTCAATGTATGGATGAGCGGAATACATAAATTGCAAGATAAGAATTTGCCAGATGTGGATCGCAACACGGTTGTTGTAATATTGGCGATCCAATTTCGATACTGTGACATGCTCTTGGGGACAGTTATCTCTTCGACATACTCCAGACATCAAGAATGGCAGACATTGCGAGAAAACAGGAGATTTGCAACACATAGCATCGATCTCTGATACTTTGTCTTTCAAGATCGTTCGAATGGATTCTTGCAGCAGCTGAGTGACGTTTCTACGAGAGGCTGTGTACCCAGACGGATGTTCCGTTACCCAAGTGATGCCTTGGCGGGTTTCCATCACACAGTTGTGGAGGAACGTTCCATCTGGTATGAGAAACTCATCCCCGGACAACTGCACGATGGAGAACAGTCTCTGTATACCCCTATGCTCCGAGTCCATGGGGTCAGGGATCGTCAAAATCAGATACAGCAGTCGCGCATAGGCATGAAATTGCTGAAGGAACCGTTGCATTTCTTCGACCGCGAACGTTCGAATGTCTGTGGTTCGAGAGAATATATGGTCCAGGCAAAGGAGAGCTGCTGGCTGGTTGTTATTTCCATGGAGGCTAAGCGCAAGGTTTCTCAACGGCTCATGATTTCCGCACAGGATGGTCCGAAACATCGATATCTGAATGTCAATCAGTCCAGCTGATCACTTTGAGACTGTTAATACGTACTAGATCACGGGTCGCCAGCGTCAGTTTGTTCGTCTCTAGTTGATCAGCGAGAGCGATGAAATGCCGCATTGGCTCATCAGCAGCAGTTTTTGCAGTAATTCTAAAGGAGCATTTGCGCCAGAAGTATTCCAATATAGTTTCGGCCGCACGAATAGTAGAATTGCCGTTGCCGTTGTCCTTAATGAACGCTCGGACAGCTTCCAAGGGCCTGTTCTCTGACAAGTGGAGTTCTGCGGCCTCATAGTACCTTGAGTGGGATTCAAGCAGCGAGGCTCGAGCGAAATCAAGATCATAGTCCTCCAGAAATTCGAGTTCCTCATCAAATGTCGAGAAGAGAGGTAAGGGAGCCCTGCGTAATTGCTATTGATTAAAAACATTGTGGAGAGTCTAATATTGAGACTTACTTAGTGTTGTTTCTGCTGCAGTAAAACAGTCTGCACACAGTCCATAACTCCGCCTTGGTCTCTTCAGGTATATTCATGCTATGGCCACCAAGAACATGAAGGGTCTTGTCAAACCGTCCAGCCTTGCGATATCTTTTCGCTGCTTGCTCGAACTCTTCAGCATTGAGATAGGCCTCAGCAGCTTTGATATCATCCCCTGCTCGAATGTAGCAATCCGCCGAGTTACGATAATATTGGAGCTTCTGGTTTCCTGTTGCGGTCGCACCACAATCAGTAAAGGCATCGGCAGCCAAGTTAAAAGCTCTTTTTTGGTCACTGAGTATGGCCACCCCGACACTAGAACGTGCGACTTCTCGCAGTTGGTATGCTTTACAGACGTTCACCTCACGACGAAGGTTAGCACGTTCGAAGCAGTGGATAGCTTGCGAGTAGCGCTTGTGCGAGAATAGCGAGCGCCCGAAGGATGCCCATTCTTCTGGAGTCGAGGAGACGGCTAGATGAGGGACATCGGTGCCGGGTGTGCAATTCTGGACTTGATTGCGAGACGTCCAGAATATCTGAAGGGAAGGAGTTATCAGATCGAGTTAAGCCAATACATTGCTCTAAACGTACACGCATTGGGTCTGATTTATCAGACTTGTCAACGATCCACATGTTCTTCCTTGCTCGAGTGATTCCCACGTAAAGAAGTTTGAGCTAATAAAAGTCAGCCAAAGTTTAATCCGAGGATCGGTATGCCTACCTCGCTACAAACCCCAGCGTATCGCGTCTCATCACGATCGAAGTTCGGCGCATGTTCTTGACCCTCTACTCCATTGAGAACTATGCGCCATCGTGACAGATCTATAACAGAATCCTCGAAAAAATTGTACAAAAGCACCTGACCGAAGTCAGACATCCATCAGAAAGTCAACTTAGCTTTCTCACATCATTGAATTCCAGGCCTTTGCTCTCGTAAAGCGTCCTGCATACATATGTGAACATGGAAACACGGAGAAAAGGTAGTCTTGATACGACTCACATAATCAGTCCAATTTCACCAACTTGTTCTCGCAACTTTTGACGTGCCGCATCGTCACGCACGAGGATGCCTAGATACCTTGTCAGTGTGTGAATGAAACCTTCAATTGATTACTTTACATTGCTGCGCTCCGAACTCAATGTGACTACCGCTGGAGGAATCCTCAGCAGGAAAGAGGGATATCATCCAGGCCTACTTACCTTGCCCCGAACAAGAATTGTTCATAACGGACGGTGTCTTTATCCCAACCTGTGAAAAATACAGGCTTCAGCCCATCAACCACCCCCCTTTCTGGCCGAAGGTTATCGATTGTGTTGGGCCAAAATTTTGTGATGAGTTCGATCACAGAATGTGCGCAGTTGACGATGCCACCGTGCGATCTGTAGTTGATCGCCAATTGAAACATCGTAGGCTGATGAAGACATGCTCCAGCGGAATTGACCGGGGTATTTTGCTGCTGCTCTGAGATATCAATTCAGGCCCGAGCTAAGTTACTATTCGCTGACCTCCACACGGTAGAGAAAGGCTTTCAGATCATCGAACCTAAAGGAACTCCCTGCAGAAATTGTCTGTGCGGTATCCCCAGCCCAGAACAAACCGTCTGGATTCCTGCATAATTGCCTCAAAACTGCAATAGAAAGTTCTAGATTCTCATCAACAAAGGATGGAGTGGCTACTTACAGAGTGCGTCGATCAGAAGGTTGTCTTGTGCTTCGTCGACATACCTAGTGCAGGTGGTCAGAGGTGAGATACATTGTTGGGATAACACATACAGATAATCGATCTGTTGACCAGGGAACCTCTGGCTCCGCAAGACCTTAAGTACCGCATGCGTGCTGTTTGGGCATATATCATGACATTACATGGATGAGAAGGGGGAACAGGTCATACCGATCTGCAACATCATGATGACGTCGCTGCTTCTTGATTTTCGTATAATACTCAAAGATGTCATACAGAATTCCCCTCTGATTCGCAAAGTTTGGGTTAGAACGATGAGGAAGACGGAGGTAATTCGGGCGATCGAGAACTCCTTCAGGACAGGTCAGTGCATGTTCGGAGCCTTTGACGATCCCTATAGGTATATTCAGAAATTGTCAGTGTCAGGATAATACAAATTGGTACTCACCCATGAATTCACTGAAAACCAACCACGGGTCTGGTGGGGTATATCAGTACTTAATTGTCGTCACAAGATAAAAGAACATTACTAAGATTCTTAGTGAGATTCTGCGGAAAATGAGGCCAGTATTGATTTGCGAATACGTCATAGGTGACGAAACAGTCATGCGCCTCAGCATCGTCAACATTGAAGAAAAGTCCTGCGCTATCTCTCGTTTCGGGGACATCCTTGCTCAACATATCTGCCGCGATCATCTTCGACAGCTACATAAATGATTAGCTTGAGAACTGTCTGGATGACGGATTGGGACATACTCGATCGAAAGTCACAAAAAGAGGAAAGTGCTTATCCTCAAGTTCGCTGTATTTCATGGGAATATTCATCTGTGAATCGGGCAGGTCGTCGAGATCAACAAGGCCCTCCTGAACACTTTGTGCCTTCATTTTTGCAAGTTCCTCCAGGGTATAGCCTGCTAACGCCAGAGATTCGAGAAGCTTCGTGAAATACTCTTCCACTTTCGTAGCGAGCACTCTGGATTTGGTGACGAAGATTTGGCGTGGCTTCGGCATGTCAACGGCACTCATCTCCCAAGCTCGCTGAATGCCGAGAATCTTGAACAGCATCGTCGTGGTTTTCCTAGTTGAGTGTGATAAGTAAGCTATTCATATCAAGGGCAGGACCCTTACCCCGTGCCGCTGCGACCCAAGACGTAGCATGATGCGGTACACTCGACAATCTTTTGTTCTTGAGGTCTGAACCAACATTAATCAGTAAACTCGTCTCAATGGGGCAGAACTCACGTGAGTATGAAGACGTGCTGTACGTCTTGGTTCGCGATGAGACCTTTTGCAAAGATGAGAAGAGGTGGCGAGCACAACTACATGATCACTCGCCTTGCAGGAATGCCTAAAACAAGAGGTTGTCAAGTCAATATTCGCGTGCATATCAATAAGCTTACTTGCGAGAATGTAACATATTTCTCCAAACTAGAAAATGGTCAGATGGAAACCAATTTGCATAAGGATGGCGAAAATTCATACACAAGCAAAGAGTGAAGCTGTGTCATGGATTAATGGGGGCATAAATGACAACTGAAAACGCTCAACGCGGTCCATATCCTTATCACTAAGATCAAGTGGGCTTCCTGAGAATTCTGGTTCTTGTTCAGCTGGTGGGAATGACGCAGGCAGAATGACGCAGTCATTAGAAATGACTGGTCTGTTCCGGAAGATACACCTGCGCAAGCAACGATTCACTGAATTGCATCAGAGCTGGAAAATGTTCTCACCTTCTACGATACTCTCTGCCCTTACGTGCAAGATGGCTACCCAAGGCATCCCATATCCTGCCAAGCTGAGCATGCGTATAAATGCCGTATACCTTGATTACTGGAGTTCACATGAGCGCTAATGGCACACACATGTAATTGCTCCTGATAGCTCACCTTGTCTTTCGGACTGTGAAGACTCCAATCTCAGTATCATGCTCGATGTTAATGTAAGAACGGCCTACCTCGCCATCCCGGTCAAGGACACAATCGATCTGGTACTGTGAAAAAAGTCATTCATTTCCTACTCCAAGCCACGTATGTGAAATTACGCCTACTACTAATCGTAGGTCCCTTGTCATCTTGGCCTCGTGGATAGGTATACCTGTATCCGGCCCGTTAAGTCGCTTGTGATTATCTTCTGAGAAATGACCATTCGATAGTTGTCTGTGGCAACGATGAGATCATTACAGCGAAGTTGCATCAGAAGACAGACTTGATCTTCTTGACAATAATCCTGAATATCTTCTCATCTGCTCTACGGAATTCACGCAAATTTTTGGAGGCCTCCGTAGATATGAGGATTCGCCACTCTCCGAACCCGTCCGCGTTGTCGAAGTAAAGCGCAGCCTTCATAGGCTGCACCATTGGGTACGCATTGGGTCGCTTTGTTGGGTTCTCAACATCCTCGGTTGACGAAACTTCAGGCGCAACATCTTTGGCAGACTCTCCCACGTTCGGGAGGAGTAAGGTTTTGATGTCGCCTGCCAATTCCGTCCTCCGCAGAAGCGAGAAATAGAACTTACGGAGAGCTGTCAGGGGAAACGTCACAAAGTAGCGAATTCACTTACCGAGAGAGCATGTTTCAGCTCCGCGAGAATGTGGGTAGACAATGACGCGGCAGCCTCGCTCGTGAGAGGCACAACCACACCGAGCCTCACAAAGAGCGATGTGTCGATGGCCGTATGAACTTTCAGGCGATTACGCTTGCGCATTTTTTGAGGGACTTTCCTCTTGATGAATCCATAATCAGATTCGACATCGAAGAGATCAATCTCGTCTTCAGATGACCCTGTACCAGTAAATTTCATAGTGCCCAACGCGCAAAGTACGGGTAGAGCGCCCTCGATGAAGCCTCTGTGGCGGCTGATGTTCCTCGAGACATCCGTCGCTAAAGATTCAACAGGCAAAGCCAAAAAGTACATAGACAGACTGTCTAGCATCTTTCTCGCGATGGATGCTGGATATTCTTGAGATTTCGTTGGAAAGTCTGTCATGATCTGTGAGATCATTGCCTCACGGCGATCCCAAACTGTTACAGAGTCAGAGCTGATGACGCTCGAAGAAAGTCTGTGAGATACCAGAAATGATATATGCAAAAACATGAGGTGATGACAACATATGTTCGACCGTGGCTTGTAATGCGGTTGCTCCTGAACTTGAGATTGTGTCTAGATGATACAAGGCGGCTCTGAGGCCTGCCTCGTCGACTATTCGATCTTTGGAGAGTAAATCCAACATGGTCTGTTGAACAAGAGGAGTTTGTGTTTATATGAAAGGCTGGGGAACAAGTTAGACTTGAGCTGCGTCAATGAGATACAAAGGTACAAAAGCCTCGAAGCAACAAGTCCGCAACGAGGCTGTCCTTATATTTTCGAGCCAGCGCTCGCTTGAATTTCCAAACAGGTTGGGGCGCAAATAGTACGCCTAAATTGACTCCTGTGGGCAACCTGAAGCTGTACATGAGCGACAAACTTGGACCCTCAAATGATCCCAGATTGTGACAAGAACTCAACCCTTACGTACGTGCGGAATAGTATAGAGTGATGTGTGACCGGTTGACCTGTTAGCATTCCGAAATAGATCGACTCGCAGGTCAGCTTATACGTGTAAAAAACGCGTCTGGACCGGATCTTCGTGGATTGTGACTCACGAAGCGTATTACTAGTAGAAGTTTATGTACTAGTCTCGCTCGCGTAGGTGAAGACAAAGTCCAACGTCCAAATTTTCCAACTATATTATTTAATGAAAATCGCCTTATATTACATAATTCAAGGTGCTGCGGCTACTCCCGCAGATGCTGTGGCACTGAATGCACTTTCCAAGGGAACTTCAGCAACAGGCAGGTCGCAGTGACGCACTAGCAAATATCGTCAAGAATCCTTGCTCACTGGTCATCTACTCAAGACTTCACCTGGTTTGTTTCTTAACCTTGTAGACGGACAAGTGGATCTCATTACCTAGGAAAGATATTCTAGAATGCCTCCCCCACACTATGATTTCCTCATCAAGGTAAGCACGCTGCATACACACTCCAGGCCTCGCGCACATAACTTGCTTTGCAGCTTCTCTTGATTGGCGACTCAGGTGCGTTTGTTCCGCGGTTCTGGTGTGTTCCAATTTTAAGTTGTCGCTTAGGTGTTGGGAAATCCTGTCTTTTGCTCCGCTTCTGTGATGATGCGTGGACGCCATCGTTCATCACCACAATCGGAATTGACTTCAAGATCCGCACAATCGAGCTAGATGGCAAGCGCATTAAACTTCAAATTGTACGTGCTGTCATTCCAATACAGTCATGAACTGTTTGTTACAAAGCTGACTCGTGTCGTACAGTGGGACACTGCTGGCCAGGAACGGTTCAGAACCATAACTACTGCGTACTATCGTGGAGCAATGGGCATTCTTCTTGTGTACGACGTCACAGATGAGCGATCATACAACAGTACGTGCTATTAGCATCATCTCCACTACTATTGTCCTACCCTGATACATATCATCTCTAGGTATTCGCACTTGGCATGCTAACATTGAACAACATGCTTCAGAGGGTGTCAACAAGATACTGATCGGTAATAAGTCGGATTGGACAGACAAGCGAGCCGTCCCAGAAGCCCAGGGACGTGCACTTGCCGATGAACTTGGCATGAAGTTTATGGAGACGTCTGCCAAGGCGAATGAAGGTGTAGAAGAGGCCTTCTTCACCCTTGCAAGGTTTGTCGCGTTGTGCTGCATTTGCGGAGTTAACTCCAATTCCCGACTGTACAGAGACTGCAAGACTCGGCTCATCGACTCGCAAGCAGACTCGGCTGCCTCAGTGGGAGGTGCTTCCAACGCAGATGGGTCAGTGAAAGTCAACCAACCTGTGACTTCAGCGTCGATGGGTTGCTGCTCATAAGCACCTATGTTGGACTCTAGTACAATCCGAGCTTCTTTTGTTCATCTTTTTTCAAACTATTTCATGTTACCTCCGTATTCCCCTTCCATGTAATACTGTTCTACCACATGACACGGTGCTGTTGACTGAATTATCTTCACTAGTATTTGGAGCAAGTGTTGCTTTGACTCGTTGCGCAGTGCTCAAGTGCCGAAGTTCTAATTAGGATGAACATACTTATGACTGCCCGAATTGAGTGATGGGCGTATTGTCTGTGGACCAATCTGATGATCAGAATGCGTGCTTACACTTACCAGCATAATATGAGGCGGTTGATTCCGCATCCGGAAGCAATCTGTCCGACTGTCTATTCTTATCATCATACACACATTTTGCATATAACGGGACGAAAAACAACGCGTCGTAAGTACTTCAGTCATGTTTCATGCAGTTATTCGAGATGTCCCTCTAATTTACTATCCTCGACGTTCGAGCAGGGTGAACTTGTTTGTTCACCGTGACGACCGCTCGCTCAGCGCTCAGCAGCGAAGTACTCAAGAACTACTTGACGCGTCATAGTGTCAACCACACTATACCAATGCGAAAGCAGAACACGACCCACTGTCACGGTAATCAGAATGTCCCACACATATAATAGACATCGCCCTACCAAGCCAGTGAGTCACGGGGTTATAAAGATGAAAACTACTCATACTCACTTGGCGGTCATATACTACTTGTTCGCATATCTCGCCAGCGCAGCAATCAGCAGTGGTGTTGCAGAGGATGGCACATGGAGTGTCAATACTGGGAGGAGACACTGACACTGACAACTTGAAAGCAGCAACAACGGCGAGAACGAAGGAGAGACGCGTCATTTTGAGATGTGGTATGGGATCCCAAAAGAATTTAGAAGGGGACGGTATGAAGACAGCTTGCTTTCATGTCCTGCTATTCGAAGTGTTTTATACGAAACCTGTCCACCTGAAGGCTGAAATACATCTTTCAAACAGATGACATTTGGATTAATGCCACCACATTGCCAGCAGATTTTAGATTTGACTTCATCCGTCCTCAACATTTTATTGGGAGCAGAACACTAGGAGATACTGCTAATGTGTAATTCCAACCCGTTGTTGTATCCGGTCTACGATAGGTGACACGATCCCTAGAGTTAGGCTCAGGGTACTCATGGATACTAGGATAAATCCAGAGTCTCATTATGCATGAGGAAACGTGAAATGTGATACCAGGATACCGGGAGATCAGCAGCTGAGGCTTAGGGGATCTAAGTCCCGGAGCAGAGTGCTCCCCAGGTACCTATTAGTACTGTCATTTTCGGAACGCACACTTATGCAATACCGTATAGTGCTGGACCCCAACCACGTCAGTAATCTGCAAAACCTCATTTAGCCCCAGTGAACGTGAACTCCTGCGGGCCATTATACGTATCTCGGCATCCCAGGCCCTTTTTCTGTCTAAACGGCAATGCTCGAAGAACGATATTATTATCTGCCAATCTTTCGTTTAATCGCATTACAGCCTGAGGGAAGTTGAGTTGGCATTTCTAACTTGACTCGCACGTACTCTCTAATCAGGCTCAGGCTCCTTTCATCGAGATTCCGCAGTCTGACTGTCTATTCTATGTGAGGCCTTTATCAATCATATATATATTGCAAGCTTATAACGGGACAAAAACAACGCGTCGTAAGTACTTCAGTCATGTTACTATAGATGTCCCTCTAATTTATGATCTTCGGTGTTCGAGCAGGGTGAACTTGTTTGTTCACCGTGACGACCGCTCGCTCATCGGTCAGCAGCGAAGTACTCAAGAACTACTTGACGCGTCGTGGTGTCAACCACACTATACCAATGCGAAAACAGAAACACGACCCACTGTCACGGTAATACCGGCGGGCCCAATGTCCCACAAATATAATAGATATCGCCCTACCAAGCCAGTGAGTCATGGGGTTATAAAGACGAAAACTACTCATACTCACTTCGCGGTCATATACTATTGGCTGGCATATATCGCCAGCGCAGCAATCAGCAGTGGTGTTGCAGAGGATGGGACATGGAATGTCAGTACTGGGAGAGGGCACTGACACTGACAACTTGAAAGCAGCAACAACGGCGAGAATGAAGGCGAGACGCATCATTTTGGAATGTGATATGGGATCCCAAAAGAATTTAGAAGGGGATGGTATGAAGACTGCTTGCTTTTATGTTCTGCTATTCGAAGTGTTTTATACAAAACCTGTCCACCTGAAGGCTGAAATACATCTTTTAAACAGATGACGTTTGGATTAATGCCACCACATTGCCAGCAGACTTCAGATTTGACTTCATCCATCCCCAACATTTTCTTCGGAGCAGAACACTAGGAGATACTGCTAATGTGTAATTCCGACCCGTTGTTGTATCCAGCCTACGATAGGTGACACGAACCCTAGAGTTAGGCTCAAGGATCTCATGGCTACTAGGATAAATCCAGAGTCTCATTATGCATGAGGAAACGTGAAACGTTATACCGGGATACCGGGAGATCAGCAGCTGAGGCTTAGGGGATCTAAATTCTGGAGCAGATTCAGAGTGCTCCCCAGATACCTATTATTTTCGGAACGCACACTATATGCAATACCGTATAATGCTGGACCCCGACCACGTCAGTAATCTGCAAAACCTCATTTAGCCCCAGTGAACGTGAACTCCTGCGGGCCATTATGCGTATCTCTGTGGATTGGCAAAGTTCTCTGGGCATCCCGGGACCTTTTTTCGGTCTAAGCGGCAATGCTCGGAGAACGATATTATTATCTGCGAATCTTTCATTTAATCGCATTACAGTCTGAGGGAAGAAACACAGTTGAGTTGACATTTCTAACTTGACTCGGACGTACTCTATAAGCAGGGCTCCTTTCATATCCGAGACAGCACATTATGCATAATCACGGCCGTGTCGTCGCATGCCACCGTGATCTTACTTGCCCACTGTCTGAAATCCCAATGCCGCCTTGTCTATCTATGGTGTTCCTTGCCAAGACAATACGCGCTTTGGTCATACCCTATCGTTGCCCTATCGGAACGGGTCTACACTTACTTGTCGGACGTATTTCATCTGTGCTATCACATTGGTCTTGTCATCCAGATATACGGCAGTATTCACCAAACTAAGCTTAACTTCCACTTGGAGTAGAGACAAAAATGATTAATGAGGGCACAACGGTACATGCGCTCACGACTGCATACGTGAATTCACACTTCATCCGAAGTTCCGAACCCCATCTCAGAGCGCCAGTATGGTCATCGTTCCCACATATATTAAATTAAATTTGGAATCAAATTATGTATTATGTAAGCTTTTTTCCACACTTGCACACAACGCCAAAGGAAGTAGACAGACTGCTGCCTATTGTTTGGCATTTAATATTCAATGACTGCAGCAAGTCACTTGTTCTCGATGGTGCAGACGATTTTCAACGAGTAGCGAGATGTGCAAATGAGCAACGATGTATAGCGGCAGGGACATAGTACTACAAAGAAAGACAAATGACGGCAGACAGAAAGATGTGAAAGTGTGCGGGGCACGTACAGACGATCTGTAACAAGTAGTAGCAAATATGAATGAAAAATGTGCAGCAACAGGTGCAATTGAGTACGGATAAATGGCGGCAGATGCAAGGATAAGTGAGTGCCAACTGATGCAAACAAGCAGGGACAAGCGCAGGCAAGTTTCCATAAGCCGAAATGCACATGGACGAGCGAAAGAGTCCGAATAAAACATACACAGACAAGCATAGGTGTGAGGCAAGCCGGTCATCGGAGTAGCACAGATCTCCAGTGCACATGTGCTGGCAGGACAATCTAAGCAAGCGAGGTGACAAATTTGACGGATGGAAGTATACGGAGATGGTGACAATCGTTCAGACCATTCGCGCGGAAGCCGTTGACAGAAAATAGAATGTTGTGCTGACAAGTGATAAGGATATCCGTATGCGGGAGGGGAGCCGCTATGGACTTGGATAGGTTGGGCAACAAGAAGAGTCGGGATTGTCGAGGGAAAGAAAAGCATAAGATGTGCCCATCAAAAGCTGGAATAGATAGAAAAACTGTAGAAAATACATACCACAGTTGAGCTTCCTCGGGCATTTGTGTTTTCGAGGACTCTTGTGTGGGTGTCGATTGGAACGCTTCGAAGTTCGAAGTTGCTAACTCAATCGTCGAGAATGAACGGCGCAGCCCGGAATGTTCCTTTTTTAAACTCCGCCAGGACTTCCATCTGGTCCGAGTCAGTGGTGTGTAGGGTGCGCCCAACTTTGAGCGTCCCAAATAGATCACTTCAAGGCACGAGACATAGAGGTCGATGGAAAGTACATACCGATTGCGACTGCCAGTAAAGTTCGACTTCGTCGGGGCGATACTACATTGTCATATGGATCACGGCAGGGCAACAACTTGAACGTTTCCAAGTTGTCACGAACACACCTACCACAGGATCGACGGCACTGCGATGGTATATGATGCCACAAATGAAATGTCTGACCTTTGGGCTGCCCATAGATATCCGTATGTGGCACAAGCATATCAAGCAGATGCGCCAGAACATGTCTTAATGCTATGCTCCTTGGGGACAGGGTGGGCGTACCGGATAGACCACTTGTGATGTGTGACGGAGGAGTAAGAAAAGCTTGAGCAGCCAGCTTTCAGCTGGGCAATCACATTCACGGAGGCTTTGGCAGAGACGAATGCGGGCGTAGACGACGCATCCTTCGGTGCTCAGAGAATAAGCATGCATTTGATCACGATGCTACGTTCGGTAGTTCTGGTGACCAACCCTTTGTATATTGCATCTGCATACAAAGACAATATTAGAGCGCTGTGGGCTTAGGGAGCAAAGGAAATGCAAGAAAAGCAATGAACAATGGCCTAGTGCTCAGCAATTTTTGGGTTTATGTGGTATCAGTTGATTGTAAGAATGGGGCCATAGCTGACAGACATGTACAAGTAACAAAGTCGACGGTCCCACTGTGCAAAGTTTACTAACAGTCCGGAGAAAGAGATTGGCAATTACCGAAAGCGGTGTTGCGGCATCGCCACCGACAAGATTACTAGTTCCATTTGTAGGTTTTAAGGATTTCATTGACTTGCTCTAATGCTCTCATCTGCCCTTCCTTCCTCCCCGTATTCAGACTTTCATTACTTTCCATTTGAAAACTCTTCAAAAAAAATACAGCAAATGGTCCCAGATATATGTGTCACTACACGCCGCGCCTGGAAGTCACAAATGATACGTGAACAGGAGGCTGCAGGTTCACAGGCACACCTATCACCGCCTACCCCAGTTTCTGCCGAGACGTCACCAGAAGCCGATGAGCCAACTCACTTCGCGCAGATAGCAGGTCCTTCGAAGCGACCTAGAATATTGTCAGTCGCACCCGAGCCAACATTACGCCCCCCGAAGTCGAAGAAACGCGCGACTATGAGCGCGTCTTCGTCGCGTACTCAAAGTCGACAACGTTCCGAAACTCTCGATATCGAGTCTATATATCGAGGCAGTCGTTCTCGATCGACGTCGGCCTTTCCTCCAGCTGATCTCCCTTGTCGACAGTTGTGGATCACTGAGGATGGTTCGCCAGGTGAGAACTTTGTCAGTGCCGCGTCTGTAGTAACGGTATTATCGCGATCATACAAAACTTGTGAGAATCCATGTATCACATGCAGATCTCATTCGAATTTATACTCATTGCAGATTTCAAGAATTTGGACGATTCCAGTGACACGTCATTTGAAGCTGAATCTTATCCTGCCACTGAACTGGAGTATCCTAATGCTAATGCATGTGAGAGGTACGTGTTGTGCGGTGACTTGTACTGCTTCTTGCTGATCTATCTTGCGTGTAGCTATTACATATTGGCTCCTAAGGACCCAGATCACTACAACCCCATCATGTGCCTAGAACAATCATTATATACTATCTTCGAATGTGCGTTACTACCATCACCAGTCGTGAGCACAGATTCTGACGCAATACCAGGCTACCTTACTCCCACGCAGCAAGCGCTATTTGGAACATTACCCACTGATTTTCTACAGGATGTCGATAATACGCCGCCGTCCTCACCACTCACACAACTTTCGGGTGATTCAGAACAGTCAAGTCCTGTAAAACTCCCTTCGTACGACCCCCGTGGAATGAATCACTTGCGTCTCCTCCAACGTTCCATCCGACGGCGGGACGGACCACTGTTCCTTTCTACCATGCAAAACATTAACCAACTCCTCCGTGCGCTGAAATATCCATCACTCCCATCGGACCCGTTTGCACCTGCACCTCCTAATGTACTTATAGAGGCCATTAAAGGTTGGCCATCAAACGAAATCCCCAATCGGGTGCTCATGCGCATAATCGACGAGACGTATCAACGCTCCGTAGGTCCACATGCTCTGAAGTTAAACCGCTACGAGGCATTTTCGAGCGAGGTATATGGCGAATTGATGCCCTCGTTCACGTCAGATATCATTGCTGCCACGCGTCTCCACAAAGATTCCTTGTTTATGGATTTAGGGTGCGGGGTTGGAAATGTATTGGTGCAGGCAAGCCTAGAGACGTGCTGCAGAAGCTATGGAATTGAGGTGATGCCTACGCCTGCGGAGGTGGGGAGAGGGCAGCTGAAGCAGATGAAGAAGCGTTGTAGGATGTGGGGACTTTCGATGGGAGAGGTGGAACTAGAGGAAGGAGACATGTTGACCAGTCAGAGAGTGACTGAGTTGTTACCTCAGGCGGATGTTGTATTGGTCAATAATAAGGTGTTCCAGCAGTCATGTCAGTGCATTTCTTTTGTTTGTGACAAAACATATTGATCACGTTACAGTAAACGAAGCATTACGTCCACGGTTTCTAGATTTAAAAGAAGGCGCCATTGTTGTCTCCTTAAAGCCGTTTGTCTCTTCTCTTAATGCACGCGTTACTGAACGCAACGTGAGTGACGATGTATATCCACTTTCACACATTTATCTCATATGAACCCCGTAGGTGGATGATATAAGCGCGATCTTTGATGTATTTGAGCGGCCCTACCGCTCTGGCAGCGTTTCATGGGGCAGCGGAGGTGGCTCATATTATCTACATCGAGTTGACCGGGAAGGTTATGCTGTCATCAAACAACAGTTTGAGAACCAGCGCGCGAGGAGTGCGCGTGCCTCGCGGCGCTGACAATCTAATAGACATTTACCATATTACTCACGTCGGAGGGGGATGATGAAAGCGACACTGTCTATTGACATGGAGGCGCAGGATCTAGAAGCAGAAAAAATACAGCGAATACATGAGAGCTGGCAACACTAGAGCAACGTAAAAGAATAATAGATTCTACATATAAAGTATTAATTACCTGTGCAAGGTTTCTGCCCTTCGGATGGAGGTAGGATCGCAAGTCCTTTGGCAAACATCACTCACTGCCTTTCGTTGAAGTAAGCCAGAAGAGGAGGTGGCGGTTCCAGAGGAGCGTGGATGCACAGACCCAGTTATGACATGTGTAATTCAGAGCTTCAAAAGCTGATCGACCCCGATCCTGCGCTTCGAAGTTTGGCAAAATACAAATGCCACCATAGCATGGATGGTCTCTACGTCCGGTAATTAAAACACGATGTCTGACCCGGAATGCAGATATGAAATGATACTATGCTCATAAAGCCAAAAACACTGGAAACATCAAGAAATACAGCAAGCTCTTGATCAAGCTGCTGGTCGACTTCAAATTGAAAGGCTAGCCGTAAAGGTAGTACTGGGACGATTGTGTACTCGTCATGATACAGAAAGAGCGACTGTCTTCCTTTTATCCTTACCAAGGACTAGGCCGATCATGGATCATACACCAGCAAAAGGGTTTTCATAAGCATCTGCCCAGGACCTGCGTTTTGAGCATGTTCCTCACTCCCATACCTACCACCAGGAACACAGACGTAATTCTTACATAGGGCACTGCACCAAGATCATCAAAAAAGGACGTAAAGGAGTGAAAAAGTATTAAAACCAGCTTTGCATTTCCAACAAGAATATATCAGTTTTGACGTCCAACCAAGTCTACCAATAGTGAGAGGAATTAGTGGACTGTACGTCGAGTCCAGTGGTGAGGACAAGGAGGCCATCGTCATCGTCCCGGGTGGGGGCAGAGAGAATGCCAGAATCGACCGATTTATGCAGGTTAAGCATCAACCGCGAGATTAGAGTAACGGACATGCTGCTCCGAGAGCATAGTCAGACTTCATTCGTGTTTATCGCACCAGCCACTCACCAGTCAGTAAATGTGCGCAGAGAGCCCCTGAGGATATCCTTGCAGATCACTCGTAAACAGGCACCATAAATATATAATACAAGTTGGTGTGCTCACTGAACCATGCTGAATCAAGCTGTCAGTATGCAACTCAACCAATGATTCATCCGTTGACTCACGTAGTACGTCAGGATGTTCGGTATTTCGAACAGTGTCATCACCCTTGCATGAGGGTCAGACTCACTTGAATCACGATTTCACTAGCAATCTCACCCGAAAAACATAACACCTGCATTCGATTGGTTTCAGTGTTCACTATATTAATGTAGCGAAACATTTACCGTCCTGAAACATGACAGCAATGATATTTCTTCTGGACTTTGTCAGAGATAACCGCAGTAATCCTCTGGTTTTTAAAGCCCTAGTCACCGTGAGGACAAAGATGAGCAATTCATAAACAGGTTGGATCATCCATGCAAGACCTGCAATTGACATCAAGCTACGTGCAAATACATCTAGAGTTCACCGACGAATGATTCTGCAATAACGTTCAAATTTTGGCAGGCGTGTAGACTAGGATGACGTACTTCTCTGCTGCATATATTCGATAGCAGCCTCCTTCTGGCAAGTTGGTAACAGTGCTTGAATGATGACCAAATGCTCCTGTCTAGAAAGAATCAGTAGATTCCAGAGTCAAACTTTCCATGCAAACACGCACAGAAGCTCCTCCCACAAAGGCAAGGATGATAATTACCAACAAAGCAAGCAAGCATCTGCTACGGTCGTAGAGAGCATAAGTGCGAAGAGCCAATATGACTGAAAATTTCAGTAAATGAATTTTCGAAATAAACATCTACTCACAGCAAACGATAAATACTTGTAAAGAAGCAAGTACCTGTCTTGATAGTTTATATGTCGAACAGCTAAGTTTCTGTTGAGCAAAAGAACAAATAATCAAGGACCAGGATCGGACAGGAAAAAGTCATGAGCCTGCTATGTAAGTATATGGATGATGAAATATAGACTCACAACTGAGGCAGGTAGTAAATAATTAATGAATACATAGATATTTCCCAGCACAGCGACATAGCGATTGAGCAGAAACAATACTGAAGATAACGCCTTCGGACGACACCAAATAAAAACAATCTCTTCTGTGAGAGTCGCCATATGGTCGTATATCAGGATAACTAGTGGATTATGGTGTTAACATCCTGACGGCAAAAATAAAAATCCTAGTACTGTTTGGCACCAGAACGGCGTAGCGGGTCATCAACCTGAAAGTATCATTAAGTCACAATCAGCTTATCAAAATACATGGTGCCAAGCTACGCGTGCACGACTCACATTTGGTGTGCTTGAACGACATCCATCACGATGAGGCAATATGCAGCCGTAGAGGAGTGTTGAGCATGCCAGGCGTAGTATTATATACCAAACCTGGGCCAACATTCTTTCACAGATGCCATCATTCGTTGACCGAGTGCTGTGTATGCGGCAAACCCAGGTCTCAAATACACGGAGTTTATTTCCCGTTGGTTGTTGGGTCCAGATCATCCTAGAACGTGTTAGTGCTGTGTCATAGATCATCATGATCTGAGCCAGTCACGCAGTGTTGCCAGCGCATAGACTGCAGTGCATGTCAGGAACGTAAACTTGGCTGAAAGATCACCAAGTTATTACACTATTGTATACTGAAACGCACGTAAGTGGATCAGGGGGATCCAAAAGTAACGTTGGTGATCTCTGTTGGAACGTGAAACTTTGATCAAACTTGTCCGAAGTGTGGCGATACGGAATGGCCCGTGAGAACCGAACGATGATTGGGCCATCCACTTGCCATTCCACAAACACCCGAGTGCACAAAGTAATGGGCCAGCTCCCGTAAGCTAGGCGCTTTACGTATCATGCAGTCACGGTGGTCTCGCATCGTGGACTTGTTTCCTCTTTAGCATTTACAACAGCTAGAACGTTCGCTGTTCCGTTGAATCCGCTGGCATTTCTGCCTGTTTTCGAGTCCGACTCGGAGTGCTCATTTCCGAGGAGTCATATTTACAACAATTCGACGCACTACCCACACATTTCCCGCATCCCGGGCCATGAGTTAGGGTGCCGGGCTTGCCACCAGCGCTAGATTGTTCGACTTGTCATCGGCGATACGCTTGGCGTTGCATTTTCACTCTGGTAAGTTCCTTGCCACATGTTCAGGGACTGAGTCGGGGGTCTGTTCCCTTAAAGCATGCGTGTCGCATTAGTTTGCATTTCCCATCACTCTGAGATCAAAGCTGGGGCTTTTGCGGAAGAAGGAAGTTGAAAATAGTATTTGGCGCAGCAAACCTGTTTTACATCATGGTGATGGTATCTATTTTACGTCTTGTTCAAATATGTTGAAGCCTACTTTATAGCCGTGTAATTGCTTGCGAGCTCGGTTCTCATGAACGAGTTTCAACGTTTCCATTTCATAGAAACATCTTGAAGGTAAAAATTGCTCGTTCACATGATATTCATGGATCTAATCATAGACAAGACGCTGTCCGCGTCGTCCACTTCTCCATCGCCAAAAATCTCCCGCATCAGGTCTGCAGTGGTTTGCATTGGCTCAGGAGCTTGGACGAACTTTGAAGATTTGTTTCGGTGATGACTGGTAGATGGAGGTTCTCGAGTTGCAATCATGTCAATGTCGACCATAGTTATGGTAGGACGAGGTCGTGGACGGGGATCAGTCGTCTTCTTCGACGCCAGCCCTCTCTCAAACATGCGAGGTACACCAAAATCGCCATAAACGACATGCTTCATGGAAGTGCTATCTGCACCGATCGAAAATCTCGGTCTTGCATTGGACTGCAACCAAGATTCATCCTTGACGTCTACCATCTCGTGATCCACTATAGCGTCGATACGGGGATCCGCCAAACCTTGGACACCTAGTGACCATTGTGGTTGTCGCTTACCGTAGCTGCATTGGTATGAACGTCGAGGCCTCACGAAGGGCAACATTTCCCGAGAGGCTTTATCCACACCGCGAATACCAATAACAGCTCGCTTGCGCTTTGGACTGGAATTTCCGCACTCGTATTCGTCATATGCTTCTCCGTGCATACGCTGGCGAGCATAGTGCGCATGAAGAACTTTGAGGTCTGGTATTGTCGATTGCCGAGAAAGGTTTGGCGAAGCAGGTTTACGCTGGAGGGTGGCGCGGGACTGGATACGTTTCATCCTGTCTTCGAGTGTCCAAAAATGCGCATTTTGTGAGCGTGCTCTCAAGGGACGTCTTGATCTCGGAGTTGAAGGATAGCAGGTTTGAGATGATGGAGTCCATGACATCTCCTCTGCGTAAACTAGAAGGAATTTAGCCTTTAGTTCCGCCTAACGATGATAAGTGAGAAGTTCTCGAAAGTTCTGTGTGGTATATCTCACCCAGTGGTTTGTGGCATATCGCAACAAAGGTCCCGGTACTCCCTGAGCATCGATGCCATGGTTCGGGGGAGAGATACAGACTGAAGAATGGTAGGTGTCAAATTGACCGATCATAGTAGCCAGCTACGAGATTTGACGAGGATAGAAAATATGACTGGAGGATGGAATATAGGGGCAGGGAAGGTAGCTAATAGGAACTTGAATGTCATACCATCTCTTGAATTGAACGGATGTTTCAGATGCATCATTCCAGTCTGAATTACAACTCATCGATGCATCAACGATGTTTCCCATCAAGCGAATTCAGGCTTCATTATTATATTGGGGATGATACAACGTTAGAATCTTCATCTTCATCTTCGCCTCAGCTATCTGGGCTAGGTGAAATTGATGCAGTCTGTCTTGATGCGCCTGAGCTATCGGAATTGATGTTTCAATGGTCGCAGTACTATGTTTCAAAGCTCGCTAAATATATGGTGGAAGTACTACACAGTCGATGGACACCACGAGTTGGTGCTCGATGCACAGCAAGCTGACCAGAAATCGAAGATATGGAGATTGTTGCCGCAGGCTATGCCGCTAGTAGTTCATCGAATACAAATTTGTATGGTCTTGTATTACCGTAAGCATGCTGGCTTACTTGAGTTCCCATAATCAGTACATATACCGTCGCTGATGCTGAAAGCTAAGCTTTCAGTATTTCACGTAACGGTTATACACGGGCGGCGGTCCGACCATGTTACTCCCATCCCATTTCGCCATGAACTCGCACCGTCAGCTCGTCCAGTACGGCGACCTAGAACAATCTCAACAAACCAATGGCGCCAGCAGCTCAGCAGTAGCTTCTGAATCTCGTTCACGTCAATCACCTCCATCCAAAAAACGCAAAAAGTCAAATCAAAAAGCCAAACGTCCGAGAAAAACTGCCCACTGGGATGAACCAGGAGACAACCAAATGAACTACGACGACGCCAGTGCCCATGGTGAGGATGGTGAAGTTGAAGAGGGTGAGAGTCGGGAGCTCACACACGAAGAAATATGGGACGACTCTGCGCTCATCGACGCCTGGAACTCTGCCACAGCAGAATATGAAGTACGTCTAGCAAGTGCTCTTATATCTGCCGATCTTGACACCCTTGCAAGGCATTCCACGGGGAAACGCAAGACTGGAAATCGACCGCTGTCAAGAAATCCTCGCTGTGCGTAACCTTACTCATGAAAGATATAATCTAATTGTGTTCAGATGGTACAACATCCCCTATAATAGTTCGAAGGCCAAAACACCTAATTTAATAAAAGCGGCATCTGCAGAGGCCACCAGTCATGCTGCAACAGCTGAGGACTCTGCCCCGCTTGATTTCGACACGTTCGTCCCATCATATGATCCTTCGCTGCCAGTACCATCTGAGGCTCCCGCGGCACCCGAGTCCTCGTTTTTCATACCCGCACCTTCAACTACTATGGTAAGCCGCGATGAAGCTTTCAGCCGTGCGCTAAGTGCGATGTATTGGGGCGGATACTGGACTGCAGTATACCATGTAAGTCCTTTGCGAGCTTGTTGCGGGGTACTACTTACGCATCGGCCTGCTTGCAGTGCCAAAATCAGCAGCCCTCTCAGGAGGCTGTCGAGGAGCAAGATCATCAGGAATATGAAGATGATGAAGAAGATCTTGAGGATACTGAAGATTTGGTACCTACTCAGCGGTAATTGCCAAACAGTCATTGGAAAGGTATGCTACGGAAATGAAGGTGAGGACCCAAAGTTATGGATCATTCACTGCTCATCTGTGTGCTACCTGAGGCTGTAGTATATTAATGAGCAATTCAACGACATCATCGGAACGAGTAAATGAGCATAGCGTGTTTGAAAGTGATGAGATAAAAAGTGCAGTGCTTAAGAAAATGGACCTGAAAGGCCTCGATGTGATGGCATCATCATTAGATTTGAACATTAATGGACCTCAGGCCATCGACCACAGACTGATGTTGAGCGTGTGATGAGATCGATGAGATGTGTGGCAGGCATTAACGCTTCAGCAGTCTGGTTCGCACGTGGTTCGTTCTTCCAGGTCTCATCACAATATTATAAACAAAATCTCGACGACATACAGAACTATTCTGACCTGATTTACCATATTTTACAGAGCGATCTCGACATCCAATCTCGCCAGATACGAGTACACATCAGGCGACATCCTATACTTGAGGATACCACCAAACACCATCAGCGACCTCGATTTTTTCCTAAGCGTTGTCAATGTCTGTAACGAAAACATAGTGAGGACACGAAGGATGATGTAGCTATTGAGCACAAACCATCTGCCTTGTAGTTTCTGCTGTAGCAGAATTTTTGATGGATTGGTGTACTGCCGCTAAGGCCTCCATCGTGAGCGGCAAATAGACTTGTAGATTGCGTTGTAAGGCATCATGCAAATCTTTGAACTCCTCAGCCTTCCTCGTAATCTTTGCAACATCTCCATCGAGAGGAATGAGATCCGTAGACTCCATAATCTACAATAATTGTCAGCATTTGGTGGAATCAGAAGACTAGGATGAGATCGTACCTCAAGCACAACATCGAACCGTCCAGAGCTCTTCGCATTGAGCGCTTCCCTGATGCGTAACAGTCTTACAGCAGCATCTCGATCCTTGCCTACTGCCCTGTTCGTGCGCTCGTAATGTCTCAAAATCTCAACGGCAGTGCGTTCGATGATTTTGCCCTTATCTGATTCACCTGCTGGCTGCGCCAGGGTGTTGCCGAGCGCCTGGGCGAGGCATGAAATGACAGTGCCGTAGTCCCCGGCGAGGTTGTAGAGCTTGATCGCCTCCGGAATGCGGTCGTTCTCCTCGGAGTCGCGGGCGGCGCGAATGAGGATCTGTTCGTTGTACTGGGCGGTGTTTTGTAGATGGAGAAGAGTAGCGCCCTGTTCGATGATGCCGCTCTGCAGGAGAGGTGAGCCATGTTTAGTGGTAAGTGAATTGAGAAATGGAACATACGAAACGCGTGCCATCGGGTCTGAATCCACCGACAAGCTCTTCCCAGGCGGGACCTGAGTGAGCGAGAACGATGATGCGCCTCACGAGTTCCCAAGCGGTCTCTACATTTTCTCTGCCGACGCCGTCGCCTTGATCCGCCGAGAGACAGACGCAGTAGACATACTGTAGCGCTTCTTTCGCGTCCATCTTAACGAACTGGCGTACGTATCGCCAAATGAGCATCGGCAAGCTGAGTGCGGGAGGTGAGAGTGGGGACAAGGTCACTGAAAATCTAGGTGGGTTACATATAGGTGGAAATTTTGAGTGCATACGTACAAGGACTGATGTCAGATGTTTCAGCACGAGATGGGACGCGTAGAAGCCCATGATATGCAAGCGCAATAGCAAGGTGAACAGCTTCGATTTCTGTTTCTGGGTGCTCCCATAGTGCAGCCACAGACTAGGATATGATTAGGATAGAACTCGGGTATGCGTGATGTTATGCTCACACGTTCAAACTGGCCGCACATGAGCAGAACACCAGGCCACACACCCCTCTTTGTACCGTCGAAGTGGCGCTCTCCATAACTTAGAAGAACTTCTGTGAGCCCACGGAGGCCACCCTCTTCCTCTTCATCAACCTTCTGCATGTCAGCTTACATTCTTTGGGAGATACAAAAAAACGCACCATTGCAAGCTGGAACCACAACCAATCCTCGGTCGTCATCGTCACTTGTGATACTGTTCGCCGCGAAGGCTCGAGCTTGCCCATGAGTTTATAGAGTGCAAGCTTGAATGGATCTGCAGATGCAGAATGCAACATGTGTGCATTGTATACTGTTTGCAAGTGGTCACGATGTGGTTTGGGTAACCTGGAGATATGCTTGATTTATAAAGGGCATTGTTTCTCATGGAAAGGAATTACCGTCTTTCTGGCGACTCGACCCATGAGCGGAAGTGGTTCATGAAGCTGTCTTCGCGGTGTTCAATAGCTTGCTGTGACTTCAAGGCTTCATCAAGGGCCTCTTGTGCGTGACCGGTGCGTACAAGGTAGTACAACTTAGCCCACAAAGGCTGACCAGCGACAAGCTGCGTGACTGTCAGATAGGATGAAAGCTCAGTATAAATGGTACCAACCTCTATCCGATCTTCCCACTGCCCGTTTTTGTAATATCTCATTAGGAGAAAGGCGCGTATTTTATTTGCTACACTAGGGTCTCCTCCAAGACGGGCTTCCATAGGTCTCGACTGGATCGTGCGTTCAATGATATCCCAAAATTGGTCCTCGAGCGCTTCTCGTGAGCCTTTGGCAATCTGTATCCGCAGAGCTGCAGCCTCCCTGGAGTCGCTATCCCCCAGATACACCCGCGCATATTTGCGTTCGAAAAGCGGGGCGTTCAAGATGTGAGCGCCTGCGTGCTCCACAGGGGGTAGAGCGGGGGGTTCACTAGTAATCTTTGCAAGCACGTGGAAGTTTTGAAGTATTTGTTGTGAGGAAGGCTGTATGCACAAAAGTGAGACAATTTGCATTCGACACAGTGAGAGATACGTGCCTCTGAATTCAAACTGGCAGCGGCTTGCATAAGGAGATGGATGATAGGACAAGATGTTCCGCGCAACCTTGCAGCGTTCAGTTCGCTGATTGCACGGTCATATGCCATCATCTTGCTCTGCATCTGGAGAGTCAAACTAGGTCCTGTGCTTGCCTGTTTCACATTGTCAATAGGTGAACACCACATATTCAGAGTTTAGCTGACCGCCAGCGCCGCCTTTCCATGGAAACTCTTTTTCATTTCAGCAAGAGCTTTGCTATCACTAGTAGCACGACCTCCCAGCTCTTCAAACACGCGTCTCTTTTTGGCCTCCCAGTCTTTGTGGCTGCGCTCCTCAAGCAGACGATAGAAATGCTCCTGGGTTTCTCTTCGACCTTCTTCTATCGTTGAAATAAGATTCTGTTCGTGAGCATGACGAAGATAGCCTGAGACATCCGTGTCTTGGAGGGGCTGGAGGGGAGAGAAAGTTGACGAGGTATTCAAGTGTGCGATGGAGTTGGCAAGGGCAGGGGCATCAACATGAGCCTGTGCCAGAAGGTAGTTTCTGTCATAGACGTTAGAACAATATTGCTCGATGTTTATTTGCTCACGCTCGGTCAGCATCACTTGATGCTCCAGGTTGTCGTGATACGAGCCGACGCGACTGTGCCTCTATCTGATCGAGTGAAAGGTTGACAGAAGGAAGATCAGGCCGTGAAAGATGCGAATTCAGAGCTCTTGACGAGTTCAGCAATGAAGAAAGGTCGGACGCCATCGTTGGTATTGTCAAGCTCGGTGGCGAGCTAGATTAAGATAATTCTTGATTGAGCTTCAGGTTTCCTTAGGTCTCCAAGGTTCCAACGTATGAAAGATGGAAGTACGGTCAACGCCTGCTAAGTCGCCGGTAATAATGTTCGGGAACAAAAGTATGAAAACATGTCACGGGACCACACACGCCAAATTGAGTTGTAGTAGTTGTGCAGTTGAACGCGTCGGTTCAACGTTGATTCGACATAACTCAATCGGTCCACAAAATACTTATAACGCGTCTCTGACTTGATTCCTATTCTTCTACGGTACATGGCGAGAAGGAGACGAACGATAACCACACGTCCAGGCACATTCAACCCAGAGGATGCTCGCCGTGTCAAGCACACCCGCATCGGCGTATGGGACCTCTACGAGGATCGCCAGACTGATATGCCACGCATACCAGGCTCATCAAGATTGGAGACGTATGCACAGATAGTCCAAAGCATGCCCCACGTACTGCGCATGTTAAAGGATATACTCAGCATCAGACAGTGCTGCCTACTACTCCCTGTATTCTTGGTAGTGGAAGTTTTAGCTTCCCTCACACCCGCCATATCCCTATGGTATGCCCCGAAGCTTTATGTAGCCTTTAAACATTTGAAACGCTTTTGCGCAGGTATTCTGGACAACTGCTGCGCCTTGTAATACCCTCTTTGTTTCCATCTGCACTGCCGACTAATCTCTCATCCAGGTAGAGACGGCAATAGAGACACGTACTGTGGACACAACAGTCCTCATTCATGTTGCAATAGGACGCGTGGCGTGCACAGTCGCGACGCGTCTTCTCCAATACGCCCGAAGCCGCATCGTCATCCCTATAAACATGTCCATTAAACAATTCTATGCTGGGCACATATTCCACTCCATGGCACGCCTTGACGTTCCTACATTTGAAGACTCCGCCGTTCAAAGGCAGCTCGAGTCCGCGTGGGCGTCCCCTTGGGGCACTAGCGTAGCTTGGGAAACCGTCCAGAGTTCAACGAACGTCGTAATGACGGTTATTCGTTTGGTCTCTCAGATTTCAGTTCTATTTACAGTTTTGCGCGAGCAGCAAGATGGTCCTTTGCTTGCGATTCTCAGCTTCTCGCAATCTATATTTCAGTGGTACAGCACAAGCAAGGGAGTGTTTGGCTCCTTGGGTAGGTCAATAGCCCATACTGTGAGCATGTCACTGAGCCAGACATATAGTTTGGGCGGCTACCACGACTAACGAAGATTATGTTCGCATGCAAGGCCTTAAGCACTTGGTCGATAACCCTTCACACCGAAAGGAGGTTGTCGCAGGTAACCTTGGCGAATATGTCACTGCACGTATGTCGATGCATCTTGTCCGAACGACCTCATTTTGACGCGTCCCGAGACCAGAATTTCGTGAATCCGCCAAGCGCGTCGGTGATGATGCGGGCGAGTTCCCAGAGTTGCGTCGAGCCCATACTATCAAGGATCGTTTGAGTATCGCGTCCATCCTCCGCGAACCAGTGCGGGAACTACCCCAGGTATTTAATGCCGACTTGGAAATCGAGGAAGCTGATTAAACCAACCAGATTGTCTTCACCCTACGCGCAGTACAAAAACCAATGACCATTCCTCTCTCGCTGGCGTCACTTACACTAATCAATCAAACATCTAACTCATTCAGCACCACGCTTTTCTCACTGTTCGGAGAGTCATTCTCTCTCGCAGAGCAGTTTGCCAATGTACGCAAGTTGTATGAGATCGAGAACGTGCAGAATAAGGTAGTGGATGGTGCGGAATCGTTTCCCGAGAACCAGCAGGCTCTCAAGAGTGGTATTTCTGTTGAGTTTAGGTTGATCCTATTCCTTATGTTCTTCAACCGTTTCTGATGCATGTATGCCAGGAACGTTTCGTTCCGATACCCTGGTGCAGAGAAGTATGCTCTGCAGAATGTTTCCTTTACAATTGGAGCTGGTCAGCTTTGCGTAAGTACCGCGCCTTTTGTGATGCTCTTCCTCACCGTGCTTGTAGGTCATTGTCGGGGTGAATGGCTCTGGTAAAAGCACAATCTTGAAACTCATCTGCCGTATCTACGACCCGACGGAGGGCACTATCTTTGTTGATAACCGTGATATCAAGACCCTCAGACTAGCAGACCTCCGCGCCGCTATGTCCATTCTCTTCCAAGACTACACGCACTTTCCCCTCTCGGTGAGCCTCGTCCTCGCATATCCCAGAAGCAAAGTACCTGACGGACATACAGATAAGCGAGAATATTGGACTTGGTAACCCTGCCCTTGCGCACGACTACGACAAGGTCCGAGAAGCCGCCCGTCTGGGCGGCGCAGAACACTTTATAGACGAGCTCCCTGACGGATTCGACGCTTACCTCGACCGCCCAGTTAAGGACTACTACGCAGGCCTCCCTGAAGGCACCACGATGCTCTTTGGTAGATCGGTCGACTACTCTCGTGTGCGAGGTGTTGGGGGTCTTCGTGTTTCTGAGGCTTCAAGTCTCAGTGGCGGGCAGATGCAACGACTTGCAGTGTATTTTTTGTTTAAATAGAATTGGGGTGCCAGTGTTGACTGTTTGAACAGATCCCGCACGTTCATGCGCTCTTTGGCCTCCGAGACAGAGTCTTCCGCGGGCATGCTGTTATTCGACGAGCCGAGCGCCTCTTTGGACCCTATGGCTGAACACGGTGCGCTGCAGTACATGCCCAATTTGGGATGACTAAAACTTCTCTCGAAATAGATCTTTTCGAGCGCCTAAGGAAGTTGAGGGGCAACAAGACCATGATATTCTCATCGCATCGGTTCGGGAACCTCACCCGACATGCAGATCTCATTTTGTGAATTTTAGTCTGCTTCCATCTCAACGATGGCGCTAACATAGACCTTGCAGGTACATGGACGAATCTGTTGTCCAGGAAGAAGGCACGCATGACGATTTATTGAAGAGAGGGGGAGAGTATGCTCGTATTTGGAATTTACAAGCGAAAGCTTTCATTTAATGAACCAGAGACGAACTGCACGCTATCCAATATCACGATGATTAATCATGGAACCACTCGTGCGTACGCCCATACATGGAATTGTCCAGACTCCAACCCATGGCAGTGTGTCAGTGAATCCTATCCTAGTGCGCCATACAGTCGTTCACGCAAGTCGCGCACAGAGATATTTCACACGATATTCCTGAAACTGTTCATGCATTCCTTTTAGTGCATACCTGCTTGGGCCGTTTTTCTGAGTGTCTCGCGCAGCTGTGACCACATTTCACAATTCCACTCCCGATCAATGTGGAAAACGAGACTCTGCATCTGATACCTTACACCTGCAGACCAAAATGACGGAGGCGATAGTTCAGTGATGCATGTCATTTTTGCCACCAGGAATTCCAGTTACAGGCTGCATGACGTAGAGTAGCACCTCGAATTATATTTCATGCAGCTCGCAGGACTGAAGGCGATCGTGGGAATGCACTTAGCGTTCGAGCATTGCATTAAGCGGTCACGCAAGCATCGCATACACTTCTACAGCTCAGAGCACAGCACCTATCAGTACAATCCCTATATCAATGTTATTTCGACCACCCTTGCTTAATATCCGCGAGAAATGGCGGTATCCCAACACTGCACATTTACCCAAGCATTTGATCATCACAGCCGACCGAGCGTTGGAGGATCAAGAATACGCCATAGATAGAGAGTTCTGGTCCCGATACGTGATGAGAGGCTTGAAAGGAAAATGATGGCTGTGCGTATAACGAAACAGCCTTTTAGCGCTGCGAAGCTCAAGATACCCACACTGCTTATCGTCCGCGCTCAACACCATTGAGCTCACCACAATGGCAGAAGAAGCAGAGCAGCCTGTCATCCCAAAGACCGAACCTGTTCAAACGTTTGAAGATCATGACAATACCGGTACCATACTCGCACTCTCAGTCTTTCCCGATGGACAACATATGGTAACGGGCTCGGCGGACAGGATGCTTCGTCTGTGGGACATGAATGATCGCACTGTGTTGAAGAAGATAGTGGGGCATCGCGGCCGGGTGCGGGCAGTGGCAGTGACAGCATCACAAGACAGACAATTGATAGCCAGCGCTGACAACGGAGAGGTCATTTTTTGGGACAGAGACAAGGACGAAGCTCTCACCTCTGCCATCAAAGCCCACTCCACATACATCCGCTCGCTGGACTTCTCACCGGACGGCATGATGTTGGCGACTGGTTCGATGGACCATACGGTGAAGTTGTGGAACACGGAGACGTGGCAGCAACAAGGAAATTCAATCAATTGTGATGCAGAAGTCTACAGCGTTCAATATTCGCCATCAGGCGAGCTACTTGCCATCGCGACAAACTCTGATATTCAAATTTGGAATCCACTGGGGACAAGAAATCGCATAGCACACTTCAAGGACCACATGAACAAACTCTATGTAGGGACCACCTTGCCACTTGCCTGGATACCCGATGGCACACAGCTTCTCTCAGGCGGGTGTAGATTGGATCCAACCATAAGGCAATGGGATGTAATTACGGGGCAGCAGGTCGGTGATCCGTGGAGGGGCCACAACCACGACATCAACGCCATTGCCGTGAACTCTGATGGTACTCTGGTCGCCTCCGCGTCTACAGACCATCATATTCGCCTCTGGCAGCTCTGGGATCGAAAAACCATCGCTATATTCCGACACTCAAGCTTGGTGCGCTGCATCGCCTTCTCTGTGGATGGCAAGCGTATCCTTAGCGGAAGTGACGACAAGATCTCGGAGTGGACAGTACCCAAGCACGTTGCAGGTGGTGTCAAGGTATGTGTCTATTCTTGACTTATATGACTTATTGTGACCTTCTTCATGCAGATGCTCACTATAAACACAATGGCACGCAATGCATGCATAACTGGGGACTTGTCTAAAGCTGAAGAGCTGCTAACACGAGAGATCGACACTGTTGTCAATAACTACAACTCCTATGCTAATCGCTCATTTGTTATGGCACGAAAGCATAGCTGGGACCAGGCGCTTCATGATGCTTCCAAGGTTAGATAGACAGACCTATGAGGCCCCTTACCGAAAGCTAATTTTTATCGTACATAGTCAGTCGACATTCAACCCTCGTTCGTGGGCTATATCTCCAAGGGCATTGCTCTCTGCGGGAGAAAGCAGGTCCGAGATGCGATCAAAGCATTTGACCTTGCATCCATGTTCACGGACGGAGATATCAAGGCCAATCATTTCCTTCTCTTGGTCAAGGCAAGTTAAATGATTCTTACATACACTTCTTCATTATTGTTTATTGTTTTCAGGCTGCCGCACTTTTCAATGCAGATCAACACGAGGAGGCAATGATGCGCGTCCAAGAGCTGGCTAAAGCTTGTCCGAGTGCTGATACTCGTGCGTGTTGGATTGTGAAGGTAAGTATCATATACTTACTCAAGCCCAGGCCCGTGCATCAACTAAACTTTGCACACCAGGCATATCTACATGTTCAACTCGGAAACCATGCCTCGGATGATGCGCGTCACAAAGAAGCTGCTAACCACTTTACTGCCGCTGTCAACACCAGCAGTTCCTTCTCTAAATTAGCCATTCATTCCAAATATGAGGATTTTGTCGTGGTGCGTTGATATGAGATAGCCAAAAATGTTTATCACGACCAACTTCATGCTCTTTTGCAGCTCTTCGGGTGGGACCTCAAATCCTTGTGGGAAACCGCAAATAAGAAACGGTGCTTTGCACTCCTTCGGGCAAGAGAACTTGGAGAAGCCTCCGAAGCACACCGATACATGATGGACAAATGTGACGAAAGCACAAAAGCCAACTGCCTTGGTTGGTCCACTGGCAAGTCTTCTGTAATGCCAATCACGTGACAATCCTTACTTGCATTGCAGATTTCAGACAACAATGCAGTGCGCTCTATCATGCTGACGGAGACGCCGCGTTCAGTGCTAGTGATTACGACAAAGCTGTTACCCTATACTCAGCGGCTATCGACCTGGACGCTACAAGCGACACCATCTTTATAAAACGTTGTAAGGCAAAGTTGGAGATGAAGTTATGGGAGGACGCGCTTCTCGATGCGCTAAAGGTGCGAGAATCATCTATTGTTTCGTGAACAATTCTCATTTTTGTGACACAGGTCAATGAACTCAACCCTTCGTCTCATATTGGATACGAGGTGAAGCATGCAGCGCTTCATGGTGCACAACGCTATGATGCATCCATCGAGGCCTTCCAAACTATGCTTCTTCAGTTAGAAAATGCCCCAGAGACGCAAACACGACGTAAGTCCCAGATAAACACGTGTTTTGAGGTACTTGACTTCTTTGCACAGAAATGCGCCAGCGGTATCGCAGTTCAGCCGAAGTAGAACGTGATATGCGAGAGGTCATTCACACTCAACTCGCCGACACCCCACTCCGTCTACTTGACACCACCTCTGGGCTCTTGTGTGATCGGGAGGCGCAGATAAGCGTCTTCAAAACGAGCACAGAATATAAAGAGCTCGTTTCATCGACAATAAGGCATACAGACCTCCAAATGGAGCGCATCGCAGAAGTGGTGGCGACATACTTCCGTTGTGTCATGCTCTCACACCGGTGGGAAGAGAAGGAGCCACAGCTGGAAGACCTACAGGATAAAGTTGTGTACGAGTTGGAGGCAGTTGGAGGCATTGTGAAATTGCAGTCATTCTGCAGAATTGCTCGCGAAGCGCATTATCGCTGGGCATGGATGGATACGTGCTGCATCGACAAGAACAACAATACTGAGCTCCAAAATTCGCTCAACTCCATGTTTATCTGGTATCGCCACTCAGCGCTTACGATTGTCTACTTGTCGGATGTTCCGCCTTCGTCCAAGGCTGGTGCATTGGCAAAGAGTGCTTGGAACAGGCGAGGGTGGACAGTTCAAGAATTCCTGGCTCCCAAAGTCATTCTCTTTTATCAGAGCAACTGGACTCCATATCTCAACGATCACTCTCCCAATCACAAGGAGTCCACTGCGATCATGCAGGAGTTGGAGGATGCGACGGGAATAGATGCACAGACCCTCACTGCCTTCCGTCCAGGGATGACAGGCGCCCGAGAGAAATTGCGATGGGCGTCGACACGTAACACCACTTTACCAGAAGATGTTGCGTATTCATTGTTCGGCATTTTCGACATCCACCTACCTGTGATCTATGGCGAGACAAAACAAAAAGCACTCGGGCGACTTTTGCAGGAGATCGTGGCTCAGTCAGGTGACATCACTGCCCTGGACTGGGTCGGAGAATCATCGCAGTTCAATAGTTGTCTACCGGCCAGCATCACGTCGTACGAAGCTGCGGCATGCAAGCTATCATCTCCGTCTGAAGATGAAATTCAGACATTAATCTCCATGCTGCGAAATAACGTGACTGCAGATTCGGCTTCGAAACTCTATACCCTGCTTAGCAATCTGAGCACTCCTCGTTTCGCGCATCATCGGCTAGACCTGCCTTGCATAGTATTCCCTGTTACAGAAGTTAAACGGAGCCAGGCTCGAGACCAACAGTCATATGAAATAAAAGCAGATGGGCTGCATGATCTCTTCATCAAAACAAGGGAGACACTTATTCCCTTTTCACCGGCACGATCCATCCAGAAGAAAATCTTCCTGGTCCGTCCGTGGAATCATCTTCTCCTAGATGATATGCAGAGCGTTAAAGATGGGCTCGTTCCCCAGTCCGCTTCACAGAACGAAAAGGGGCCGGTTGATGTGGACTCTTACTCACGAGATTTGCGATTGATTGTTCGCCTTGGGCAGCAGTTCAGTGCATTTTTGCTAATGCAGCAACGTGGCGGAGGATATAAGAGGATCGCATCGGATCAGGATATCATTGCACAAGTTAAAGACATAACTTCTATGCATAACACGATGGACATTAGGTCACTAGAGATATTGTAGCGACCAGTGTATCGTAACATTTCGAAGAGCAAAAAGCTGCAGGTTTTCAAGCATCGTCAACTATATTCTCGACGACCATATCTCAATATACACAAATTAGCTACTTTGTCACCCCACAATGGGAATACTTATCATAAGTATTCGGTGCCACGTCACTGCCACTCATGCTGTGGCATTACATGTACATTGCCTTACATCTTGAGTCTGGCCGCTTACTAGGGTGATTTCATTTGTGCGAGAAGTCTGTGACTTGATGTGACGAATTAATGCATTGCAGCTGTGCAGTTGTTTCCCTACGGTCAAGCCATCAACTCGGTATTTCAATACACCCCTGAGCTTCATGATATGATATGGCCACTGGTAGGCACAAATAAGTTCTGACAGTTCATTTCCCTAACTCAGTAGGAAGTTTTGAGCGGCTCATCGAGTCGTTGCCAGGAGTCAGTCACAGGAAGAGAGGTCCGATTCGCTCCACCAATGAATGTTCAACGCGATTGTGAGCTTCAACTTGGTTCGTAACCGATCAAGCTTTGATGACCGTTTAGTTCATTCGCATCTGTGCACACTTATCGACGAATTAAAACTGTGATAAGTGGCGTTTGTTTATAAGATGCATTAAAACTCGCTCTGATCATCATTGTCTGGGTGACACCGTGTCTTGAATTCTTGACGAGCACTCACTTGACTTCGTATGATTGCACTACTAGCCATCACCCCCCTCGCCTTACTGGTGATCTTGTTATTATGCTCTAGCCCTGGAGCAGATGGCCATGTACATTCCGATATCCCTAGTCAACCGGCCATCTGGTATATCGGAAGCGCTAGCTTTTTCATGAATCCATCGCAATTTTTGATAGATGCTATGAAAAGGGCAAACAATTCCATTTTCTCCTTTCGCATTTTTAATGTAAGTGTTCTTATTTATTCGTTCCGTCGCAGCTCACTACAATGGCACCAAAAAACAACAGAGTACGGCTGTAGTCTTGCGGGGGGTTACTGGAAGAAACGCATTCTATTCAAAAAGTTCACCTCTTTGCGCGAATTATTCACTGTCGACTCATGATCGTTTTCATAGGCCTTGATTTCATGGCTGGATATATATTATTGGGGAGTAATATCTATAAATCATACTGACTTTCATCCTTACGGAAGTTCGTACAGATTCCACTACTCGAGACAATCAGAAACGAGAACATGGCAAGCGTGATAGCGACATGTACGCGCCCTGATGTATTGGAACGTTGTAAGTTGCAGTTCTGTTCCCTCGTATAGAGAATCTAATCGTTCATAGTGTTACCATCGATGGTGGAAGATGCTTTGCGAACATTCGACATGTGGGGAAATCACGGAGCAAAAGATATTTCCAAGAGCCTCCACGAGGTAGCTTCAGTCTCTCATAGTAAATGTCACTGGTGATCGAAAGCATCCCCAGATTGTTTTTACCCTGGCTGCACGAATGACGATGTGCCGCGAGTTCTCTGAGGACCCGAAGAAAATTCATGCATTGATCGGCATTTTCAAGCGGCTTGAAGATGGCTCGAACCATAATGCCCTCATATTTCCTTGGTTCCCGACTCCAGCCAGATTTAGGAGGATGCTTGCCGGGGTGCAATTACACCGCATGATTTCTGCAGTTGTTCTTTCGAGGAAAGATCGTCGTGAAGACGACCCACTGTAGGCCATGATAGACAAAGGTCTTTCCTCCACCAAAACCACTGTGGTCAGTCACTTACATATCTCTATAACTCACAACATAACTGTTCTGCCGTAGATGCTTGCTACCATGCTATTTGCTGCAATTGGCAACACCGGAAACGTGATCACCTATTTGCTCCTTCACCTAGAAGCCAACCCGAAGTGGAAAGTACTCGTCGAGAACGAAGCGAGACAGTTGTACAAAGATTCGCGCACCTCTGGACGCGACGATGGCAGACCCTTGTTTTCAATGAATTCCATAGAAACGCAGATGCCGCTCTTCGATATCTGCATTTCCGAAACGTTGCGCATGCTTTTCAAAGGACCATTCATTAGAAGAAGTGTAGAAGACATGTTCGTGGACCAAAAACACATACCACGCGGAACCTATGTCATGTTCCCAACCGCCGACCTTCATTATAATGCTGTATTCTATTCGACACCGCAGGAATTCAACCCGGAGCACTTTTCAGCAGATGCGATTCAAGAGCGGCGACGACATGGAACTACGTTCGTGGGATGGGGTGCTGGTCGTCATATGTGCGCTGGGAGAAGAGCTGCACAAATGCTCATGAAGGTTATCGTCATCCTCCTTCTATCGCAATTCGACACTCATATTGTTACTGATGGGGGAGAACCGGTACGAAGAGTTCCAGAACAGGTAGAAAATCAGTTGTTCAAGGTGTGTCCACCCAAGCAAGCTGTAACACTTCGTTACGAGGTACGGCGCCAGTAACGGTCACTAGGATTACTATGCTGTCATATTTACTTCTACGGAGTTTGCTTGCATCCCCATGTCAAGCCGTTGTGCTGTGTATTATAATTTATCGCACTGACGTTGCGTACCCGACTCGGAACCATTCCCGACTTGTTATTTTTATTTTCCCGGACCTTGAGCATAGCACTAGTATGTGTCTTCTACCGTTGCGACGAACTGTAGAGTAAAGCATGCGTTGTATAGTGCAGACGGAATTGACTTTGATAGAGTCGTGACTCGTTGTCATTCTCATGTTTTGGGTTCAGGCGGGATGACGTGACCGAACATTTGTTTGGTGCACGCGATTACTTACTTAAGGAACATGGCATGTTAACTACTAACTCGCAATAGGTGTTTGAGTTGGCTTGCGCGGGATTTCCCTGCGCACGACTGCGTCCGACCAACCGTCCGACCAGCCAGGCCTCAAGAAGATTCGAGGTTTTCCCCCACCACTCCATCAAACCAACCGTCGAGTCTCGACCAACCATGCCTCAGAAAGATTCAAGGCTCGAGAGCCTGGCCACCGGCCCACGGCGACTGCACATCATTGATCTGCCTAATACCCCGCCTTGCACTGCGAAAATTCGTGATCGAAACCGTGATCTAGTACTGTGATTCTAACTGTGGCTGAGGGTGATTCGGCGCTCGCCAAGGATAACTCTCACCCGAATCCCGATCATCAAGTTCCAGAAGAAAAATAGTGGTCCAGGGCCCGGGACCATTTACTTTTTGCCTTTCTTGGTGTACCTGGAACTCCGAGTCGAATTTCTGTTGCACGCAGGTTTCTGTGAAAATCAACACCATTTTGTCCAAGTAGTATTCTGGTTCGAAGCTATTACGACTTGATTACGACCTCTTGCGACCTTCTGGTTTTGAGCTCTGATTGGTGGAGATACGAGTGTGACATGCGTTCAAAGTAAAAATTTGGGTGGCTCTGAAAACGTTTAGTGTATTTCGGGGTTTGCCTAACGCTTGACTCAAGTAATGCGAATAGAACATGTCTCAGACTTTCTTCCACCATCGGGAAAAAGAGACGAATGTCAACACACTCCGAATCGGACCTCAAGCCTGAGGATGTTCGCCGCGTCAAGCACACGCGCATTGGTATATGGGACGTCTACGAGGCACGCAAACCATGGCATTCGAGGCTCCAGATCCGCATACCAGGCTTATCGATATTGAAGACATATGCCCAGATGCTCCAGGATATGTCCTATGTTGTGCGCATGTCGAAGGATATGTACAGCATCCCACGATGTTTTATTCTTATATCCGCATACCTAGTAGTGGAACTCTTGGGCGCCCTTATACCCGCCTTTTCCCTATGGTATGTCGCATATCTATTAGCAACTGTACTTTCATAAGTCTTTTGTGCAGGCACACTGGACAACTACTTAGCCTTGTAGGGCTCTCTTTTGCTTCCATCTGCACTCCCCGCTTATCTCACACCCAGGTAGAGACCGCAATGGAGACGCGTACTGTGGACACGTCGATGCTCGTTGATGTTGCAGTAGTATATCTTGCATGCACAATCACGATGCGCCTTCTCAAATATGCCCGAAGTCGTATAATTCGCTCCATGGACACTTCCATCAGACGAGTTAACACTGAGCGCGTATTTCGCTCCCTTGCTTGCCTTGACGTGCCCACCCATGGTAGAACACGTACCTTGGATGTAATAAATGGCAGGCTCCCCGATTCCCGTTTTACCTTACAATGCGAAATTGTCGAGATGTCAACAAACATTACAATGATGGTTGTCCGTCTACTGTCTCAGCTATTGGTTCTAGTGACAGTCCTGCGGAAGCAACAGGATGTTATACTTCTTGCAATTCTCAGCTTTTCCCAATCTATACTTAGCTGGGATGGCACACAAAATGTAGCGGTCAGACCCTTAGGTGAGTTAACAGTTGATGGTGTCCGCATCTGTCTGAGCTGCAAAAGTTCGGGCTGCAAAAACTACCAACAAAGATTTCCTTCGTATGAGAGCCCTAGAGCGGCTCGTTCTCGACCATGAATACCGCCAGGAGCTTGTTGCAGGCAACCTCGGCGAATGTGTCGCTGCACGTACGTCGATGCACCTTACAAGGGCAACCTTAGTTTGACAATCTTGAGACCAGAATTCTGCGAATCCTCCCGGCGCATTGGTGATGATGCAGTTAATTTTTCAGGAGTGGCACGAACCCATTCTGGTCTGAACGTGGTATTCATCTTGAGAGAAATGATACACGTGTTACCTCAGGTACTCGGAATTGACCTAGGAGTCGAGGAAGCTGACCAAGTCAACCAGATCCTCTTCGCTCTGCGCGTCGTGCAAGAACCAATGGCCGCACCCCTCTATTTTGTGTCGCTCATACTGATGTATCAAGCTTCTTTCAGTTCCTCACCCTTCTCCAAGTCGCCCTCCAGCCCGCATTCCTCTCTTGCAGGGAAAATTCCTTCTATACGCGCCATGTATGAATTAGCAGATAAGGTGCTGAACGAGGTAGTCGATGGCACAAAACCATTCCCCGAGGACAAGCAGTCTCTCAGGAATGGCATTTCTATCGAGTTCAGGTACCATGATTATTGGTGACTTCATGTAGCCGTTTCTGAAACATGTATACCAGGAATGTGACATTTCAGTACCCTGGTAGCGAGAAGTGTGCTTTTCGGAATGTTTCGTTCAAGGTCGAAGCTGGTCAACTTTGCGTGAGTCCTACTCCTTTCGCGGTGCTCTTCTCTGACCGTGATCACAGGTCATTATGGGAGTGAACGGCTCTGGAAAGAGTACGATTTTGAAACTGATCTCCCGTCTTTATGACCCGACAGACGGCACCATCCTCATCAACGACCAGGACATCAAAACCCTCAAACTAGCTGACCTGCGGGACGCCATGTCCATCCTCTTCCAGGACTACACCCACTTCCCAGTCCCCGTAAGCGTCGTTCCCGCAGAAGTACCCTATCAGCAATGTACTTAGTAATGCACGCGTAGATACGTGAGAACATCGGACTTGGCAACCCCGCGTTCGCAAATGATGACGAGAAGATCCACGAAGCCGCCCGTCTCGGCGGCGCAGAAGAGTTCATCGACGACCTGCCTGATGGATTTGACACCCGCCTCGATCAATACCGTGAAAACTACTATGATAACATTGGGCCCTTTATGCCGCCCGACTCGGAGTGCCTCCGAGATGACTTGTCCCTTGTGCATCGCGTTGGGAATTTTCGTAGCAACTCCTATATACCTCTTAGTGGCGGGCAGATGCAGCGGCTCGCAGTGTACGCGAACATCTCTTGACCTCTTGGATGCCAGTGCTAATTGCTTGACTAGCTCCCGCACATTGATGCGCTCATTACCTACTGAGACAGAGCCTTCCACTGGCATGCTGTTATTCGACGAGCCGAGTGCCTCCCTAGACCCTACAGCCGAACATAGTACGCTGCTCCGTTTCTAAGCCAAGTATGACTATTGAACTGGTTACTACCGGAATCAGCTCTCTTCGAGCGCCTGCAAAAGTTGAGGGGCAGCAAGACCTTGATATTCTCCACTCACCGGTTCGCGAAACTTACCCGACATGCGGATCTCATTTTGTGAGTTTTGGTCTTTCTTTCTTGAATATTGAATGCCAATGCTCGTGCTGACATGGCTTGCAGGTACATGGACGGATCCCTCCACGAACAAGGCACGCACGATGAACTGATGAGGAAAGGGGGAGAGTATGCTCGTATCTGGAATCTACAAGCGATGGATTTCCTCTAATGAGTCGGGGCCAGAGATACAAACATTTTGTGAGTTTGAGTCTTTCTCTCAGCGCCGATACTTTCGCTAACGTGTGTCCAGGAAGAAAGCATACGGCGAATTATTGAGAGACTGGTATTTAGGATCTACAAGTGAAGGCTTTTATTTAACAACCTGAGACCATTCATTGTAAGTACAATAAGCCGGATTGCCATATATACCACTACACCGCGGCAATGCAATAGTCACGAAATACTACTTAGAAAAATAGCAAATCGCGAAAACAAAATGTGAGAAATTACACTGGTATCTGGAATTTACAAGCAAAACCTTTTCTTTAATGAGCGGGACCAAAGATGCAAACATTTCGTGAGTTTGAGCAGTTCGCTCAGCGCCAATACTTGCGCTGACGTGTGTCCAGGAAGCTTGAAGGCACGCACGGCAGATCATTGAGAATGTACTTAAATGCCAACGACCCTACTTTAAGTTCACGTTGGCGCACCAAATGAAGATAATCCAGGCCTGATTATCAGGTGCATTCATTGCTGTCAACGATGCACATATGATATGTATATTTCATAGACATGTCGCGAGCCAGAATACGATAGGAGAATTACATCAGTGTACATGCGCTGTCAACTTGAAGGAGATCTGTCCCTCAGAATCTACAATATCTCTAGTGTCCTCACGTCCATCATGTTCTGCATTTCTGTAACGTGCGCAATGATATCACGATCCGATGCGGTCCTCTTATATTCTCCGATCTGCTGCTCATATAGCAACAAAGCATTGAATTGCTGCTGAAGGCGAACAATCAATCGCAACGCTTGTGAGTAAGAATCTAGATCAATCGTTCCTTTTTCTCCAGGAAACCCGCCGGACAGATCTGGCAATGCAGACTGGGGATCGGATGCATCCTCAACGCTCTGCGTTTCGTCTGCCAACGCAGGCAGCTTGAGGAAATCACGGTTCCACGGACGGACAAGGAATACCTCCGTCCGTATGTGTCGTTCCGGCCAAAACTCCTTGAGCTTCTCCTTTGTTTTTATTGAGAGATCACGTAGCCCATCTGCCTTGACTTCGTACGTGAAATATGACTGTTCATCGCGAGGGTGGCTCTGTCTGATGTCTGTGACACGGAATACCATGCAGGGTAGATGCAGCCGGCGGTACGCGAAACGAGGAGAGGGCTGTTTGCTAAGCAGGGTGTAAAGTTTCGAAGCGGAATCTACAGACACGACATCTCGCAGTGACGAGACCAATGTCTGAATTTCATCTTCAGAAAGATGCGGTGGCTTGTATGGCGAGTATTCGTATGAGGTGATATCAGCTGGCAGACAACTATTGAACTTCGATGATTTTCCGACCCAGTCAAGGGCAGTAATGTCACCCGACTCAGCCACGATCTCCTGTAAGAGTCGCCCGAGCGCGAATTGCTCCTTCTCGCCATAACGGACAGATAGGCGGGCGCCAAAGATACCAAACAGTGAGTACGCAATGTCTTCCTTCCGCGTAGTGATACGCGTCGACGCCCATTTGAGTTTCTCTCGGGCGTTTGTCATGGTTGGATGGAAGTTGGTGAGGGACGCTTGATCTATACCTGTCGCAACCTCTAACTCCTGCATGATAGCAGCGGACTTTTTATGGTTGAGAGAGTGGTCGCCAAGATATGGTGTCCAATCCTTCTGATAAAAAAGAATGACTCTGGGAGCCAGTAATTCTTGAACCGTCCATCCTCGCCTGTTCCAATCGCTCTTTTCCAGTGCGCCAGACTCGTGAACATCCGACAGGTACACGATCGTAAGTGCTGAGTGGCGATACCAGATAAACATGGAATTGAGTGATTCTTCAAGTTCCACATTGTTCTGTTTGTCGATGCAGCACGTGTCCATCCACGCCCAGTGATACCCCGCATCACGAACGACTTCGCAGAACTTCTGCAACTTCATAACAGTTCCAACTGGATCAAGACTGTATACGGTCTTGTCCAGGATTTCGCGCAGTGTCTGCTCTTTCCCTTCCCACCTATGCGATAGCGTGACACAACGGAAGTACTGCTCTACCACTTCTTTGATGTGCTCCGTTCGATGTTCTGCACGTTCCATTGTGGATAACAAGAGTTCCATGTACTCCGGGCTCGCGCTGAAGATGTCTATCTGCACACCTCGATCACATAAGACCCCAGTGGTGGTGTTGATTAAACGAAGCGGCGCGTTTTCTAATTGATCGTTAATAACCATTCGAATGGCTTTTTTTGCTTCCGATTGACCAAGATAATTTTGGTGCAACTCTGGAGAAAGAGTCAAGCTTGTTGATAGGTAGGTCATTTGGGACTTACTTCGTATTTCCAGTCCAGAAGTGGTGCCCATGGTTTCGAAGGCATCGATGGCTTCACTAAAGCGTTTTAAGCCGCGAAGCGCTGCATACTTCAACTTGTATCCAATATACGACGAAGGGTTGAGTTCGATAACCTATGTATCACAAAAATGAGTGTTTGATCACAATACAACAAATGCCTCCGCACTCTTTGTGCATCGAGAAGCGCATCTTCCCAACGCATTTTTTCCAACAAAGCCTCACTCCGCTTTGCCAAGATGGGATCGCTTACGGCGCCCAGATCGATTGCCGCCGAATATTGGTAAATAGCATCGTCATAATTTCTCGCTGTGAATGCGGTATCTCCGCTATGAGCATAGCGGTCGCCACACTGGCGCTTGAAAGCTGTGCAGAATGGGGGTGAGGATTGTAGCCTGATTGACATTACAGGAAACTTGCCACTGGACCAATAAAGGCAGTTGGCCTTTGTGCTCTCATCACCGTTGTCGATCATGTATTGGTGTGCCTCGAGGGCTTGTTCGAGTTTATTTGCCTGAAGGAGTGAAAAACACCGTTTTTGGTTTGCAGTCTGCCACAAGGACTGGAGGTCCCACCCGAAGAGCTGTACAAAGTATGTAATTGATCATGAAAAATGTTTTCGGTTGTGTCATATCAACGTACCATGACAAAGTCATCATATTTGGAATAAATGGCGAATTTAGTTGAGGAACCGCTAGCGTTGATAGCAGCAGTGAAGTGGTCGGCAGCCTTATCGTGACGCGCATTATCTGATGCATGGATTCCGAGCCGAAGATGCAGATATGCCTGGTGTGCGAAGTTCCAAAAAATCAGTGCCAATTGCGCGGGCCTGGGCTTGATGGAGCATTTTACTCACTTCCACAATCGAACACGCACGAGTATCGGCACTGGGACAAGCTGTAGCCAGCTCTTGGACGCGCAGAAGTGCCTCGTTATGTTGATCTGCATTAAACAGTGCGACAGCCTGAAAACAACAATGGAGCATGGAGTATGTAAGAATCATTAAACCTACCTTGATCAACAGAAGGAGATGATTGGCATTCAGATCTCCGTTTGTGAACATAGACGCAAGATCAAATGCTCTGATCGCGTCCCAGACCTGCTTTTTCCCGCCGAGGGCAATGCCCTTGGAGATATAGCCTGTCAGCGAGGGTTGAATACTGAGGGACTGTGTCATGACCAAAATCAGCTTTCGTTATGCGAGTAAATATGGGTCAGTCAGTCTAACCTTGGAAGCATCATCTAGCGCACGGCCCCAGTCATGCTTTCGCGCCATGACAAATGAGCGATTGGCATACGAGTTGTAGTTGTTGACATCAGCATCGATCTCTCTTGTTAGCTGTTCTTCAGCTGCAGACAAGTCCCTTTTCATGCATGGGTTTATAGTGAGGATCTGCATGGAAAAGGTCACATTAAGTCATAAATCAAGAATAAACACATACCTTAACATCACACAAAGCGTGCTCGGGTATTGACCACTCTGAGACCTTCTTGTCGTCACCTCCACTGAGGATGTGTTTGCCATCTGCAGTGAATGTAACACAGTGCACCTGGCTGCTGGAGTGTCGGAATATAGCGATGGTTTTTCGATCCCAGAGCCGCCAGAGGCGAATATCATGGTCTGTAGACGCGGAGGCGACCAACGTACCATCAGAGTTCATGGCAATGGCGTTGATGTCGTGACGATGGCCTTTCCAAGGATCACCGACCTGCTGCCCAGGGGTAGATAGAGATACATCCCATTCCCGTATGGTTGGATCCGGTCTACAGCCACCTGAGAGAAGCCCTGTACCATCGGGCTTCCAGGTGAGTGGCAAACTGGTTCCTACGTAGACGTTGTGCATGTGTTCCTTGAAGGTTGCTTTGCATTCCCTCGTCCCCAAATTCCAAATTTGGATATCAGAGGTTGTCGCAATGGCAAGTAGTTCGCCTGATGGTGAATAGCGAACGCTATAAACTGCGGCATTACAGTTGATTGGATTCCCTTGTTGCAGCCACGTCTCTGTGTCCCACAACTTCGTCATATGGTCTGATGAACCAGACACTAACATTTTGCCATCCGGCGAAAAGTCCAACGAGCGGATGTATGAGTCAGAGGGGTGGGCTTTGATGGGTGTACTAGTAGGGGTGAGAGATTCGCCAGTATCTCTATTCCAGATGATGATATCTCCATGGTCGGCGCTTGCTATCAACTTTCTGTCTTGTGATACTGCCACTGCCCGCACCAAGCCACGATGCCCCTCCATCTTCTTCAATACATTAATGCCATTCTCCAAGTTCCACAGACGAAGCATCTTGTCTGCCGAGCCTGTCACCATATGTCGTTGATCAGGAAAGACTGCGACCGCAAGTACGGTATCGGTATTTTCATATATTCGATTAGGCGCGTCGATTATAGTGATAGATTCTTCTTCCATTGTGGTGGAGCTCGATGGTGTTGAACACGGATGATGGGCACTAGTACTGTGGGTATCTCGAGCTACAGGTGCGGCACTCGACGTCTTATCCTGCTCCACATACGCACAGCTATGAGGCTATCGTCTATGATACGGGAAGACCGGAGCTGTCACTATAATATGGCATATATTTGGTCTTCCAATGCTCGATTGGGTGTGATTAAATGATTTGAGAAATGAGTACTTGAGTAACGTTACGCCTTACATGTTTTCTCGTGTTTGAGGTGGCCGGAATCACATGGCCCATGGGGTACGCCTAAGAAGACCGAAAGGCAGGGTCCGACTGGTTTTGAAAGCAATATTGGAGAAGCACTAGCACTTTTATTGTCAATGTTGACCGGCACACGGAGACACGCCAAATGTCTTACTGTGGGATGTCACAGTCACATTTTCCTTTTATATTTTCGCGCTCAACGTTACTTACATAAGAATCCGAATTCTGGGTAATTATAGGTCCTCAAGCGCTCAAGGCCTCATCGACATCACCGAGTCCTGACATTCACAACGAAAAGACCCCAGACTCTATGCCACAGTATAGTAAGGCTGACTTATTGGGAAGGTCAGGTGGTCAATTCAGGGTTTGAAGTAACGAGTAAGATCCGACTGATAACAGGCCCGGGATACCATGAACTCCTTTGCAGGATTTGCCTAGTGCCCTCCTCTTAAACCACTACATATAATTCTTCAACTCACTTCTGTTCTCCCACCAGAGTCAGACATTTGAAAAGATATCAATGGCAACAAGTCCAAGGCAGTCAGACCTCCTCCCCATCACGCACACTCGCATCGGTATATGGGACCTCTATGAGAAACGTGGACACGGGTTGCCACGCAGATCAGATTTATCGATATTGAAGACATTTGTCCAGATACGCAATGATACGCCCTACGTGGTCCGCATGTTCAAGGAAATACTCAACATCAGACGAAACCGGATGCTTATTCCCGCATTCTTGGTAGTGCGAGTCTTAGACTCCCTCATACCCGCTGTTTCCCTGTGGTATGTCACAAAGATTTAGGTGATTCCCTGTATACTCATAACGTTTGTGCAGGTACGATGGTCAATTACTCCGACTTGTAGTGCTATCGTTGTTCTCATTTTTATTTCACACTCATCTTGAACACAGGTGGAGACTATGATGGAGACACCTACTGTCGACACAACAGTGGTCATTCATGTGGCGGTAGGCCGTGTTGCATGCGCAGTCGCGTCGCACCTTCTCGGACATATCCAACGACGCATCGAAATCCCCATAAACATGTCCATCAAACAATTTTACGCTAGTGACATCTTCCACTCGGTAGTCCGCCTCGACATACCTACCTTTACAGACTCGGCTGTACAGAAGCAATTCAATTCTGCGACGAATCAAAGGACCATGGGCATCAGCCCTGCATGGGAAGTTTTTCGGAGGTTGGCGAGCCTCGCAACGACGACGACTAGTATGCTCTCTCAGCTTTTTATCCTGTTTACAGTCTTGCGGAGGCAGCAGGATGGACCACTTCTTGTGATTCTTGGCTTCTCGCAATCTATGCTTGGCTGGTATATGACACAACCATCGAGGGACACCTTCCCTGGTATGGGGGGTAGGTGAGCAATCGACGCTCTGTAGACTCATCTGAGCCATGAATTCATGTAGTTTGGGCCGCGACCACCACCAATAATGATTATATTCGCATGCAAGGCTTGAGTATGCTCGGTTATGACTATTCACACCGCAAGGAGATTGTCGCAGGTAACCTCGGCGAATATATTGCTTCACGTATGTCGACATACTGTCCAAGACAACCCCATTTGACGTACTTATCACGAGCCAGAATTTCGCGAATCCGCCCAGCGCGTCGGCGACGGTGCGGCTGACTTTGACGAAGCGTATGAAGCTCATTCTATGAGACCATTCCCGAGCATCAGCTCTTTCCTCCGTGAAACAATGCACGAGCTGCCTGAGGTAGGCAAGATTAACAGGGCAGTTGATAAAGCTGACCAAATGAACCAGATCGCTTTTATGCTGAGCGTCGTGCGAAAGCCAACGACGGTCCCCCTCTCTTTTATATCACTCGCGCTAATTGGACATACATCTAATTCATTCATTTCGACACACGTCTCGCAGTCTGGATTGTTTCATCTTGCTGCAGCATTTGCCGGCGTACGCAATATGTATGAGCTCAAGAACGTGCGGAACAAAGTGGTGGATGGCACAGAACGGTTCCCCGAGAACCAGCAGTCCCTCAGTAGTGGTATTTCTGTTGAGTTCAGGTACCTCCACTATTCGCTACTTCATGTAGGCGTTTCTGAGGCATATGGTGTTTTAGGAATGTATCGTTCCAGTACCCTGATAAAGAGAGGTATGCTCTCCGGAATGTTTCATTCAGGATTGAAGCTAGTCAGCTTTGCGTAAGTCCCTCCACTTTTGCTATCCTCTTTATAACTGTGACCACAGGTAATTGTCGGAGGGAATGGCTCTGGAAAAAGTACAATTTTGAAACTCATCTCCCGCATCTATGACCCGACAGAGGGTACGATTCTTATCGATAACCGCGACATCAAAACCCTTAGACTTGCTGACCTCCGTGCTGCCATATCCATCCTCTTCCAGGACTACACACACTTCCCCCTCTCGGTGAGTCTAATCTTTACACAATTAAGAAGCGCAATATACCTAAGCATACTCAGATACGCGAGAACATTGGACTTGGCAATCCCGGCCTCGCACAAGATTATGACAAAATCCGCGAAGCCGCCAAGATGGGTGGCTCACGAGACTTCATCGAGGAGCTCCCAGAGGGATTCGACACCTACATTGATCGCCCTGTAGATGACTACTACGCGGACTCCCCTGAAGGCGTTGCCATTGACTACTCTGATGTGCGTAATGTGGGGGGTCTCCGTACGTCCAACGTTTCAGACCTCAGCGGTGGGCAAAACCAGCGGCTTGCAGTGTACGTGACCATGCTTTGGGCTCTCGGGTGCCGGTACTTGACTGTTTACCAATTGTTTGACTAGTTCACGCACATTCATGCGTTCCTTGGTTACCGATAAAGAATCTTCCGCTGGTATGCTGTTATTTGATGAACCGAGCGCCTCCTTAGACCCTACAGCTGAAAATGGTGTGTTTCCCTGTTTCTGAGTTAAGTTTGAGAGCCTTACACCTGCTGGAATTAGATCTCTTCGAGAATCTGCGAAAGTTGAAGGGTACCAAGACCATGATATTCTCCACTCACCGGTTCGGGAACCTCACCCGACATGCGGATCTCATTTTGTGAGTTTTGATCTTTCTTGAATATTGAACGCCAAAACCCGTGCTGACATGGTTCGCAGGTACATGGACGAATCCGTACAGGAACAAGGCACGCACGATGAACTGTTGGGGAAAGGGGGAGAGTATGCTCGTATCTGGAATCTACAAGCGAAACCTTTCCTTTAATGATTCTGGACCAGACATGCGAACATGATTTCGTGAGTTTGAGTCTTTCTCTCACCGCTGATACTCGCACTGACGTGTGTCCAGGAAGAAGGCACGCACGGCGAATCATTGAGACTTGTATTTGACATCTACAAGCGAAGGCTTTCATTTAACAACCCGAGACTGCACATTGTACAATAAGCCGGATGATTATGTACCACTCCCCACGCCAATAGTCAGGAAATACTACATAGAAAAATATAGCAAAACGCAAGAACGAAACGTGAGAAAGCAGGATAAATGATGATCTAGCGATGCATAATACAAATGGGAATCCGTGTGCTAGCTCGATTAACTGAGAGACGTTTGCTGCTGCTGAGCCAACGACTTTGCTTTGAATGTCTCCAAGATATGATGCACACCCTCTGGCTCTAAAACAACCTTTGTCCCGTCACATCGTGCCTTCTTTGTGAACTCCGTACATAGGTGATTGATGTCGGCGTCCTAAAGAATTTGAATCAACAAAAGCCAATCCCACCAAACGATTAGACGCCGACCTTGAACTGAGGATGCGACCTGATCGTCTGCCACGCTTTCAGAACATCGATATTGGCCGGACTCTCTTTCGTCTTTGGAAATTGTGAGCCCTCGCAAGAGATCATACTCCCACCTTGAGAGAAATCGCTTGTCTTGCGCAGCGCAGGCTGTGAGAATGGTGGACTCGTAAACGGTGAGTCACCGGATGCAGCTATATGCTTGGCGATATCCTCTCTCGATATGATGGACCCCCCGGGATTTACATTAGATGACGACTCGGAAGCCGAAGGTGGACTTTCGGCGTCTTGTCGGGACATCGTCCAGCTAAATGGACTTTGACCGTTTGACGTGCTAGCCGACGATGGTGATGGGATGGGATGTGCGGAAAGGGGGGAAGCCACGGAGTTTTGTGAGGATATACTACTGGATGGTGATTGCGCGTTCCCGTTCCCGTTTGCGTGTGTCACGGGACTTACGGTGGGTGCGGGCGGACTCTTCATCAGCGTGCCAAAGTCAACAGATCCTTGGCCGTTCATGAACGTCCCGCCGAAAAGCTCGTCTAGGCTGTGGTTTTGCATGTAGTCGGAATGAGCTGAAGATTGTGAGAATTCTGTTTGGGATTGGCCATTTCTTGTGCTGTTCCAGGAATTCGAAGGTGAAGGGAAATTGAACGGGAATTGATTCAAACCGTTAGAGGTGTTATTAACGGTCTCGTTGCTGATAGGACCATTATTGAATGAACTGGAATCGGTGTCGGCGAACGACATGAAGAATGTATTAGTGGCGAGAGTCTTGTACTGGTTGGGAGCTGGCAGGGCATATTGGCCATATGGTGAATTCGAAGAATCAACTTGCATTGGACCTGAAGGAATATCATCCATTGCATTGAGTAATGTGGGATCGAACGTTGTCAATGAACTCCAATCAATGTCGCTAAATGGCTTGGGGGAGGTGGTGCGTAATGTGGGGGGAGTGGGGTGTGGAACTGCTGGAGGGGAGCCAAAGAAGCTAAATGGTGCTTGGACGTTCGGAGGTGATGCTGATGAAGAAGCCTGTGAATGATCGATTGGTTTCGGCATTGAAAATGTGAATTGGGCTTGCTTAAGAGCAAGGTTCTCCTCCTGAAGGCGTGCGAGAAGATCTCGTAAATTAGAATTTTCGTTTAGTGCGTCCTTATTCTTTGCCTCGAGAGCAGCCACTTTATCCTCCAACTAAAAACCGGCCCGTGAGCAAGAGCAACGAAATGAATCAGTTGACTAACATCCTTGACATGCTTTTCCTTTCGTTCTCGGAAAGCGCGTTGAGCAGCACGATTTTGTTCCTTTCGCTTCAGGAGCCGTGTGTCATCCTTGAATATGATGTGAATTAGATTGACTGTAGCTTTGGAAGCCGAGGGACCACGAACCTGAGACCCTCCCGACTTTCGTCTGGATATTGACCCTTTTTTTGTGCTGCTCAGGTCATCAGCTGCTTATGAAAATAGAGGCTTAGCCGTCATGGATAAACACGAAGAACGATAGGTCACGGACCAGTGTGTTGATTCTTTGAACTTGGACCCTCCTCCATGTCGTCATCGCTCGCTTTGCGCTTTAGCGCAGACTCCTCGTTGTCATTGCCACGGGAGTAAGTAGACTGGTGCCTTGAGCGTGGATGATTGATACTGTTGATGCTTGGTGGGCTTGGGCTGCTATCATCAGAGGACGGTGAATGACTTGGCAAAGGAGCTTTCTGTATGCTTTGGGGGTTTACGGCGCCAACGTCAGTGGCATTGACGTCAGGGACGGTATTAGGGTATTGTTTTTGAAGGAGAGCTAGGAAGTCGTCATCTCCAAGCTGAGAGAACTGAGATGGAGTTTGCGATAGATCCCAGAAGTTGTTCATAGTAGGGAACTCCATAAGATTATGGAATCTTGGATGAGCTAGAATAAGGTGGATAAGCTGTGTGGTGCCAAAAGTCACGGACCCGCTGCGGGCGACGATGGTGAAGACGAAAGAGAAATGTTGATAGTGAGAATGAAGCTAAAGCAGTCGAGTCAGGAGAGTAAGATACGGAGTATGCGTCGGTGATCCCTCAGTCTTACTATGACTAATCATGTTTACACCCCCCTAGTTAATTTAAATTATCTTTACATAAATAATAACGTTAAATTTCAGTGTTATGTATAACCCTGCCGACGGCCAAATGTACTCGTCAGTGCGATAGTGACGCAATGGGTTGGGGGGGTCGTCTGGTTGCTGACTTCAATTCCGCGTTGATCGTTACAATCTGAGTTTGATGGTAAAATATGACGGTAATCATGCACATAGCCAGCTTGCCCTTGCACGTGCGGGCCCGCGGTACTCCACATTCTTTGACTCAAAATCGCTCGCTTGTCGGGTAGTATCAATGTCCGAGTTTCCAAGGCTACTACAAAGTACACCGGCCTAACCGTTATGCATTCGATGAACGAGGCCTGTCCATGACATGACGTGTCAGATGGTACATGTCGGCCGCTGGACCACAGATTTACTCTTCGGTGATTTTGCAATAAGGTGTAAGAAGTTCCTTCCGCCTCGCATATCAAATCGGTTCTGATATGAGTCCCAGCGCACCCCCACGTCGGATCAATGTTTAATGCTATCAGAGTTTAAACATTGACAACTAGTCTTTTTCTGCGTTGGTGCTTTCAAGTAGTACTTATTCTCGCTCTCCGATCCCTCTGACCTCCATTGATATCGACCAACCAACCAAGTCAGTCTCCTGTGTTTCGTCACACTTCTATCCGTCTCATCCGGGTCTTCGAACCAATCATTGGGTCAATGCGGCATTATGCAAGCTTCTGTTTCACCCTCTCACCGTAGTAACCATGAAAGGATTCAAAAAGTTGGGGTTGGGGTTAATCCCATAGATTGAATTCAATCACTGTATTCACAGCTGAACAACTTTCGCTGTGCTTCTGTTCGCTACAAGGTCCTAGCCTAAGCCTGATGGTGTATACACCAACCATAACTCTTTGATTTAGGTAAGGAGTCGGTGCTCCTTCCCTAGGCTAGGGTTTCCCCCGAGGATCATCGCATCTCACTGAGTACCTGGCTCAAAGCTTCCCTTTAAGGGTAACGATCATAGAGGGTTGGTTGCGGCCCCAGAATAGCACTCTGCAAATTCACTTATACGATAACCTGAGCTGCTCTTCCCAAGCTCGTTCCCTAGCACAATTCCACATGGACACTGACTGTCTTTTACCTGATAGTGACCGCTTCTTGCCGACCCTTTGTCTCGCTAGTTTATTGCCACCATTGCGCTCGTCCGAGTTCACCGATTTTAACTTGCGGTTTTGGGACAAGTGAAACCTGTAAGTGTTATCAGGTGTTATCTGCTTCAACTTCTTCCGCAGCCAATGCCGTTTTATTACCGCTTTCCGCAGTCCCTTGTCGAAATGGTTTGATCATTCCTCTCACGGTTTGTTCGACAGCTTGACCTGTGTCAAGTCGGTGTATAAATTGTCACTCGTCGGTGAACAAAAGCCATGGAAATTCTGGTTCACACAGCGCATTTAAAACATCAGAACTCGCAGGAATCCTGAGTTAAACACCGTCGTCAATCGCCCGCCCGCCATCCTTTGGGCCTGGCCGCCGTGGTCGCCGCATCAAGGTGAGAAGGGACGCGCATGCTCCATATGTGCATAGTACCTCATTTCAAACGCCTAAACTACTGTTTCTGATCGGAACCCCAGCTCTGGTTGAAATGACCGAAGATCCGAGTCCCTTCTAGCCCCCCACCAATGACTGTAGCGTTGATCTGACACCACCAACTCAACCGATCATGATCGTACTAGAGCTTGCCCGAACAATCCTACATGTAAGTCACATGCATTAGAGACATGTGATCGAAAGACGTTCTTATTGGCTACACGTGTATTCGAGAGCGTTCCCATTGGCTGCTAGATTGCCAATAATTGACTAGCTTCAGTACTAAACCTGTTTCTTGTTCAAGGCTTTGTGTACAGATTCAGACAATACCGACACACGAACAACATTTTATTCACTTGTACATCTATTTGTGTCGAGACAAGTATGGGGGCGCAGTGTACTATGTTTGTCTCATTCTTGCAGAAAACATTTTGACTCGCGGCCCGGGGACAGCGTGGAACAATGATCACTTGTATTCCACTGCCACTGCGTGATTTCCAGCCCCTCGGACCTGATTGCCATCAAAAAGATGACCGAGGCACCCACAGGCTCAGTGCACACAGGCTGCTCGGACGCCGACCCGATTGTCAAGTGTACTCTAAATTACCCATTTTATCAGATCGACTTTTCGAACATTCCTGAATCCTGTGCCTATCTCAAAATTGCTTCATGTGGATTAACACATTCATTGACTTCGGCAGCACTTTTCAGCTTGTGGTTAGCACAATTATCAAACCTATGCTCCTTATTTCAGCATATTAAATTATCCATGTACCCGATGTGACATAGGCAGAATGATGTACAATAAGTAAGTGTGTCGTTGGAATGTGTCTGGTATCAATATCGCTCGAAAAGGTCACTAAAGCACAAGGAAGGTGAGCTTTAGCGGATATGAGAATGCACCGACGGCGCATAAACTACGCACATAGTATTCAATTTCTAGCTGTTGTTGTCAAGCGACGGATCATTATGAAGTAATGATGAGCACAAGGACCCTTGACTGATGAAAATACGCACGAAAAGAAAAGCCACGTTCCGGGGCCACAGAATGTTGAGGCCGACGGGGTTATATATCTGGGTGTTTATTCCCTCGATCTTCTCCTTTAACCGCCGCATCTCCTGTGCAAACTTTGTTGAGCAGGTACGCCACACGGGAGCACAAAGACAAACCTTATCGTAGTGTGACGTGAAGACAAGTGTCGAGAGGTGTAGGGTAGCAACCGCAAGAAAATTGAATATAAAAGAGTGGCGGGCGCTATGCGCTGATATAAGAAGCTCGTTGATGTCATTGATGGTCTCCATGAACTGAGTCGGTGTTATCTGGCAAGTTGGGGTTAGAAAGCTAGACTAAGGGGTGGATAGGAGCGCGCAGTACTCGGCCATCAAGTTCAATAGGATATATTGAAGAGAACTGAGTCAGTTCCCCCCCACCATAATCCCTTTCAATGCGTACGATTTCTCGAGGATGATGAACACCAATTTGTCCCACTGGGGGCGTTCCGTAGGCCGAGTCTGATGGAGGTGGTCCATAGTAGTATGATGAGTGGGGGATTAAAGGTCGCCGATGCCTATGTTGAAAAGTCAAGATCAACATGGCAAAAATCACTCAAGTAAAATTAAGGACATACCCAGTATGCTGAGACGGGTACAATAGAGGCGAGTAACTTTCATTTTCTGCACGGTTGTCAAGTGGCGGATCGATGATATCCCAAGGCTGAGGTGAAGGCTCCCTAAATTCAAGGTTTAGATGTGTTGGTTTGCGATTTGTTCGCCTCCGAGGTTTCTTATCTGTCTCTGAACCAATACCGAGGCTATCGCGGTCGTGTAAAGACAAGCCATCAACCATGGCTGCTGACTCTGCACGTGCAAGAGGATGCCATTCATGGTTCACAATGTCTACCTCCTCCAGACCTTGTTCCTCGTTTTCCAGTGGCGGTGTTAGGATGCGTGCGCTTGTGCTGTCACGGTCGGTGGTAGGTACGCGAGTGAGTGGTGGGCTAAGTGACAGCTGCTCGGTTGAAGTTTTCCTATGCTTCACTTCAAAACTGTCCAATTTTTCCAGTTCGACCTGCTCTGCCCCTGAAGTTTCCTCGTTGGCCAAGTCCATGCGAGTCCACGAGGTTGCTTGAGATACGTGTAGCTGCGCTGGAGCAACGAGGCTGGAGGAGGAAGAAGATGACTGCGGGTTATGAGTCGTTGGCTCTGTGGATGAAAGAATCTGTTGGGAATGTGTATGGGATGTCGATTCATCGTTCATGGGAATTTCAAGAGATGTCATGACTTGTCAATGTCGCATTGAATATGCAAGGTTGAGGAACGCTGAAGCTGGCTACTTGCAGGCGTCAGTCAATATAAAAGACTGAGCAATAACGGGCACTTTGAGAGTGTGATGCTCCGGGTAGATGTAAGATATAGAATGAAGTTTTTGATTCCAATAATTGGACGAACTGGAGTTGAGGATGCGTGGTGCTTCGCGAAGCGGAAATAGATTTGGTTGCAGTTTATCATCTCAACAATTCTACATGCATTTGGTCACTCGCCGCATATTTTATTGGCTGCTGCTCAATTGTCCAACCATTCATTAATATTGATGCATCTCTCATTGGTTTTCAGCGCCAGCACTCGGACTTAGTCCCATGATCCAGCAAACAACGCCAGTCACCCTAATTAGCTAGGTTAACGTTATCTATAGCAATCCCATATAGCTGGATCCTTGTAAGTACGACAGGACCCTGCAGTGGCCTCCGCAAAGATCGCAGGCACAGCTCTCGACATGATCAGAAACTGATCACAAAGTTTCGCAGAACCTTCTATCTGTGAGATTCCAAAGATAGCTGGGTTTCGGAGCTACTGCAACTGAATGCGCCAACTTAAATTATCAGGAGCGCCCAAACCTAATCAGCTTGCGGCCTCCAAACCCAAGAAGGCATGGCTGTAAAGCATATTCGCCGTCGACGAGGAGCCAACTTGTGGCACCCCTAATCAACTGTGGAAGACTGGGCTGTGACTTCGCAGCTTTCTATAGAATGCAAATGCTATCCGCCGTTCAGCGGGATGATAGCTGTAATGCCTCCTCAGAAGGTTTCACAATGGGCGTACCTCTTCCTTCTAAAGACGATGTGCGACTCGCGAGCGAAGGTGACAGGTGCTAAGCAGATCAGGTCCACCGACTTGTTCAGGGAAAAATGATGAGATGGAATCTCCCCTTGCGCAAGCGAATACAAAGCCTATGTCGCGTGACGATAACCTATGTGAACGGAGTCAATATTTAGTTATACAAAGGATTGCTGCGATCACTTGAAGGGACTCCGGCGCAGTACGCTCGCACAGTCTGAACTGAACCTTCTTGATTGTGGTCACGAGCCTAACTTGTCGAGGTCTAATCAGAAGGACAGGATTCTCGATGATCTACTAGCTCTGTCAAACAAGGTTCAGTCATACAGCGTGCCAGTCTCCCTTAGGTAGGCAAATAAGAAGAAACCGATTGTTCCTTCTACGTAGCACGTCGGCGCGCGGCTGCCAAACGAGTTGACTGGCTGTCATCGTGGAATTGGTTGAGAACGATGCCTGGGTCCGCGTTCAGAGAGGGCGGTTTGAAGGTGCACCCATAATTACAATGTGTCGCTATCATCGTGATTGTCAAACAATCAAGTTGGAAGAAATATAACGACTCCAGCTGAGCACAAGTCAGAGGCTCCGACTCTTCTTCCGGTGCCCGATGATAGTACTGACCACCTCCGAGTCGGTCACATCCATCAGCCAATAAAACATCGTTTATCCAAACAGTTCGGATGGGCTGGCGTCCCTTCAGCCTTCAGGTGTCAGGCCTTCAGGAACCCAGCAGTCAGAGCAGCTTGTACCTTAGTTATGAAAATTCAAAACTAAGCCAAGGCAGAGAAGTCATGATGCAATGCACAAAAGATGGTATTCGTAGCTCAACGAGCTGTCAGACAAGTGTGTTCAATGTATCTTTACATGCGAGTGTGTGGATAATTATCTGTATTATGCGATAACCGATACTGCATAGCTGCCTCGTCAATGCAATCATAATAGGGTTGGTTCAAGCCTCAAGCCTAAATAGCAAGCGCATACAAAAACATAGCGATATTAAGGAGGAGTGGGTGCAGTCCTTTCTTGCGAGCGAGCAGGAGATGTGGTCGGCTTCATTGGTGGAGAGCCCGCTGCTGGGTTCATGACCTCAGAAAGCTTTCCTCGCGATGGAGGAGTAGAAGAACGGTGCGAGTCGAGAATCATTCGGTCATCAGATGGTGAAGGGATGCTTGATGTAGGCGACAGCGTGGCAATAGGAGGAAGCGCAATAGGAACAGATGGACTGACATGTGATGCATGGCCAGGTCCAATGGGGCGGGGATGAGGCGGAAGCACTACGGCCAGCTGTGGTGGACTAGTTTGGTAGTGAGATTCTGTGTGACGTGACTCTGGAGAATGCGAGGGCTGGGTACGGAAGGGTATAGGCGATGGTCGCGACGAAGGTATGGGAGTGTGTCGTGAACCTGATGGAGATGACCCGCTGCGCTTGCCACCGTCTACCCGAGATCGCTTCGAGTCCATCTCATCCGGGACCGGGCTCAGAGGGCGCTTCAGGGAGCCTGAAACTTCGGGGGGTGAAGGACGGCTGCGCGAAGAAGAGACAGAGCCACGGTCTGTAGATGAAGATTGTATCTCCTGTCGGTATTGCGAGAGATGAAGAAGCGTTTCTATGCCTTCGTCATAGTCATCATCTACAACACGTGATGGTGGACGAGGTGTCGCGCTTGTAGGCGAAGGCTGCAATGACCTACTTCCTGAGGAAGATGTCTCTGGTCCCTCTTTTGCAGAGAAAGAGCCGATTTTGAATGTAGCAGGCATGTTCGAAGGAACACCATTAGAATCTGACCGACCAGAATCATCCTTGGCGCGTCGCTGCCTTCGTTTCTTCTCCTTCTTAGGCGCCTCGCCAATCACACCAGTACCAGCAATACTTTGCGTGTCCGAATCTTTGCTGTCCTTCATTTGCTTCCGTTTGCGGTCGCGCGCATCAGGCATAGGAGTGGGTCGCGGGCTTTCAGAGGGGCGAGAGTTAGCCCCCATATGATGAGGAAGTGTATGAGGAATGCCTTCCGGCGAAGTTGCGAAACTCGCTGACTGCCTACGTTGCTCATGCAGCTGACGTTCCCGCTCATACTCCCCTCTTTCCTGTTCGCGTGCAGGGTCGTATCGCCAGTGGCCACCACCCTCAGGAGGACCTGGTGGTGCAGGTGAACGAGGGTGAGGAGGACCGCCAGGAGGTTTGGAGTCCCAGTATGCACGAGATGGATGCGCAGGCGGGTGTGCAGAGCGAGGCGATGTCTCCATTGGACTGTGTCCACGAGGGACGGGAGAACGTGATGGATAATAGGGTTGCTGCGAAGGATGTGAGGGGTACTCGGGACGTCCTCGACGCTCTCGTTCACGTTCCCATTCACGATGATGGTCAGGAGGTGGCCCGCGACGATCCCATGCGATGTCATGCTCTGAACGAGGTGCCTCACGAGGGTAATTAGGCGGCGAACGTTGTGACAGGCTGGGCTGGGCAGGTCCCACAGGTTGCCTGTTTGATGGAGGATAATTGGGATACCCAGGACCTGGAGACCGGACACGTGAATTGTGTGGTGGCGGTGGCGACGCGGATGTCGAAGGGACCCTGAGTGGACGACCAGGGAAGTGGTCATTATATTGACCAGGACCATGAACGGCGGAATTACGAAGCTCTTCCGTTTGCACTTGCTGCTGAGGAACAGGATGATGAAGGAGTAGAGTTTGGTGGCCAGTTGGCCCACGACTTGGACCCTCACGCGATGAACTAGGGTAGTCACGAGGATGAGGTGGACGATCAACGTCCATAGGTGCGAGTGGTGTGTGCGAAGGCATGTGACGACTCTCGTCCAGCACTACCGGTGGTGGAGGACCACCTCGGAACGGACCAGGTGATGATCTAGAAGCGGGTGCAGGTGCAGGAGGCGGCAAATGAAGATTGTCACCGCTAGGTGGGCCATTCGACTGAGGGCGGAAGATTGGGGGACGAGTTGACGTCGATTGCAGCAGGAGAGGAGGACCGGTGAGTCCTGGGGGAGGAACGACAGCGCTGGCATACGCGGTTGGGTGCACATCCTGAGGACCTGGTGCAGCAGGTAGCTGACCACCAGTCGCTTGAGCATTCTTGAGGAGCTGGAGACGTTGCGAAATGACATGGTTTCCAGGGTCAAGTTCGCTGGCACGAGCATAAGCATCGATAGCGTCTGAGATTTGGTTGTTGCAGCTCTCGTAAAGGCTGCCCAAATCAAACCAGACCTCAGAGATATAAGGATTGATGCGGATGGCACGCGAGTATGCATCAAGAGCGTCACGAAATTGGTTGATCTGGAAGTAAAGAACACCAATAGAACACCAAAAAGTGGGGTTGCGGCCATCGCGGTAAACCGCTTGCTGGTAGGCCTCGTACGCCTTGTTGTACTTCTGACCGGCCATATAAGCACGGCCGAGGAGGTACCAGCTTTGAGCGTCTGAAGGGTCTGTGTGACGGCATCGGTACGGAAGGCAAAGATAGGTAAATTACAATAACCCACCAGCTTCCAGGCTCTTGGTCAGGTACTGGATGGCAAGTTCTTGGTTCTGAAAAGAAGATCCATCTTGGTGATACAACCACCCCAATTGCTGTAGAACCTTTGCGTGCCCAGGGTTGTCAGCAACAACACGTTCATATGCGTCCTTAGCGCGGACATGCTTCAAAAGATGATGAGTATGCAGAAACTGTGGTACAGGATGGGTAGGCTGCTTACGTCTTTCTGTTGCTCGTAGACATGCCCGATCTGGAACCAGATGTCCGCATGGGCTAGAGGACTTGGAGGATTACGCAGTATACGATCAAAGCAGCTAAGGGATTCTTCATATTTGCCCTGCTGTTTGTAGATTATGCCGAGACGGAAGAGAATTTCATTTGCCTTGTCAAAATCTAGTTCTGCGGAATGAATATCAACCCAGATGCTTCGGGAAGTAGAAGAAGGCCAACCTTTGTCCATCTTAAGGACAGAAGCGAACGCCTCTTCGGCGTGGTCCAAGGAGCCATACCGGTCATAGAGTATGCCGATACCGTACCACAACTTGGGATCCTCCTTAGTGGTTGGTTGACATGAGGACGAGATGGGGATATGAGTAGGTTGACATACCTTCGGGTTAGGGAGGAGGTACAAAGCCTGCTGATAAGCGGAGTAAGCCTTCTGCAGATCATCCTGCATGAGATAACAATGGCCTGTAATAGAACAAAGGGGATGAGCACATACGGATATGTAAGGTAAGATGAACTAACCGAGCGCGCTCCATACTTCGCCGTTGTCTTCTTGTAATTGTAGAACACGTTGGAAATACTCAACAGCCTAAAAAAGAAAGAGGATGACATCAGCATCTGCCACGTGAGGGGATCTTAGATTGGAAATTAGATCTGAGATAAGGATGGGCGCAAACGAAAAAGTGATAGATAGGCTACCAAAGGGATATCCTCGGAGGACATCGGCTTCGACGCGGGATTGGCACGAAATAGTATCAAGGATTTTTCCTACCTTTGGATAATTTTCCTTGATCCGCGCGATTCCCGCAACTTGTGTAAGTCCTGACAGGGACATCGGGTTATGCCGTAGTGCGTTTTCATATGCTGTGATCGCATGTTCCAGGTCGCCCATCTGCTCCGCGACACGCCCTGGGAAGAATAAGAGCATTAAACTCATTAACCGATTTTTCTTTGGATGAAAAAGACTTACCGATCAAAAGCCACGTTTGTTCGTTGGCCACTGCCAACTTGTGAATGACGCTTGATTGAGGTGGCGCAACGCCGTTTGAGGCGGGAGCGTTTGGGATTACAACAGGTGAAACGATCTGATTTGATGCAGTGTGTGCATGAGTTGAACCATTTGAAAGTGCTGGTGTAGTAGGCAAGGCCGCTGCATTGCCATTGATATGAGGTTGATGTGCTTGTGGAGGTGGTGGAGGATGGGTGAGGATAGCATGAGGATGGGAATGGGCAGGTGGCTCATGCATGCGCACGTCCCTGTCAGACTGACGTTGTAAATGTCTATGGGACATGATAGTAGGGGAGGCGATTGACGCCAAGTGGATTGGAGACAGAAGCGAAGAGGGGAAAGTTGTCAAACCTTGGAGGATGATGTATTATATATGAAACTGCGGGAGAGGGGAGATCAGGGCCTTGGCCGTCGGCTACTTTCACGTACTAGTAACAGAGTGATCTCGGCTCTTTTCGCATGTGGAGTTTTCATGGAAGTACTTCCAATCTTGGACTATAGCGTGAGTTAAAGAGCTTAACGGTCGAATCCAAATGCAGTAATAAAATTAATCGCTGTCTTTCAAAAAGTTGATTGAAATGCCAATCCGCGTAATGCCGTGCCAACTTCGGTATTTTTACGGCAACCCCTTTTGACGTCCTAGATCTGGAACGATCTCGGAGGCGATACAAAAGTACCGTTATATTGGATCCGACTTACTATGAATGCTGTTGTCAGCCTAGCTTTCGTTGTATCCAGGGTCTATTCATACCAATTCTGGAAGAGGTCATTCTAATTTACCCTTCACAATAGCCAGGTACCCTCCTGTCAGAGCTTAGTGGCGTATGACAAATCTCGATCTTGTTGTCAATTTAGGAAAATGAAATATGGCAGGTTCACATTGCTTCTGGTCTCTTACTAACTAACTTGGCCGCCGCCGCATCTCTCGCTTCGCTAAAACAGTTCACTTCCATCCGTCATGATCTCATCGTAATCTCCACGTGTTCAATCAACTTCAACTTTACTACTCCTTAGACTTTTTTTATTATGACGAAACGTATCGTTGATATGATGCGATGTCACGGAAAGTACGTGTATAACCGGCGGAACCACCACTAACTGTAACTAACCGTAGCGGTTGTAGGCTCAACCTCTTTTTCGGTTCATACCAATCTCCGTCAACCCTAAGGCCATACATACTATTAGTGACGCGATTATGCCAACACTGAGGCTCCCAGCCAACGCTTCCATTTTTTTTTCTCCGAGAAGACAATTGACCACGTGCACCAGCGCTGGACGAACAAGGTAATTACATATTTCCATCAGCGTCCCGCTGACTTCGTTTCAAGCACAGCGCTGGTAGTTGATCGCCTCACAACCATGAATGAACGCGATCCTCCGACTGGATAGATCTTCCTCCGTCCTAGTCGGTGCGCTTCGGATTGCATCAGTAACTGATCCCCCTGTAAGTAATCGTTCTTTGCCGTGGTAACAATAATTTGCGCAGTCATTATTCATATCTCCAACGCTAGAAGTTCATAATGGCACTGACCCTATCTAAAAAAAAATGCATCACATCAAAACCTCCAACCATTACGTTAAAAAGCATGGAACTTCCGTTGGACCTAACGAGCGCTCGACTCAGCGTGCGAAGGATCGTCAGGCTTATCGGACCGGTGAATAAGACTAAGGACTTGCCATCGGCGAAGTTCGGAAGAGAACGAATTGGCAAATAAGAAGCGTTGGGTGCCAGCAGGCACATTTTTGTAAGTTGGGGGAGCTTGGGGCGGTGTGCTGCGGTGTGGGGGCGTTTGAACAGATCAACGCATGAAAATGCGATGCGACGGGTTGGTACATGCACCGATGGGAATTAGATCAATTTTAGCGGCGCCGCACAGGGTCCCGGCAAACATGTTAACGTCGTTCAAGCTCTTGATTGCAGGGACGGATACACCGCTTACTACCACATGCAGAATACACCCGACCAAGATTCGTTATGACAGTCCGCGGGAGATGAAAAAGATATCCACGAACGTATGACTACGTATGCCCACGGTCTTCTCAGTGATAGCGCTTCGATCTTCCATCGTGACAAAATAGGTAAGCTTGGACGATAGAACGGCTCCATCGAGATCATGTGACTTTACCAATGGTCCTATCGCTTTGCCAAAAGTCCGTGCCCTTGATCATGCAATCATTCATTGTATGTATGTAGCTGATGCTGATATATATCTGGGGTTTCACAGCTTTTCGAACGCCTGATTTCATTAATAAGCTTACAAGTGTCCTTTCTGGGAATGGCTCGGTTCGACCGGTTCTTGACTTGTAACACGGGAACTTGATCTGTCTCGATGCCGCACACTTTTTCCATCGATCGAGGGAGGGCCAGCTGTGATCAAAGCCATTTCCAACTTTGCTTTCACTTTGTCGCAAAAATTTCGGAAGAGGTGACCAGCGACCACGCGTACGTATCCGCGCGATATCGACGACGATTTGAAAATACATCTATGTACTACTCCAGCCAACAGCACACTTTACGGCCTGGTGACTAAGGTGTGAACATGGGGTAACACTTGCGAACGCTTGACATGCTGTGATGGCTGACGCGCTGACGTTGCAATCTAAATCTCAGGTTTGCGTTTATCCAAAGATAGCCGATAACTCGTAATCAGCACGCCTGAGGACAAGAGTCTATGCAGCGCTAGACCATCGTAGTAATTACGAGAATGTCTCTTTGTATCCTGATTACGCAACGTGGCCACAAGATTTCCTTCCTTCCTAATCGAACACGTACTTCGAGCCCTAAACGCTGTGGCGGTAAACGGGATGAATCCGAGTCATTCCAGAAAAACAGGGCAGCTCGGGCGGAGAAGTGAGTAACTGTGACACCAAAGATAGACAAGCGTGAAGCCTAGGGAAGATCCGTGGTCATTTGGCAGATATGAAAAGGCCATCATGAGATATTGCCTCTTTCGCTGACTCAACCAGAGATCGAGAGAGATCCGACAGCTTGCGATATGATGATCATGAACGTGGTGGCCTGCGGTCTCTCGGAACTGAAAGCCCTGAACAAAAGTCAAATATAGACATTTCTTCCACGCTTTGTTTGTTCTTGTTTACAAACCCTGTGTTTAACACCAAAGACTTAATACAAGTACATTGATCAGTTGCTATTCAATTACTGCGATGACTAGTGAGTCACTGATTTTTTTTTTTGCAATGTCATGCTGGAGATCATCTCATGCGCATTGTCATTGTAGGAGGAAACCAACGAGACACAGATCGGGCAAAGGCTGCCAAGAAGCAAGCTGCTTTGAACAAATCCAAAGCAAAGGAAAGTAATACATCGCTGGCAAAGCGCAAAGAAGCGTATGTGTCACTTTTTCATATCGTCGAAAGTGACGATGAGCTTATGCCTCCCTTGCAGTGATGCAGAGATTCTAAGAGCGAAGCAGAAGGCATGACCCTTCAGTTGTAACATCCACCCTCGTATTGTTCGGCTCATTCTACCTGATCGCAGAAACGAGACGAAGAGAAGGCCACAGAAGCCGCAGCAAACGCAGCAAAATCTATTAAATAACACGAGCCTATGGTCAGGTCTTCTGACTCGGGTCTGTGATCGTTATCAGTCAGGACTTGGTGGGAGCGTCTATCATCTTCAATACCTTGCCTTACTTCCTTGATATGACACTATATCGTCTTTCTGCGCGACACATATGCGATGGGCTGCATTAATTTTTGGACCCAGCTATATCAAATAACAACTGCATGTATTCGTAAGCTCCTGCGTCTCCAATCATAAACGATGTGAAAGACTCCCTCGCAACACTGGAAGTATCCACAAGCTGGGGACGATTTCTACGGGACCTTCTCAAGACGCTATGAGATAATCGCACGCAGATCATTGGGGCGATTAGTCATATCATCACCTGGTTTCCCTACTAAGAAGCGGCCGGGCCCCAAATAAATGTAATGGGGCTCAGGAGATTCAGATCTCGATTGCGGAGGTATCAAATATTAGATTTTTATATACATAATGCTGTATGTATGTATATACTATTCTCATGACAGCTAGAAGACATTGTTGACAAGGGGCGCCGTTCCACTGCCAGCCAGCCAAGTGCCAGTGCCAATGCCAGTCAGAGTGAGATAACTTAAAATCGACCAGAGTGCCCCCACATCGAAATGAACTCTATATTTACCAGGAGAACGGTCTCCGGGTCTCCGGGATTAGATAAAAAGCTTCTATGCTCAAACAGCCCTGAAATCCTCCAGCTGGATCTCCCTGAAACATGCGAGCTATCAGCGATCAAATCACGAAACAGAAACTGACCATATACGGATCCATTATGCCTATTTCATACACGCGGTCATGGTTGAATGCCAAACCTTGTTCCCATGGCAGGTCCACACTTGACGGATGCTGTGATATCATCCTGCGTGCTCACCGTGGGTGATGGGGCTACACCCGGACTTCATGCTTGTTCCGATCATCCGTCCACCTAATCCATCCCTTTCGGGAAACTATCCCTTGGGATCCTAGCCCACAACCCAATACGCCAACTTACTGGGCTTCCTCTAATGCCCGCATCTCCGGATAAAATCGGACTAATCAGTAGGCGCTTGCACCGGTGTTTTTGCTGTGTTTGGTTCGGAGACTAGACTCATGACTCACATCCGTTTAAGCGGCTAGAAGAGTAACTCACTAGTACATTTAACCTACTAGCTCGTCTGCCTAAATCAGTCTTAGCCTCAGACTTGATCGGAGGAACGTTCATCACAAAGAATAAAAATGCTTGATGTGGGTCTATACTATGCAATGATCCGTCCCCCGTAGATTTAATGATAGAGTAAAGAAACAAGTCATTTTACTTTAATCGCCTGCCCGTCTTCTCCACGCCTTCTGCGAGGTGCATCTCCGAAGATATCGTCATGCCCAGAACCCCGAGGTGCCGGCGCAGAAGGGAGGTAATGATGAGGAAACTGAGGGGCGACTGGATAACTTGTCCGAGAATGTCCAGCTTCGTGACGTGAGCGATACAGGGAGAACAACGAATTCACGAAGACCGTCAAGAAAGTTAGTGACGTCAACGTAAAAGCCTGTGCACAAATATGTAATTAGCACAGTGCACCGATCAGCAGGGACTCGCGTGTACTAACTAATGTTTTCCAACTAATAGGCTCCACAAAGCCATTGATGACATCCGCAATGAGTTCTGCACCTACTCGAGCACGGCCAACCATGTTTGGGTCGCGATCCATGCATGTTTTCCAAGATGCACATTGTTGGATCATGGCAGGCACAGGGTTGCTTTCACATAGGTTGTTCCTGTATTGCGTCGCACACATGCCGATCTCTTGCACGATATCTGACCAACAATTCATTTTAGTAGACGCATTCACCGGGATGAAGATCATACCCATCGAATATTCTGAGATGCGGTGTGCAACATCACGTTGTACTGTGAGAATGAACTGCACTAGAAGATAAAGAAACACCATGACCAAAGACAGGTTAAAGAAGAACTGTAAATATCTTTAGAAGCATGATCAGCACACTCGGAGAGAGTAAATACAAATGGCCTCACCCTAGCAGAACCTGTGGCGTGTCTGTTCGTGGCGCTGGGTTAGCCGGCATGTTGAGTGTGTAGTGGTTTGACGTGTTTTGTGTCACGGGTACATGATCTACATCGCCATCAATTTCTTCCTCGCTGCCGTACCCCAGGTCGTCACGTAATGATACAACGTGTTGGCTTTTTGTACGAGCCTTCTGCCTCGAGTTGAAGACCCTTCTGAGCGCCCCTGTGGCAACTATTCTTCCGCTTTCTTTCTCAGAAGCCTCGGCTTTAGGAGGACTAAGCTCGGACATATCCACATCGCGCAGCTCTTGCACAGGAAACGCTTTCTGAGGTGAGAAATTCACGGGAGGCACCCACGGGTGGACTGGAGGAGTCTGCAGTGCTGGAGCCTGAAAAATGAATGGCACGTTCCGGTTTTCTCCAAATATGGGAGTTTGAGGTGGCTGAGGAATTGCCGGACTCGTGGGTTGGAGGTCATCAAATGGACCTGAGACTTGTTAGTAAGGTTCGAATTCGAACAGAATGAAAACGCACGTTTTCGGGGTGCATTCGAGCCATTATTAGCCCAGACTGGCTTTGCATTACTGCTGGGTCGAGACGTAAACTGGAAGTCCATTGGGGCCTCCGTCGATCTCTGTGTATGCGTATGAGTGTTCATAATGTATGCGTTAGCAGAAGTGAACTGCTGCTATGTAGTTCAGAGCCTGAATGCCACAAAACGTGGTCAAACAGGTAGAAGGTGGAAAGGCCACGGTGCAGCTGAAGCGCTGACGGGTCGAGTGCAAGTTGCAACACGAGCGTGACAACGACGCGTGTGTCACACAATTACGAACTTGCCCATCACATTCATTAAAAGTTTTCATCACGTGATAGACCGTTATTTCCACTGCGGTTTCCCCGAGTTCATTAAGCTCGATGTTGTCCACATTGAGAGCTGCTTCGTTAAGGGCAGCACTGGCAACAACTAGAAGACAAGCAAGATCAGGCCTACCTTCTTCACGCACATTACACCATATTTCCAGCACATGGGGATCCCCGTCAGCAAACCTCGTGCCCATAGTCATCGAACAGACAGTAAGCTAACATGCATTCTTCGGTTGTCTCCAGCTCAGCACCCCACCTCATGCGTGCAGGGAAGAGGCGAGCGATCGTATGACATTTTCTCTCGCCTATTGCGTGAACGTGTAATAATGTTGTATGGACCTGTACGTCTGCCGTTCTCACCAAGCCTCGGGCAGAATTAATTCATGACGTTGGCTTCCAGATACGGGACACAGATTCAGCCCTGACCGTTGCGCAACTTTTGTTTCTTGAAGCTGAAGACTCCTCGAAACCAATACACCTGTACATAAACTCTCCTGGAGGAAGCGTGACTGCAGGACTAGCCATATATGACACAGTATGAGAGTTGTTTCATCTCTGTGCTAGCCAAAACTAACATTTCAAAGATGCAGGTTTGAGACTCCGCGGGATGGTATTATTTGCGTCTGACGCCTGCCTGCCTGCTTTCAGTACGTCTCTTCGCCCATACATACATATTGTGTGGGACAGGCATGCTCCATGGGATCTCTATTATTAGCAGCGGGTATGTTCCCTTGGAGTTTTTTCATTTCAAAGAGGTGTCATCGTGGTCTAGGTGAAAAGGGAAAGCGTCATTGTCTTCCCAATGCCAGCATAATGATCCACCGTGAGTGATGATAGTGGCGGCGGCGATCATCAAATAACTCATATTACTCGCTTGCAGAGCCTTCTGGAGGCGCCTCTGGACAAGCTTCTGACATTGCAATCCACGCTAAGGAGATTTTGCGCGTGAGACATTTACTGACAAGTATATATCAGCAGCATTGTGCCAAAGTAGAGGAGAGTGAGGCATCGGGGTTGGAGCGGTTCGGTAAGCCCCTCTTCGTTTGCTAGGTGGCGATATTGACTTTTCATTCAGAGAGGGCCCTGGAGCGCGATTATTTTATGACGGGTAAGTTTCATATATAATGACGACATATCTCTCACAGAACATTTTTAGCACAAGAAGCCCTTAACTTCGGGATTGTTGATGGCATTCTGGAGAAGAGACCAAGTTCCGAAGGCGATTCAAATTTGGATGGTACACGAACCTAAAGCCCTTCTACTCCCAGATGGGCGCGATATGAAGCTCACAATGGAAGCCCCTTTCGCCTTTTTTGTAGTGTTGTCTACGCCCGTGTAATCTTCGCTGGTGATGGGGTAGGATAGCATGGCTTTCCTCACACGTGAAATGGACTGATGCAACCAATGCTGTAAGTTTCTAGATAGACCACCTCCCTGAACTATGTGGATTGAAGACGCCTACTCTATTGTGAAAAACAGACCGCAGATCCCCGTTTCCAAAATGGTGATCGTCAAGGGTAAATTCCCAGGTCGGCCCCTCCAATTAATCGATCTATCTGGCCAACATGTTATGTCGAAGGCGTAATACCCTTCATTAGGAATTTGCATAAACTAACAACAGTAATGACTTTGTCATGGTCGGTCTGAGAGATCTAAATGACATGAATTGAAGCGATGGTGCTTTCTAAATTGCATGCACAGATACGAACAGTCGTGAAGGAGATTATGGATGTTGATCCATTCCTCGAGGCTTGATGTTTGGCGCCGCGCGTTCTCGTGGCCTCGAGAAAACCCCTGTGAACATGTCCCAATGCGCAGTCATCTCGATCGGAGGATGTACACTCGTCTATTAATCTCAATTGCCGGAAGTGTCCCTTTGAGCTTCGAGTGAAATGTGCATGCGTATGAGCTACATATAACTCTGTTGCAGGTTGTGCGGATCCTCGACGTGTGGGATACGTGTCGGGACCTGGATCGCGTTCTTACCCTTCTTACCCACGGAAATACGACGAACCTGCATGGGATACGTAGGTCACGCAAGGTGAAGATTAACGCGGATAGATCACAGGATGGTTGAGGGAGTGTACCCGATGAGTATCATGATCGAATAAGGGAATACTAAATAGCCTTTGCCATTCCAGGCCTCGCCTTTTGAGAAAAGTTCCATGCTCGCCGTGCGTGCGTCGCAGCAAGTCCCCCATCATAACCTCAAGGCACGCCCGCGATCTTAGATCGCATGCCTTATCAGCATTTCACCGATATTTTAACACAGCCATTTCGTGTGAGATCCCCTTGGTCCCACACGATCCGCTGATGCGAATACTTGCGGATATCATCGGGCCACAGGAATTTGGCGGGATGCTACCAAGGGACAGGACCAGGGTCTGGCCTAGATCTGTGTCATCCAAAGCATATTTAGCTACGCGGATGCCCTCATTCCGCCGACTGTTTCCTCATAGATAATGATATATTTCGTATAAAAAGCTGGCTTGGCACATCACACCCCTGCACGACCAGCCACATTGTTACCTTCTGCCAGAGATCATCCCGCCGGATCAGACCTGATCAAGGGAGCGAGCAACGGACTGCTATGGTTGGCCTCACGGTGATGGCATATTCTAGGGATGGTTTAGAATGTGACGAGATAGACGGTGAGATAGATGAAACTATGACGCCGCTCAGTGGCAGGACCCTTGGTAGACATACATATGGAGCAACCTGGTGTCAACAACTACATATTAATTGAATGAGGGGGCAGTGATCTCAGGTAATCTCCTTCCCAATAATCAAATGGAAGAGCCAACGTTACGGAGAGTATACCCAATAGATAGCCCAATATAGCTCTCTTGATTCCACTTTGGATCCAAATACCAATCATCTCATCTCATGAATTTGTTGGATGTAGTTGATTCTAGTTCCAGCGAGACCAACTACTTCCACTCGTGGATACGGGAGACCACCCGGCACAATCAACGAAAAAAATAACTCGCCAAGGGACTTTTAAAAGAAACAAAAAGAACGCAGGGCACCAAATCCTGGCGCATTCATCGTGCACGGACCTATTAACTGATTATGATCTTCGCCACTAATGCATGTTGTTGCGAGAAAGGAAGTGGCGGCGATTGCCTCCTCCTCCCCTGCCTCCGCCATTACCTCCCTGCCCCCTACCTCCATTGCCTCCTTGCCCTCCACCTCCACCTCCGTTGCCTCCATTTCCTCCTCCATTTCCTCCGTTACCTCCATTGCCTCCTCCATTGCCTCCTCCATTGCCTCCATTGCCTCCTCCGTTGCCCCCACTTCCATTACCTTGGCCAGAGGTGTCAGTGGATGAAGCAGCAGAGCTTGTCGCAGTCGTTGTCGCACTCGCAACTGCCGAAGGCGCTGCAGAACTACTTCCAGTACCGGCAGCGGCACCGTTAGCGTTAGCATTATTACTGACAGTAAACTAGATGGATGATGAGTGCATGGAAAACATGTGTCGCGGGAATGAACGCACGTAGACTGCATCATCAAGAGATCCATGCTGTGCAATAGGCACCAAGACTGGCTGGTGGTTTGCGGCACTGTTGATCGTCGAGATCTTGTATGTCCCTTCCGGAAGACCACCCGTCACGTCCGCAGTGAGGATGCCGTTATTAGCTGGCGCGTTCAGTCCCTTGAAGAACGAGAACTTCGTAGGGTCGGTAGGCGTCGTTTGCGCAAGTGAGTCCAGTTGCTCGATGACAATGTGGGAGTGCCCCTGGATCTGCCCTTGTGCGTTTAACTGCTGGGGTGCGGAGAAGTAGGTTTGTTCGGCATTGGTAAAATTCCCTGTCTGCATGCCTTGAATGGCAAGAGAGACAGTGAATGCCTGGTTCGGCGGGATAACGTCGAGATTCTTCGGATTGGTGAATTTGGCAGAGGGCATGTTCGCCGTGGAAGGGATGGAACCCATAGGTGCGGGGTTGCATGACCCACCAGAGATCTGCTGGCCATTGGTGATCGGCGCATTGGGGGTCGTCAAGCAGAAGTTGATGAAGTTATTCGATGAGGTGAGTGATGCGACCTGGCCAGCGGTAGGTTGACCTTGACCGTTGTTTTCGAAGCCTGTCGCGATGACCGCGGGGTCAAGAGCTGAAGAAACACAAATGAAGACATTGCGCAAAAAAGAATACAACAAAAAACATACTCAGGGAGCTCTGGGGATCGCCGCCACTACCGCCTCCACCACCACCTCCGCCCCCGCCCCCGCCTCCATTTCCGTTACCATTTCCGCCGCCTTGTTGGCGCACAACTAGAGCAGGCCCAGGAACGGCGAAGCCAACGACCAGCGAGGCAAAAGCAGGCAGGGCAACAAGAAGTCGGAAAGAGTGCTTCATTCGAAGAAAAACTACAACAGGCTTCGCAGAAGCCGAGAAAGAATGATCAGGGGAAGGGTCCTATAAATCTGCTCTGACGTTAATCATCTCCCTAAACGAAGGAAAGCAAAAATGTGACACTCACAAGAAAGCAGCACGGCTGCTAAAGAGAAGGTAAGAAAAAGAAAAAGCAATAACGAAGGGAACGGTTTGACATTTATACTGAACTCCAGGCTGCAGACGGTGTGCTCCTAACTTCGAAGGTCACCACGGGAACTGCAGCGAGCGGTATCGAGCGACAAAGACAAAGACCACGACAGCATCGCGACAGCCATTCGGCAATGTCAAATTCCAGCAAGGTTTGAAGAAAATGCTCTGAAGAAAACCTTTGAAAAGGATCGCCGTGAAACATAGTAGCGGACTTACTGCCAAATCGGGGATGTCGACATCGCAACAGGTGTTGTTGTTTAGCAACTGCTTTGTCAGCAACATGTCAAGAGCGGCAGTAGTGACTGATAAGATCGAAAATACCAAAGGACCTTCGATCATATGTGATGAGGGAGTCCACGAATACCGCAAACCTCAAGGAGACCAGAATTTGAAACGCCTAGGGAATGTACCACCCACGAAGTCTGCAAGATGAACGTGGTGGGTTGTCCGAATGGGAGGAGGGGGACATTTGCAGAAGACTGTCGACGAGACAAGACACGTATCATACATACAAAAAAAATTGACAGCCACGTAAGAGTCATCGGTACCTGAATCTGGTGGGCAGTTTCGCAAAAAAAAAAAACCGTTCCCTGGTACGAGGCATTTGTGCTGAGGGGTATATTAACATTAAACACAGTAAAAATAATCACTATACAGTAGACGCGTTCTACTCATACTTATTAGACGTTTTTACCATGAAACATGCGAGCGTGTCTATTTCACTGACCGCATGGTCCTGGAAATGTCTCTCTGCAATGGCAGCAAAGATTGCTTGGATCTCAGCGATATCCGCCAAGATGGGCGTGCGGCTCTCGCTTTCCTCGAGCAAGCGAGAGCTTCGTCGGCGGCTTGGATCTTTCGTATCTCTCCTTGGCCTGTTGCCAGAAGTAGAGATCGTGAATGGACTAAGGCCTCGCGGATTCTGTCGTACAGGGTCTAGGAGAGAATCGGGAGATGGTGGATCTGCTGCGGTCAAGGGTGATGGGTATACGGGTGGAATGAGATTGAAATGAGAGAGGTAACGATAAAGCCCTGCAGTTGGCATGTTTCTGAAGTCAATCTGACGTAGAATACGTCAATGTCATGGTGGCAGGTGTCGCGGAATGCTCTCACTGCGCTCTTTAAGTCATTATCCGCAGACTTATCCACCCTTCTGCTGACTGTCGTGCCGTGTTCTACTCTCTTTCTTTTGACGCGTGGCTCTCCCTCTGCCCTGTCGGCCGCCTGTCTCTTAGCCCCTGCAACTCCAAAGTAGGCTGCATCGTCATTTGGTTTCTTGCGAGCTTGGGGACGTGATCGTGAGCCTGACGTTGAGCCGGCGTTGGCTGATAATGTCGCTACCGCAGACATATTTTGAAATTGGTTTGAAACGATGTGACTGCAGACTTAAGCTAACAGTTTCATAGTCCCACTGATGTTCCCACGGCGCTTATCATTTTATCTTTCCGGTTAGTCCTGGAGCTGTTTCATTAACAACCTCTAGACCAAGGCTCTGCAGGACTAGTCCAGCCGGATAGGCTGTTGCATGGCTTAGAAACACTTACTAGCCTAAAGCGTTGTTAATCGCGACAAGTTCGGTTCACTAGTGCCATATGCTGTCGCGGATAAATAGAAAATAGAAATCTCATACGATCCCTGAGCTTCTCATTTTGCCTCTTGCCTTCAACCAACTATGTCCACCTTTGGATCCCTTTTCCGCGTAACTACCTACGGCGAGAGCCATTGCGCCTCTGTAGGTGCGATCATCGATGGATGTCCTCCTGTATGAGTCATTTCCGCTCGTAATATAAATCAAAGTTCACGATATGCTGCAGGGACTGGAGCTATCTCCACAAGACATTCAGGTGCAATTGAGTCGCAGAAGACCAGGTCAGAGCAACCTCACCACACCGGTAAGGTTCTTTTCTATTTGTGTATCAATCATATTCTCACCCCGAAGTCTGCGATAGCGAGATGAGAAGGACCTCGTGCACGTGCAATCTGGCATCGAGCAAGGTGTAACCCTTGGAACTCCTATAGGCCTCCTCGTAAAGAATGAGGACCAACGTCCAAAGGATTATTCTGAGACAGATTTGTACCCTCGCCCGAGTCACGCAGATTACACCTACCTTGAAAAGTATGGTGTGAAGGCTAGCAGTGGAGGCGGACGTAGCAGTGCACGGGAAACTATCGGTAAAGTTGTCTAATTTGTGGCGTCCCTCGGAGTCTAATATGGAGTTTATTTGCATAGGTCGTGTTGCAGCGGGTGCAATTGCCGAAAAATACCTCAAACAGGTGTTTGGCATTGAAATCGTCGCGTTTGTCAGTTCAGTCGGCAAGATCCACCTGCCGTCCAACATAGCCCCGCCGTCCCTCACGGAAGTGGACGGGGACGAGGACAACGATGACGCGGCGGATGCGCTAACACCTGAATTTAGACAGTTACTAGCTACGATTACTCGGGAGGAGGTTGACAAGCATCCCACACGCTGCCCTCATCTGGCAACTGCGGAACGGATGACGAAGGTGAGCATCATCTCCCTCATGATACCTGTCGTGATTAGTGACCAATTGCTCGTTATCAATAGCGTATCATCCGTGCTAAAGAGTCTATGGACTCTATTGGTGGGACAGTGACGTGCGTCATTCGTAATGTTCCGTCAGGTCTTGGAGAGCCAGTTTTCGACAAGTTCGAAGCGAAACTTGCGCAAGCTATGATGTCAATTCCTGCCACGAAAGCTTTCGAGGTTGGCTCAGGCTTCAGAGGAACAGAGGTTCCCGGAAGCAAGCACAATGACGCGTTTATCGTAAAAGATGGTAAACTCGGCACTTCCACTAACTGGAGTGGTGGTATCCAAGGAGGTATCACCAATGGCGAAGACATCTACTTCAGGTACAGAATTCCACCTCTCAGGGTCATACTTCACTAACTTTTTGCTACTGCAGGATCGGATTTAAGTCACCTGCAACCATATCACAGGCACAACACACCGCACAGTACAATGGTACACCAGGAACACTCGCTGCTCGCGGACGTCACGACCCTTGTGTTGTCCCTCGTGCTGTTCCCATCGTTGAGACCATGGCAGCCATTGTCGTCATGGACCAGCTACTCAATCAAAACGCACGCAAGACCGCCGCTGGGCTGCTCCCTCCTATCACAACGCTCCCACCCACCATGGTGATGCCATCGCATTGATAATAGAACGAAGATCTTGATAGAGTATATAGACCGATATCTTTCAGCAAGAACATGTTGGGTATGACGTGATGCTAATATACAAATGTAGTCTGAACAAGATAGCGCGAAAGCAAAGGGCCACCAACGACGTCACCACGCCTGAGTGGTGTCTCCTACATGTGTTTGAGATCAAGAAATTTCGCGCGGTGTTCTGATGTTATTCATCGTCAGAGCAGTCTATGCAGAGGCAGCAAACAAGTGATTCAAATTGCCACCACCACCACTGAAAGAACGTGAGCGATCCACACTGTGCAAGAGACTTGGCTCCTCACGTGGCGGTTTAGCAGTCTCCCGGGCCACTTGCCGAAAGTGTCATCTATCACACGTCCTCGCTGCCTCTCCACGTCCTCATCCACCAATTATTTTCGTCATATCCCCTTGCGTACGAGTACCTGCAAGGGGGTCGTAAGAGTGATGTGTGTTCGTTCACAGGACTGTGATATGGTTCTGGTGGATTATTGCTGTGTCGTGATCTCCGCCGGACAGTAGGCGATGATGGCTCTGAAACATAGTTTTGAGATGCAAGGATACTTACTCGCTGACCTAGTGGACCCCATCCTTTTGAACTTGCAGCGTTCGCAGAGCGCAATGGTGCGGAAATAGATGAACAAGGTGAGCCTGATATCGACGAAGCACCCGACGGCAGTCCATCAGAAAGCCGTCTGCGACGCATGCCAGCAGTTATGCGTACACGAGAACGAAAGTGGACCCGTGGGCTGGATCGATCACTAGAGCCCTGAGGGTCATCTCCGGATACTGTTAACTACGTTCAATGCATTGAGACTAACTGAGCACCCCAGATTCCATGTGACAACGTGCAGGCTTACATAGGGTCGAGGTCCATCGACAGATGGACATCCTTGTTTAGAACGACGTATGAAATCAATCGTGTCCTCGTAACATTCCTCGTCCTCGGAATCAAATGTACTAGTAATGCTGTGGCGGCCGCATGCTTCCCTTGGCTCCCTACTTTTATCCTGCCTGTGCAGCTGATTAGGCATGATAACTGATTCATCTGAGAAATCAATTCGTAATGATTACCCAAAATGAGAAGATATTGCGTGAGGTCTGACGAGGACAGAAGTTTCATATCCACATACCTTTCATTTGGCTTTTGCGGCTCCTTGCCAAGTTCCCCTGAGTATCACCCTGGGTCCTATCACCATTTTGCATCGCTGTAATATCCGCTTTGAGCGTATTGCTAGCTGCGATACTCGCGGGAGACATGTGGGATTTTTGAGAGGGTATCTGTGTGGGGAAAGCACAAAACAAATGCACTTGGTCGCAGTCGATTGGTGAGGTAATAGCAAGGTAATAGATAGATAACTTATTTCCGCTCACGTGCCACGTACAATTTGTTTATGACAACCAATGACCACATGTATCGGAGGTTGCGGTTTTTAGATTTTGACATAGGCACAAGAGTCAAGACAGGTCCCAGGAAACAACCGAGAAAGTTATTCATGTATACGGGCAGTAACGATCTATTATAATTTGGTGAGAAGACATTCTATGTAATGTAACTATTGTCCTGATAAGATTTCCTCAACAGCTTGCTGAACCACGGCAGCATCGTATTGAGGTATTCCAGAATTGGGCGTGCGTTCGGATCTTTTTCCGACCAAAATGCACTTGATACCAAGTGTCTGTAGGAACAGGAAACGATAAGACTGATGGTGGCCAGGGGTAGAAACATGAGGCAGCGGCTCACGGTCATGGCTTCGACATCTACTGCTACATTTGTCCCCTCAAGATATACCAGATGCGTGATGAACGCTGAGATCGGATACAATGGAACGTTTCCTAGCCCGTTTGGCGGGTATTGCGAATTCAACACCGAGGTGATAGCTCTGCGCTGTTTGAGATCAAGATCCCAGGGCAAAATAAGGAATCACCTGATATAGTCGACGGCGGTGTATCCATCTGTTTCTCTATCATTACTGCCGTTCACTGTTGGAGATGACTGCACTCAGTCTAGGTCACCGGACAGTGCCGCAGGACCTACGAAGAAGCGCTTTGACACGTAGGAGCCGAGATCCCGCGATCGCAGATGCTACGCCGCGGAGAGCCAGGCAGGGAATGATGCTGAGTATTCTTCATTAGGAAGATGTTTGGAGTCCCTGGATCGCGCACTCGCCTCGTCCACAAAGATCCACATGAGTACACTAACACCTCCGAAGTTGATAGGTTCTTGATAAATTGAGGGTTTGGTTTCGGGTACACTTCGTGGCCATACCCATTAATATAGTAGAGTCCTGATCCAGGATGGGTGCCGCGAATCAGACCCTGAACAAGGTTACTCACTGCATATCCGAGAATGGAGAGGCTCATATCCGCCTTCTTTGGCTTGTTGACTGTACATAATGTTAAACCGATTCTGCGGTATGATCTCGCCTAATCCATCTATGGGAGATAGCGGATCCAATGACAGCAGCTCTGAGTCAGAGGTGTTTGCAGGAGCCACTGGATGCGATATTTCACATTGACCCAGCAGCTGCGTGCCATCCTCCTACAAGCCATGTCAAATTAGACAAACCCCGATCTGGGTATTGGCACGAACCAGTTCCACTGCAATGGTAGTGATATGATTCGTCACGATGACTGGCAAAATGTTCGCCTTAGAATCGTGTTCAGGGATATGCTTCTTATTCATTCATATGTTTTATGACAAACACACCTGGCTATTCGTTATTGTGGAGAACAAAAATATTGCGGACGGCAAGGACCGGAAGAAGCCCTGCGCACCTGCCAGGAAGTAGTTACCTATGCTGCGGAGTGCAAGTCTGAGTCAGTACCAACAATCGGACCAGGAACAACTACAACCAACCTTCCATTTAGGAAGGAGAAGTGTTTGTGTGCTCGCTTGAGGACTTCGTTCTCAAAGTATACCAGGAAACCTAATTGAAGCCGTGAACATGCCGGAGTTGGCATCCATTATCAGCATTACCTCGGATGACTTCCTTCCGGTCGTTCGGGATGCCCGACCACAGAGGACTTTGACCTTCGATGATGGCCCGCCATTCATCGCGTGCTTCATTCTCGGACACGTTCGAGGGTAATCTGTGAGACAAAAGGGTGCGCACGGCATCGAGAGGCGAACCGAGAGGAGCCGGAGGGATCAATCTGACAAGTCTTGAGCGAATGTCACCTTGATATCTGCATGAGCACTTCTCAAGATGAGCGCGAAGTGCCATTCACCGATAGATGGTCCACCGAGTACCCTGATTATCTCACTGGACGATCCACCGTCGTCAGAGACCGGAAGAACATAACATGCATTTTCGAATGCAGCGCATATGGAGTTCCCGCCCGAACCACCGGATATCACCAAGAAAGATGGTTTTGAGCGAGAACTTGCCGCGGCGTCAGACACATGAGGCCCATTCTGGAAATGGTCATGGTCATCAGTTACTAGTGTTGGATTGTGTCTGTTCCATGTTGTCCTTGTGCTATCTGGCTGCAATGGGAGGTCGAACACAGATGAATTCGAGCTGTCCATTCAACAGTAGAACTAAATGTTCAGCTCGGAATTCAGGTTGAGAACGATACAACAAGGAAACGGTATGCCCGAGGTATACAATAACGAAGATCAGATTCAAGGAACCCGACCTGAGTAAAAGTTTACGCTCTTAGGTTGTACGTACATAGGCGCTGATGTGACATTAATTACTTATACTACTCGTTACCTTCGTTCAACACTGTCACGAGCAGTACGTAACTGCTTCACTGGAACCATCGTTATAGTATTCACTGACAAGTGCTGGCCAGTGTCAGTCAATACGAACATACGCTCTGGAGTCTGAACGATCATATAGGAAGAATTTAAATGTCCTCGAACTTCACAACAACACTGCCGTGGAACCCGGCGCGTTACTGCGGTACCCACGCCCTCTGCTCAGCCTCTACACATATTGAACACATTCCACGTTAACATTATTTCGCGGTAAACGATATGGTTCGTAACTTTGCAGCCTTGCCAGGTTTTTACCGTACTCTTTTCTTGTACATTGAACCAGGTAAGTATCCCTCTCACTTACCTAGCTCCCACTCAAACGACGGAATCACGGTCGTGCTCAGTGTCCACCGTATCACCTGCCATTTTGGCGTGGTTCTTTCCGGGCGCCTCCTGGTTCCACCATGAGCTGATACCAACTACGACTGCTGCTTCTGGACTGCTAGATGCTAGGACTACGATGGCTATTTGGCAGTTGGGAAACTGTGCGTCTTCCACGTCTACTTTGTCCATTTGACCCAACTGAAAGATCTTTAGGCTACCTTCTGCTGGGTTTAATCTCATCCCTGGTCTTCAGAGCTATCCGAGATGCTCTTCCAAATAATCCGGAGGCTCAGGAGCGTATACTTGGAGCAAGTTTCACTGCGCTTGCTCTGGCAGACGTGGGTTCTCTCCGTTTCTCATACTTATCCACTCGTCTAACGAGCTGCATCGTAGGTAACACAGTAAGTCTTAGTATTCTGCAAGTGTTTGCCTCATACAACACGTTTCAGTATTGCTGCTTCATTTATTGGCCTCCCCGATGAGCTCAAATACTCCTATGGCAAGTGGAATCCCATGACCCATGGCAATATCACTTTTGTGATATTCCTGTTGAGCGTAAGGTACGTCAAGAGAAAATGCACTACCAGGCTTTTCTCACAAACGCATTTGTAAGACTTGCCTGGTTCGCAGGAGTCGGTCGTACTACATATTACTACGGGAAACGGGCCAAGGTGGACTGAGCACCTGAGTTGCTTTTTGTAGATTAGGCCACTAGGCGGTTTCACGTCCGGCACAAATTGCATGTGGGGTCTATAAATCCAACTTTGCTGTACAACTTTAAGGTATGAGCATAAATCTGAAGACTTCCGAGAATAACACAGTCTAAGTCTTAGTAGTGTTCAAGTCCCAAAAAGGTATTTGTGAAGAAGGGTCCAATCCCAGTGGTAATGGACCACACTCCCAGCCTCCATGCGTGGTGAGCATCGGTATTACTAGAAATGGAGAACAGCAGTACAGTGGTCACATATCTACAAGGTTCCAACGGGCGGTGGGTAAAGAAACACCCCTGCCACGACTAGGAACCCTAACAAACGCAAGAGTGGGTTTGTGAGATTCCAACAGGCATTTGACACTGATATTCCTGTTGCGAGGAGGACTTCTGAGACGTTCCATGAGTGGCAGCCTTCTTCCCAGATAGTAGCGCGTCGCAAACTGGTAAGCAAGAAGTAAGCAAGAAGTCAGCCGTAGGTTTATACGTACATGCCATCACAATGCAAGAACTCATCTCCTGTGAGGCGGCGCTGTGCACCATGTGGTGCGATTGACCTACATGAGCAAGTGTGAAGTGCAAGATGAATGTGCAGCAGCGGGCGTATCATCCACCTGCAATGCTATTTCCCTTTTGTGATCTGCATCGACGATATTATCATCGGGTCAACTATTCCACTGGTGACTGTTTTTTGGGAGTGAGGTTTTGATCATCCGAGGCTGTGATGAGGTGGGGAGCGCTGTCGGGCAGAATAGAGAGATCGCGTTCCAAATAATCCTTCAAATCAGGGAAACGTCATTCACTACAGAGTGCTCTGTAGCATTTTGTAGCACAATTTAACCCGCTGATAAGTTGTCTCTGGTTTTGCCAGGGGGCGGCCATGGGTGTCGATAGGATATGCGTGGTGTACGTGGACTCGGCTCGGCTACCTGAGCTTTTAAAGACTTCCGGTACATCATCACCTTGGGCATTATCTTGATTGTCAAGGACAACATCAGCTTTGAAGACTCTGGACATAAAGGATCTAGACATAAGTATTAGTGAAGTAACACATAACGAAGGCATCTTGATTTACTTCTAACATTGACTTGAATGAGAAAGAATCTTCCACAGGTATCTACGCCTATCAAAGCGACTGGACGAAACCTGATTGATTGGGAGATACCTTGTCAGACGAAGGAACCTTTGCACAGGAACTAGCGTCGTGGATTCTGGAAACCCCCTCCCCAATCATTGCAATGATTGCATTCCTCGATTTGGTGAAGGTCAACCCGCGGTGATGTCACAATTTACCTGTGCCAGGTGGGTTCGATTGTTACTTGGAGCTAAACACACTACAATAACCTTCTCTCGCGGACTCGAACATAGTTTTGTGGTTGGAAAATGACTCAGGAGTGGGGGTATGCCTCACACCACGACTTCAGAGATACGATGGGCAACAAGGGCCCCTAGGCTAGCAGGTACTGTCTTACATAGAGTACATACTCTCAATGGACAAAAATCGAAATTCTTAAAAAAAACTCGGGAGATCCGACTGGCTTGGAAGAAACCATCTTAGATGAAGGAATTTTCGGCTAGGAGATATCGTCTCGGGTGAACACAAATGCCTTATTATTGTGGCATCGCCTGTTTCTGCCAAGGCCCGTCCGCAGTGATGTTGCACATCGAGTTCGACTCCGCCGGGTGCGCAGTTGCACAGAGTCCGATGAAAATATACCACGATGGTCGTCCCTCGGGATTGAATAGGGTCGTGCTCGAAAATAATTCGCGGGTCAGAATGCAAATATAAATGGTTTTGACTTCCACATCGTCAAAGATCGAAATATCAGATGCCATTGGAGGTTTAGATGGGTCTCGGTCATTGGCAGAGATGTTGCCCATCTATGAATTAGAAATCGCATGCAGAATAGGAGGCTGATTCGAGATACCATGTAGGAACTTGCGTCCCGTGTTAAAAATTATGAAAATATGCTGTTCACCGATAGAGCGATCAGGGAAAATGTTGCTTCCAAGGTCGCCATTCAGTTGAGTAACCGCAACCATTTCACCCTCGCCAGCCAAAGAAGGCACAGGATTCTGAATGTCAAGCGTGGGGATCGCAACGAAGGCGTGGCCCGGACTGACAGGTTCTGACAGTCGCACTGTGTAGCAGCCAAAGGCATAGTGACACCGGGGTCACTGGCGTTCATTCAGGCTCGTCATCAGCTACCATCGCGGGTCCAGATTCGGTGAGCTGTGATGGTTGCGTCCCTTTGAGTCTGCATATTCTCTTCACTATGACAGGTAGCGACACTGAGAGCGATACGTTCCTGTTCCTGTCTCTGAGAGATCAATGCGCGGATGCTCTTTTGAGCCTGGCGACCGTTTGAGAACATGCCGAGAGAGTCAAGATTCGAGTTACAAGGCAGATGGCGCTTAAGAATGGAGTCAGGCACATCTATTGATGGCAGTAAGTTGCTATCACTCGGCACAACACCTGGATTGAGAAATTTCTGACATTCGTGTTTCGGCAGTGGGATGGCACGGGGATATTGACGTGGTTCCAGGCGTTGACATCGTGTGATCTTGATCTTCTTGGAGGGGAAGGATTCAAGGATTCTGACCCTCGACATTGACCTTCCTACAGCCAAATTGGGAGCGTCCTTCTTTGGTACAGACTCTCCGTGAAGCAGGCGGTGACCATGCTCGGCATGAATGATGAGGCAAAATGTTGTGCCTTCATCCATGAGTCGTCCTGGTAGTAAACATACCCAGACTGAGTCGCGGCGGAGAAATTTCCGTATTCCTACTCATGGTAAGCGTGAATACCCATTGTGGGTAGTTTACAACTCTTTCATATCCCCTCTACACTTTCTAGCTAGTGGAAGGGCTTCGCTAGTTCCACTGGCAGCTATTCCCATACGTCGATTCAAAAAATCTAGGAAACAATTGACGAGTGGCCCCCCGATGGGCGAGCTGCCATGTAGTCAAAACATTGTTATAAACGGTGTTGGCTGCATAGAGAACTTTGTGCTCGTCTTCCTTCCTCCATCTGGCCGATTGTTGCGAAGATTCTGCAGGCGACGGACTCTTTCCACTAGGATATCATGTAACAAAGCGCGAGGGGATTTTAGGCGTACAATGAGGGGAGTGATTCTAGTGCAACCATGTTGTCACGGTTTAGCACAGGCCACGGCCATGTCTTGCGGGCTACTTGAGTTCGAAATCAATAGCACAAATCGTAATTTTGTGTGAAAATGATAAGTGTCGGGTCAGTGGCGAGGAACCAAGTATTTGAGGCTGAAAAAGTGTTGATATTCGTGGTATACATCCAACTGGCAACCAGTGTTACATAGCCTATAACTAGCGGAATTATACATACGTAGAACATAAAGTACAAGCAAAACTTACTGAAATACATGACGGATATGCTCGCCCAGAGTGAATATATCTAGCCAAGAGTATGCATATGGAACATTGAGCTCGAGTGAGATTTATACGCCCGCCTGTCGAATTCCACATGTCACGCGACGCGTCCTATCACGTGTTACTGACTTCGGCGACTGACGATCAGAGAATTTGCTCGTCATGGCTTGAGATGCGAATGAAGGAACGCCTTCTTCCTGTCTTGTGTAGGGGAAATGAACATCACACTTCTCAGTGCACTAAATGCCCATTATGAAACGGGCATCTGTCGGAAAGCCGCCGCAACTTCGTGACTTCAAGTAATAATTATGCCATGCTGGGTTTGCCAGGATGGACTCGGAATGAGAGCTATGGAAACTTCCCAGTTGGAAAGGCCTGCAGTGAGCACAAACCTAATTTTCGTGAACACCGCGGTAAAAGCGCAAGAAATGGAGAGTTGAAGTAATGGGTGTCAGTTAGTACACTGCTAGCCTTGACTTGTCCGAGTTTAAGTTTTTGATAGTCGAGCGTGGGACACAAAATAACCAGCTCTCTTCATTTACTTCCATAGATCTAGACAGGACTATGTCCAAGGATATAATACCCCAGGAAGAGCTCAAAAGGTCCAAGAAGGACAAGAAGCAGAAAAAGGCTAAAAAGTCAGTGGATCCTGCAAGCGACGAGCCCAGAGGTCTGCATAGTTCATTACAACCTGTACCCCTCCTGACCGGTCATGACAAGCCAGCTGAAAAGAAGGACAAAGAACACAAGAAGAAGAAACACCAAGAAAATCATGATCCCGAGCTTATTTCAGAGGGTGCTAAAATGGATGTAGATCCTCCAGAAGGTATGTCCTGGATACATCATGGTATGGTCTGCACCGTTAAGCATTTTCACAGGACGTGTCAAGAACAAGAAGAAGTCTGTTTCTAACGTCGAGGAGTCTGCGATTGAGATTGCTGTTGATGTGCCATCTGGTTAGTATACTTTTTTCATTCTCTCGAATTTATGAAGTAATGTCACCCAGAGCCCAAGGATAAGAAAAAGAAACACAAAGTCTACACTGAAGCCTCAGGCGATGCAGATTCAATTCCTGGTGAGATCAATCGGGATCAATGTACACTCAGGCGTTCCTCCGTCCTTACATACCTAACACTAGATGGTGAAAGAACTTCGAAAAAGCTCGAAAAGCGCAAGCGTGATGGCGCGCAAGAAATAGGCTCGGCGGACCAACCTAGCCCCTCCAAGAAGCAAAAAAAGAAAAAGCACGATCGCGAAGCCGAAACCCCATCTGTCGACGCTACAATGACTTCCCAACAACCGTCGTTAGCTACCCCATCCTCACAGCCCTCAACAAAACTATGTTCTCCTGCCGAAGGGGAAGCCTTTCTTGAAAAGCACAATATCACCATCAGTACTCAGACAAACAGCGATGCCGTCGTACCTGTAATATCATTCGACCAGCTCAATATACCGGATGGCCTACGTGGCGCATTTACTGGCTTCAATGAGCCTACTCCAATACAGGCGTGTACATGGCCGCCTGCGCTCAAAGGGAAGGACGTAGTAGGTATTGCGGAGACGGGGAGGTAGAATTTGCAGTTTTGCATACCATTGCACATTAATGCTTATGTCTGGATACAGCGGGAAGACTCTGGCATTTGGAATACCTGCTCTCGCACAGCTCATAGCTTCGCCCAAAAAGCCTAAGAAGAAAGAAAGCACGATCTCCGCACTTGTCGTCGCCCCGACACGCGAGCTTGCGATCCAGACTCATGACGCACTCTCTGCGCTGGGTGCACCATTTGGTATTGCTAGTGTCGCAGTGTTCGGTGGTGTCCCGAAGGACCCACAGGTCAAAGCACTGGCAAATGGAAATAAGGACGGGAAGACCACCAGAATTGTTGTAGGAACGCCCGGACGCATAATCGACTTAGTTAACGATGGTGTCTGCGACCTCAGCAGGTGAGCTTGTTATTCATCAACGGGGACATCGACATCTCAAGTATTGCTTTGGAATTGTGCAGAGTGAATTATCTCGTGCTAGATGAGGCTGATCGAATGTTGGATAAGGGATTCGAAAATGATATCACGAAAATTATTTCATACACTATTCAAGGGGAGGGGCGCCAGACCATGATGTGTAAGCACTTCCTCCGTTCTATTTCGCGCTTCCACTCATTATTGATTCCAATTTCAGTCAGTGCAACATGGCCTGAAGCAGTTCGTCGGTTGGCAAGTTCTTTCCAGCACAATCCTGTTCGAGTTACAGTTGGAAGTGATGATCTCACAGCAAACAGTCGCGTTGAGCAAGTTGTTGAAGTGTTTGATGACCCCCGTGAAAAAGAGTCTGTGTCTCTCGGTCTTTCTGTTAATCTTTTCTCACTATTCGGTAGCAATCGGCTTCTTAAACGCCTCAAAGATTTGTCACATAAAAAAACATCACGCAAAGGCTCTGATGAGGCGCGCATCCTGATTTTTGCGCTCTACAAGAAAGAGGCAACACGTATTGAGCAATCGCTGAGGCGCGCAGGTTACGACGTCGGTGCGTTACATGGAGACATGTCACAAACTGCACGCATGGACGCTCTCGAAAAATTCAAGACCGGGGAAACGGGTTTACTGGTGGCCACGGATGTTGCTGCACGAGGGTTAGATATTCCCAATGTTGGAGCCGTGATAAATTACACCTTTCCGTTGACACTTGAAGATTACATCCACCGAATCGGACGTACGGGTACGTATCGATTCAATCGATTCTGCAGAGTCTGACGAGCCCAACCCACTCAGGTCGTGGTGGACGCTCCGGTAAATCTATTACCTTTTTCACCGGAGAAAATCACGAGCGAGCATTGGCCGGCGAGCTCGCACGCGTACTTCGCGAAGGCGGGTTTGATGCGCAGGCAGACAATCTGAAACAGTTCCCGATGACAATCAAGAAGAAGGGGCATGCGGCATATGGGGCTTTCTTCAGAGATGATATAACTGCTGCGCCCACGAAGATAGTGTTTTAGTAGTGTTGGGAAGGGCAACTGGTTGTTTTTCATGGGAATGTCCATCTAGTTTTTACATAATGCAAGGCAACTGTGCAGCAACTGTGCATGTCGATTTCCGAGCTTCGACAAATCTGATAAGCAGCGAGCGGCAACTCCACTAGTCACTTCGGCAACAAATTCTGAATTGTGACGCGTGTTTCATCATCATCGTTTTTGCGGCCAGGCTATCATCTCCGAGCCAAACGCAACAAATCAGGGACACAGCAAGGCCCATAGTAAAATCGTTCTCAGTCAGCGTCTAATCTTTCGTGCCAATCGACCATGATGGGCCTTTTCAGCCAGGCTGGATCCCATATCAAGAGGGCACGCGGTCTCTCCGTGGATGATAGGGCGCCAGAAGACACAGAACCTGATGATACTTCAATCCTGTCCGTCATTCTTCTTTTACTTACTCATTCTTACATATACCCATGATCGTCTCCGATACTGATTCTGCTTGTAGAGACGAGAATGAGGGATCCGTCATTCTTTCGCTGATATCCCAGCTCAGGTGCGTGCTGTGTGCTACGTGTCAAGGCTTCGGTTCTGACACCCAGACAAGAGTTGGGATGGACCTGTCTAAAGTGACCTTTCCTACGTTTGTGCTTGAGCCCCGAAGTATGCTCGAACGCATCACGGACTTCATGTCGCACCCGGATCTCATATTCGGGCGAGTACACTGTTACCTTTCCCGATCTCAGGCATAACCCCCTGCCCAGTGCTGAAAATTGCGACGATCCAGAAGAGCGATTTACTCGCATCCTTCAGTACTACCTCGCTGGTTGGCATATCAAGCCCAAGGGCGTAAAGAAACCGTAAGTCTCCGTCCATTTTGCATCAGCAGCCCTTGGTTAGCGAGCGCAGATACAATCCCGTTCTTGGAGAGTTCTTTCGTTGTAGATATGACTACCCGAATGATACACAAGGTTTCTTTGTCGCTGAGCAAGGTATGTCGCTCGTGTAGCCGACGAATGCATGCTGGCGCTCACCAGTCCATTCTTCAGTATCACACCACCCACCTATCTCCGCATTCTTCTACATCTCCCCTGCAAATCGCGTCTGCATCGTCGGGGAGCTCAGACCCAAATCTAAATTCCTTGGTAATAGCGTCTCCACCACCATGGAGGGTGAGAACAGAATCACGCTTATGGGCGTTCCAGACGATGGCGGTGTGTAGTTCCAGGCTATTATGCATAGACATGCCGTTACTGACTGTACATGGCAGAGTACGTAGTAACGATGCCTAATATGTATGCAAGGGGGATTCTATTCGGCAAGATGGTACTAGAGCTAGGCGACACGTGTGTAGTGAAGAACCAGAAGAATAGACTCTTCTGTGATTTAGAGTTCAAAACAAAGGTCACTGCGCGGCTTTCTGGATGATTGTTGTCTAACACTATCTCAGGGCTTCTTCTCTGGGACATACAACGCAATAGCCGGACGTGTACGTCGAGGAAACTCAGACACAGGCGAGGTGTCAGGGCGGTGGAGTCATGTCATGGAATTTAAGAGCATCAAGGTCTGCCAAAGAACTGTCTTCTCAGTAGCAGCTTCCTGATTTAATTTCAGAGTGGGAGCAAACGCGTACTATTTGATGCTGCGAAAGATGGACAAAACATAGCACCGAAATATGTACCGGACATAGAACAACAAGAACCATACGAATCACGACGGTGAACGTGTTTTAATTGACTGATTGGATATGTGCTGATGATGGTACCCGGATCTACAGCCTATGGAAAGACCTTACGCAGGCTATCGAGGAGAGGAATATGGAACGTGCCACAGAAGCTAAGAGCGCAGTGGAAGATGCCCAACGCGAATTGCGCCGCAAACGAGAGGAGAGCGGCGAGAAATTTGTTCCTCGCTACTTCGAGAGACACGACGGACGGTGGGAGCCTAAACTCAAGTAATGCCATCTTGCACGCTTCTGCATGACCTCTGCTGATGCCTCTCATAGGATCCCTCGAGATGATTCTTCTGAAGCTATAGATGCAGTGCAAACCTGGATATGGCCTCCCAAGGGTGAATCGCGTTGACCTGTTATATACCTTTTCATTTTGACGTTTATCTGCTTTTGCTTTGTTTGTGTCTCACATCACATTTACATCTTATCCCACGCAGTTGTAACATAATGCGCATCCGTTGGATTGTACTATCGTTGGGCCAGAGTTGCAAAATTGTAGAGAGTTGCAAAACGCTTCATAGCTCATGCAACAACACAGATTCATAGCATTGTATTTTTTATTAAAAAAAATAAGTATGAGGAACATGTACGTGTACGGCTTCAAGCAAGTCCATCACTCGAAGTCACCTGCTTCACATAGAATAGTCAGGGGAAGACAAAGTTTCTAACAAAATTTGTTTTTTCACATACACTTTATACCTACCCTTATACCTTCTGAGCATTTTTCCGATGAAAATAAAGCAGAGTTGTGGTTGTTATTGACAATGCAATTACTAGTGTCAAAGAATGCTCAAGCGTGATGACAGGTTGGAACGGACGGATGAGGTCGGACGGTCGGATATCCCAGGATCGAGATGTCCTCCCGTGCGTACCGTTTGAGTCCAGGGTTCAGATTTACAAAATCGATGCTGTGACATAGTGTGACATCTACGCCAACCCGCTCATGGGAATCTATTGTTTCTTAACATCTTGCATCGGCATCCCTTTGGCAGCATCTTTTAAATACCTTTCGTTCTTCTGTCAACTAGAGCTTTCCTATGACACACGTAGCTATAATTCCATGTAATTATTTCGTCTTAATGTGTGGTAGTTATTGAGATATGAAAATGAGGTCCTCAGATTTTGACGATAATACCTGTAGCAAAAATTGAAGGGTATATATATACGCCGATGGATCCAATGAGTACCAGATGTGAAAATGAATGAGTATATAGAAAAGGAAATGCGGCAAAACTATGGCTAAAAAGCAAGGCTATCGGTTAGATCAGGATATCATGAGGTTGAACAAGTGCGGATTGTATCGAACGAGTTACGAGTACCAGCCATCGTCATCCGGTACGATTGAAACTATACTTGGTGTCGGGGATGCGACTGACCGCGAAGAGCATTGAGAAGTGAACGAGACCACAGATTGAGGTCGATATGATCCGATGGGTCGCCTGGGCTTGGGAGTGGCAGGTACTGCTGCAGAACCAAGTTGGGGAAATCTACGGGGCGCATGCATTGAATCCCGAACGGACGGAGATGATTCGGGAGGAGTATCACTACGAGGTCGGTGAGAGCCATTCATCTGCGCGACTGGTGTACTTGATCTGTCCCCAGAAAAGACAGTACTTGAACGCGAATCAGGACGAGAGGGTAAATCTGTATGCTCAATTTTGATATACGAGGACATTATGGATGGGGTTGGAGTCGCCTTGGCCTTCGAAAGGTCAGTCTCAAGTCGAGCGACTTGAGCTTCAAAATTTGCAACCTGATCGCGTAACTTTTGCTCTCGGTCCTGCAGGTCAGACATCAATCAGGATGTAGCGCGCGGGACTACTGTAATTCCCACCTTAACCAAGCGGTCCTCTGCTTCCTTTTCTTCCAGTTGAAGCTTTGCAAAGGAATAATCCGCATCAAGTTGAGCATGAGCTTGCTCCACCTCGTCAAGCCTAGTACGTGTCATCTCCAAGTTATTTTCATACTCTTTCGCGCGATTCTCCCACTCAGAGGACCGCTGTTGGGCTTGGGTCAGGTTCTGTCTGGCGGCGATTGCCGTCCGTTCAGCGTTGGAAATTTTGTGTTCTTGGTCCCTGAAGCGCTTTTGAAGCGCTGCGTGCTCGCTTTCGAGAATACGACTCGTGCGTCGGAGTTCCGTAAGTTCCTCATTGCCAGACTGGCTCATAAGGGTAGTGAGCGTGCCAATTTGCTCACTTGCGCGATGGAGTTCGTCCCAATGGCTCTGTTGTGAAAGTAGATGCTCGTGCTCTTTCTGGAGGAGTTGAAGAGTATGCACAGCTAAGGCCTTCTCTTGTGTTACAAACTTCATTGATGCATCCAATTCCCCGACCTGCCGTTCCATCAGACGGCGAACGATGCCAACAAAAAGAGTGATGTACCTTGGAATTGAGGCTGGCTTGCTCAGCCAATGCCTCCTTGTTCGCCTTCTCCAATTCGCTGATGCGCTCCTGATTGGCATGTGTTGCAACATCTGAAGTTTTGAGGCGTGCAAGGCTTTGGGAAAGTGCTCCCTCTAGTTCAGAATTCCGAGACCCGATGGCAGCAATATCTGTACTCTGGGTTTTGATAGTACCCTGGAGTTCTTCAACCTGAGTACGGAGCCTATCTCTCTCAGACTCAACATCCTTGAGGCGTTCGGCGAGGTTGTCTCTCTCTACACGAACCTGGCCATGGGCTCCACGGGCCTTCGCTAGCTGTACCTGATGGTCAGCATTTGCTGCCTTGAGTTTACGAATCTCTTCCTGGTCTCTTTTTGAAGCGTCTCTAGAGACTGCGAACTCAGCATGAGCGGTTTGAAGGACGCTGACAGCTACATGTAACGCCTCAGGTAGCGCATTCATGCGTTCAGAGAGATCCTCGCGAAGGGACTTGTGCATCGAGAGGAGCTTGTCGTTTTGTGTCGAAGAGGGCAGATGAGTGCTAGCTAGGGAGTTGATGGCAACCTCCAACCGGTCAATAGCCGATATGACTTCTTCATTGCTCTGCGACGATGCTTGAACTTGCAGCTCTTGACTACTTAACTGTACAGCGCACTTGATATCATCAAGTTGAGCAGGGAAGCCGACGACAACGGCGTGGAGATCAGTGTGTTTTGAGGCAATTTCGTCGCTCTTTTGCATTATGAGTTGCTGAGTCTCACTTAGCGCATCTAGTTTGGGAACCACATTATTGATGGAGTGCAGCAGGCCAGAGACTCCCTCTGTGACTTTGCCTGAAACAACTTCGACGTTGAAGGCCTTGTCGCGAATAGCAAGACGAGAGTCCAGACGCTCCACCACTAGATCAGCCACTTGTTCTTTGATTTCATGCGCGTCGATGGGGGCAATGATACGGCGAACTTCAGCAGTGATTTTGGCGATCACCTCATTCGTATCCAGCGTCACCTTGGGCAGCAGGGGTATGATGCTGTCCACGATCAACCCGGCGGTCTCCCGCTTGTCAGCTGCGAGGTCAATTAACTGTTCGATGTTTGGCTTGACGGCTTGACTGAGCTGAGTGGTGAGGGCATTATAGTCAACAGCTTCAGGTTGCAAGGCCTTGAAGGTGGGTGCCAGAGCAGCCATGAGATCACTAATCAAGGATAGCCGTTCAGGCTTGTCTGCGAAAGGACCAGAGTGTTTATCGATTTGTGACGACAGCTGTCCAATGTTGTCAAGAATGACCTGCGTGTTCTTCTTCGACAGTTCCACAGCGGCAACAACATCTGTTGATGATCCCGTGGCTCCAGCTTGCTCGAGGTGTTTCACAAGCTCACGCAACTCTGTCTGTATCAACAGCAGACCCTCTGCTTGACCTCGTTGTACCACATCGCGGATGACCGCAAGGTCGAGTTCGCCACGAGCGTCCATCTGACTGTCGTCGAGACCACGAGCAGCAGACTCCTGCAGCTGGGTACGGAACAAGCCGACAACCTCCGTGATCATATCCTCTATGGCAGGGCTGATGGACGGTCCACTTGTCGATATTTTGGCCTGGGCGAGCTCAGCGCTGAGCGCTTGGAATTTCTGGGTCAATGATACTTCAATCTTATCCTCTAAAGCTTGCGCCTCGAGACGCTTCGTGAGGTTGAGGGCCGGAATAGAAACATTTGAAAGCTCCGAGGTGTGAGAGTTGTGAGCACTATGCAATGCAGGCAACGAAGAGCGACGCTTGATAGCAGGCGTAAATATGTCAGGAGACTCGAAGGGTTGTCGTTGAAGTCCAGGGTCAGTGACAAGCCCCGATTGCGAACGCTGCTGTAACATCGAGATGGCGGGCGTTGCAAGATCGTCAAGAGATGGCCGTTGCGAGTGCTCGAATATCTCGCGGGAACTCAGCCGAGAGCGCACAGTACGGCGAGTCTTCTCATCACCCACCAGAGCTTTGAAGACACCAGCAGGCAATGTATTACTGGGGGTGGGATTCTTGAAATCTAAAGGGATAGGCGCGCGTTTCAGCCTGGTAGGCGCAATCGATGGGAACGTGCTTGGAATGCCAAGAAAGTCATCGTTCTGGGGTGATTCGAAGTTGCCGGTTGTCTGTGCGTGTCCAGGTATCTCGATCTCCTGCACTCCATCCTCGTCAGGCAAGGCGAGAGTAGAGAATCCAGAAAACGTGAGAGGTTGCAGCGGCCCAGTACTTGTATTAAAATCTCTGGATCCCAACGTCCATGGCGATGTAGGAGCAGAACGACGACTGCGCGGAGTCTCGCCAAGTGCAGGGAATCTAAATGAGGCCATATTCTCCTTGCCACTGCCATCCCCATCCTCATCAAACGATGAGCGGGATCCACGACGCTGCCTTTTCTCTCGTCCTTGTTGAGCACGTACCGGGGGGATCGGCAGAGGCCGCGAAGGCTCAGGTGAGGGGAAAGCCATACGAGGCACCCCAGGTGGCGGACGGAATGTGAACCCTGTGGGCTTGAACTCTTGTGCAGCCGCATTGAGTGGCTTTCCGAGGGATGGAATACGTGTATGGCTAAGAGTAGGAACTTGCACCGGTGCCATCTCGAGGGACCATGAACCAGACTGCCTGGCTGAACCAAACACGAAAGGCTTCGCGTGTGGATTGAGCGCCCCAGACGAAGATGGCTGTGGGATGGGGGCCGGTCCTTCGTCGTGGACGTCAAGTTGCTCAGAGATATTGCGCGAGTGAGCGAGGGCGGGATCATGCACTGAGTATTGTCCTGATTGTCCACGGGAGTGGGGGACAGGGGGGAGAGGTCGCCTTCCAGTTGTGGATGCCGATAACGGTCTAACTGGGAAATCTGCCGGATCCACGCCGAGGAATGCCGTATGCAGGTCTACTCGGTGATCCTCCTCGCTTGGATTCGAGACAATATCGTAGTCACCACGTAAAGACATGCCCAGTCCGCCACCCGGGGGAACAGGAAAGTTGGGGAGACGTCTGGGTTTCTCAGCTTCATGTTTCCTTTGGCGCAAAATACGGCGTTGCACCCGATTTTGACGAGCCCGCTCTTCGTCTGAGGGATTAGACCACTCGCCAATGCTCTCCTTCAAGTTTGTCAAACTTGTGGGTAAATAGCGCAGAAATCGTAACACATACCTCGTCGTCTGATTGCTCCTTATCTGCATGCATGTCCTCCGATCCCGTCCACTCTCCGACCGCCTCTTTGTCAAGGTCATCAATACCTGGGTTGTCAGCCGGACTCCGGATGGGCGCCAACTTGGCCTCAGACATAGCACCTTCCGTGACACCACCGACCGACCGCAACGATAGCGCAGCCGATAATCGTGACACGTGTCTTGAATGCAATCTGCTCAGCGCAACTGTCGTCGCATCTCTCCCTGAATCTTGACCATCAAGTCCTTCGATATCAATTACAGCATTGTCGTCTGTGTCAGCGGGTATTTCTTCCTCTGGAGGCTCTTCCTCTTCCGGGATGTCAAGGCCAAACCCGCGTATGAAATCAGGACGACTGCTTCCGCGAGAGATACCGGGAGGAATAAGAGATGGGACAGAAACTGGAACACGGCCTTGTGGAGCATGAATACCTTCGATAGGAACCGGGAATGGCTCGGTAGATAAGTTTGTTTCGATGCTATCGGAACCGAGGATTGCGTTCGGCCCAAAAGGATTGAATGATGCGCTTGGAATGTAGAAATTTTCGTGGAGCGGAGGATGTGCAAGAGACAGACTATGGCCATGCCTATTTTGGAATCGAGGAGGAAGTTGATGTGGAGAGGGAGATAAATTGAATTGTGGCTGAGGTGAATGTGACAGAGAATTCAGTGAAGATGCAGTCTGTGACTGCTGCAATTTATTCAACTTGAAGTGCAACAGGGATGGGTCGGCAGGAGATGAAATCTTAGACACGTCAAGACACGCCGTAAGGAAAATTGATATGTGAGAAACATACTGATGATGCGCGCGCATGGGGAGCATGGATAGGAAGGGTACCCCCCGAACCTCTCTCTACACCCAACCTCTCAAGCTTCTGTTCGATAACATTCAGCTTTATAGCGTCCCACGCAGCCTGTGGAAGTGTCAAACGCTGTGTTGGAGAAGCTAAGAGGCTTGCGCACCTTGCCGGGAAGAAACACGTCCACCGTATCAGGGATGTCTTGCCGCCATGAATCTGGTGGATAGAGCTCAATTGAGGTTATCTCAGGCGCAATAACCTCTGGCTCTTCCGCGTTCGTTGCAACTACCGGCGTTCGTGCCCATGGTGGACGCGTTGACAATTCTGCGACATCACCGGGGATTGTCTCCACCGGTATATTTACGACAACCTTCTTCCCCTTTGGGGCTGGAGTGGGTGCAGCATGTGGAGGAGGCAAAGGGCTGTGTTTACGCCCTGGTCCTCCGAGAGGTGCTTTTGGCGGCCCACCTATGCTAACACTCGGAGTTCTTCTATTTCGAGGAATAAATGGTTGTCCAAATGGCGGGCCCATCTGCGGCGGAAAAGCAGAACCCAAGGGAGTCATGGGAATGGCACTCGGAGGTGGATAACCGGGAAAATGAGATATGCTTGCATGCCCTTGATGATTCGCGTAGGTGGGACGAGCGGGAGCAGGAGGTGGTTGATGAGAAAAAAAGGATTGCATAGGTGTTTGAAGCGGAGGACCATTCATAAAGTAGGGTGGAGGATGAAAACTATGCTGGAGAGCGGTAGGAAGAACAGGTGAAAACATAGGTTGCCTGCCGTCAAAAGGCTGCTGCATGGTAAGCATTGGAGGTATGCTAAGCCTAGGCGGCGGTTGATGCGGATGCGAATCCATTACGCAGAAATTATGTTTCTGCAGAGACGCTGAACAAATTGGCGCTGAGTGTTAGTACTTCAGTAGACTGAGCTTTGCACGCTCTAAGAATCTTCCTCTGGGTATCTTGAAACCAAAACATACGCAGGAGACGCGCACACTACTGCCCTTAGGCTACGCTGGAAGTCTGACAGTCAGACGTGAACGTTTGAACGCGTGAACGACAAGAACAATCAAAACGAAACATCAAGAGAATTACATCCGTTATACAACCACGTGGCTTTGCCCCGGATTTATCTTAGAGTTGCCAGGTTATATGTAGAAGACCCAACGACAAAGTCATACATAAAGTGAAGAAAAATGCAAAGAAAACAAACTATAGGTATCTCAGTCATAAACTCAGTCTTCCTCAAACATAGACACATCCTCCGTCTCTGAAAGAGAATCTGACTCTATCTCAATATACTTCTTGGTCTTTGGTCGTGAAGGTCGCTTCGGCGGTGCAGGTAGAGCATCCGAGTCGCTCGCGATGATGATCTCGTCATCGCTCTCCTTCTTGGCTACAGCTTTCTTTGCAGGAGCCGGCTTGTTGTTCGAAGGTTTTCGGTCGACAGGTTTTTTAGGCTCTGAGGGGCCAGGTGGTTTCTTGTCGAAGAAGTCGGTCACCGGGGCCTGAGTGGTCTTCATTTTCTTCGCCACAGGCTTGATGTAGTCTTCATCACTGTCCTCTACCTTGGGACTTAACAAATGATTACTGATCGATTCCTTTTACCGAAAAAAAAGCTACCTTTTCCGTTTGAGAGGTTCCTCCTTAGCTTTGGCTTTAACTTTGGCTTTGCCCTTCGCTTGTGTAGCTGGGACCATCTCAAACTCTGAATCAGAGTCTGCTTTCACTTTCTTCCGTCCAGATAATGACTTGCGATGTTCGAGCGTTGCTTGCTTCTTCTTGATCTTCTTACCGTTGGCGTCGAGTAAAGACTTATTCTCAAACTCTTGACATGATTTCTGACATGGGACACTCAGTCTCGTGGTCTGGGCAACAGCAAGGTGAACTTACTTCCCACTCCTTCAGGAAAGTATCCAGGTCCTCATTCCAGAGATCATTGGGACTGCGCTCGAGAAGAGCAAGAAGTTCAGTATCCTTGTCTGCCGCTTGTTGCATGAGTCTGTCGATCTAGATGATACTCAGAATGAAAACACAATGAAGGCACTGATATACGCACCTTCTCCTTCGTCAGGCTCCAGATGGCCATACCAAGCAAGTAGTCGTAGTCAGTGGTACCAACATCTTTGACAGTCTCTTCCGCCTCATCCTCTTCATCGTCGGACCGGACAACATCCTCTGTCTCGCCAGCAGCCTTCGCCTTCGTCACTTTTGGGAATGGCCGGAACTTCAGTCTGCGCAGTTCAGCCATAAGATCGTTCTTCTTCCGATTTGACACGACAAGCTCCTTGTCCACAATCATCTTCACGAACCGTGCCTGGTTCGAGAGGCGTTCAAATTGTGTTTGCAGTTCATTTGCAAGGTAATCCTGTGTAACAAAAGAGCGTAAGCATTTCAACCCCTGATTTCTTAAGAATCGCTTGCCTTTCGCTTCTGGTAGTATGCAAGCCTTTGCGGGTAAAACTCCTCAATGATCTCCTCAGGGGACGCGTACTTCTGAATCTTCCCCTCGAAATTGAACGCCATCATGTTGCTTGTATTGATCTTAGACGTAAGCTTGAAGAACTCCGTGAGACCCTGCTCCTCAGCCTTCTCGAGGTCCTTTGCAGCCATGCTAATCACGAAGTGGATGTTCACGTTATCGTGGTGTTCCTTGTAGTCCTGTTGCTCATACTTTAATGAAAGCACAAGACGACGCCTAGATGTGTGGTCACCTTGATAACGCCATCACCTTTCTCACCAATCATGGCCTCGAGCTCAGCCTTGTAGCTTTGAGTCCACTTGTGAATCGGGAGCTCCGTAACCTCGACGGTGGTGTCATTGATTTTACGGACGATACCAGTGACGTCATATTTATGGTCACCAACTTTCTTGATTGTACCTTTAAAGCCACGCCACCAAGGCATCATCGGGACCATCTCTTCGCCCGCCATCAAGCGACGCAGATTATCCACGATATCAGCAGGGTTGTAGCAGGGAATTGTTGTGCTCCAACCTGATAGAACAGTCAGGTCGCGGAAAATATTTGGCTGTTTTGCTCACCAGTTCCAATACCCTCAGCGCCATTCACCAGGATAAGTGGGATGACAGGCATGTAGTACTCAGGTTCAATCCAGTCGTTGTCTTCCTTCAGGTACGTCAACAAGGGAGCATCTGCGGGGTTGAAGACAGCGCGGCTCAAGGCCGACAGCTCGGTAAAGATATAACGAGCCGAAGCATGGTCTTTACCGCCCTGGTCACGCGTACCGTACTGACCATTAGGTAGGAGCAAGTTCAAGTTATTGCTACCAACGTAGTCCTGGGCCAAGTTCACGATGGTCATAGTCAAACTCACTTCACCATGATGGTATGCGGCGACCTCAGAGACGTAACCTACGAGTTGCGCAACCTACAGAGACAATCGGAGTTTATCGAGTGTGTGGAACGGTGTACATACCTTGACTTCCTTCTTCAGTTTACGCTTGAAGCAACCCCAGATGACTTTGCGCTGGCCAGGCTTGAGGCCATCCGCTACTGACGGTATAGAACGAACGTTATCTGCCATAGAGAACAGGATCAACTCTCGGTTGATGAAATCCGAGTAGGGAATCTCGTCAATATCGTGGTCGAGGTATGTTCCAGGCTATGCGGCACGGATGAGTATGTGATAAAATACTCTTCGATACTCATTCACCTTGAACTGGCGGAGCCATTCCTTTCGATCATCAGCTTTCTTCTTACTGAAAGCAAGGTCAATCAGTGCCCTGTCGCCGTCTTGCGTTGTCGCAAAAGGGATCATGTGCTTAGCCATGTTGCTGAAGTAGTAGCGAGCGTCAGAGTCCTTGCTTGTTCCAAGACCCTGAATCGTGTGTAAGAAGGGCAGAAATTGCCATGGAAGTAGAAGAGACCTTGTAGTACTTCGAGTCCCACTTGTGGGCATCGGGGGTATCCTCCAGCCACTGCTCGTACTCTGGGATAGTAAAGAAATCCATCCGTTGATTCCCTTTCGTTACCTTCGCGCACATGAGCAGATAAAGACATATCCCAAAGAAGTTTGCCTACCCTCACGATAGGTGTCACAAACTCAACCAAGAAGTTCGGCAACTTCAATAACGACGGGTAGAAATGATCCAAGAAATTGATCAGCAGACCCTTGATGTGAGATCCATCATGATCCTGCGCGCAAAGTGTTATCCTGCTCATTAAAGACTGATTCAATAAGAGGACCGACCTGATCCGTCATGATCATCAAGCGTCCATAACGCAAACTGCTGACATTGCTGTACTCCTTGTTGTGCTGGAGACCCATAATCTTCTTGATGTTTTGGATTTCTTCGTTCTTCATGATCTGGTCATGCTTGGCTTCCCGGACGTTGAGCAACTTTCCGCGGAGCGGGAAGACGCCGAAATTATCACGACCAACAACACCCAGTCCAGCCACAGCCAAAGCTTTCGCAGAGTCACCCTCGGTTAAAATTAATGTACATTTTTCAGCTTGTTTCGTGCCTGCATTGTTGGCGTCGGCGAGTTTTGTCATTCCAGTCAATCTACATGACATCGTTAGATCAATATTTATTGCACAAAACCTCTCTCACCTGTTGCGCTTGCTTCCATCAGTTTTCTTGATCTGCTGGTCAGCCTTGAACTTTGCCCAGTTAAGAACGTGATCAATAATCGTTGATTTCTGAACTGAGCGAGGATGTGAGTTCACAACATGCGACTCCACGAGAAACATACCTTTCTTCATGAACTCTTCGGACAATGCAGGCTTCGTGCCGAACTTAGAGGCAGTTAATGTCAACGTCTCCTTCGTCTGACTGTCGAATGTCGGGTTCTCAATGAGAGCATTGACAAAGATCCACATGTGGTTCTTAACCTGTGCAGGCTTCACTGTCGCACCTTTGTTTTTCTTCCCGATTGCAGCGATGAGGTTCTTCGCAATCTGGTCTGCCATGTGGTTGACATGCGTACCGCCCTTCGTAGTTGCGATGGAGTTGGCGAAAGAGACCTGCTGGAATGTACCATCTGATACGGCGAACGCTACCTCCCACCGCGGGCCAATCTGCTCATATATCACGGTTGGCTTTCCTTGCGCCGCCCCTCCTGACACCTCCGCAGCCTCTGCCGCAGCAGAGTTAAGGTACAACTCAACGTACTGCTTGAAGTTCTTGATTTTCAGACGCTCGTCGTTCAGGAAAACCTTCACGTCCTTGACTGTGCCGGCGAGATCGTACACGCGCCGCTTGAGTAAAGACAAGGTATCTTCATCGATAGTCTGCATGCCAAAACGCTTCAAGTCCGGCCTAAAGGTGACCTTCGTGTACTCCTCGCCCTTTCCGTTCTTGGTGATCTTTGCAGCGCCGACCTTGCCCATATTGTTCGTCCATGTCTGCTTGTACTTCTGGCTAGTATTTTTGTCTGCAGTGTCGACGGTGAATTCATGCGAATAGATGTTGGCAAGCTTGGCACCATAACCATTACGGCCACCGGTGAGCTTCTTCTCGTCATCGTCATAGTTGGAAGAGGAGAGTAAGTGACCGAAGATCAACTCAGGGATGTACATTTTCTCTCGCGAGTGCATCTCGATGGGAATGCCCTTGCCATTGTTGTAGACAGAAATGACACCCAGTTCAACGTCAATGTTCACTTTAATGGTATCCATGCTAGGGTCGTTGATCTATCACAGTTAGTTAGCAACGCAAGTAAGACACTGGAGTTGCACACCACACCT